TTCAACCGCGTCGTCGTCCAACTCGTCAGCAACGAACTCGAAATGTCCAAGTACACGTGCTGCAAGAAGTGAAATCGAAGTGGTAGTGGAGGCTGTGCTTGTTTCAGTTGTAGTTTGTGTGTGGCTGGCATTAACATCGGCCTCGCAGGGCAGAGCTGCTTCCACGCTTTGCTCGCGCCGCCACATAAGACAAATGTATGTGCACCCCTGCCTCGATCGAGGACTCGCCATCATTAGCTGCCTCTCCAGTTCGCCTGGAGTTAACAGCGCCCTGCAGGGCCGTCGTGATAGCCTGCCAACAGATTTCTTGCAAAACATGATGGAAGGATATGCAAACTTCATCACACAAAGACACACAACATGCAGATGCTTTGGAGCCTCGTCTTGCTCTGCACTGCTTGGATGCAGCCTTAGCAGCTTGCTAAACAAACACTTGATGTCCATCTTACACGACGATGCCTTCGACGTCCTTATCTTTCAAGCACCTGGCTGTTCTCACTCTGTCACTAGTTGCCAAGAGCTCCCCCACTCTCGAGCTTCTTGAGAGCGCAGGGATCAGTGGGACGGAACGGGTGTAGGAAAAAAACATCAGCTCACGACCGCCCATCATTGTCAGTCGCAAGCAGTCACACAGGTCTTGGGGTTGCCCACACTGCAACTGCAAGCAAAGCAGCAGAGTTTGGCCTGCTCCGATGGCTAGCCAAAGTGCCGAAACAACGAACCTCGATCGATGCATGACTCTCAGTCCGACTCGTTCTGTTACTGTGTGGCAACAGAGGTTCCGACCGTGCCTTAGCTGACAGCCAATGCCACCATGATTCATGATGCAAAACTCTGTTGGCTGCCAGAACAAGTTAAGCTACAGCTACTTAGCGGTTTGCAAGACCTGCTTTTGAGATCATCGAACGCACGGTGTCGCTGCTCCAAGCTGCGATCATTGCCGGGGCAAGATAAGCTGCTGAAGCAGGAGAGCATCCAGACTCTGGGCTAACACCGGCTGACGACGATGAACTGAAGCGTGGCCATGGGACTGCGCATCCCTGACGGTCTACTTCCACTACGTTGCGACCCTGTCTTGGGACATACTAGTCTCATGTAATACATGTAAGGCTGCGCGGTTTGAGGCTGTCCGTGCATCGATCTTCGCCTACTCACTTAGTGCTTTGGCGTTCCGGGTGTTTCATGAATCATGATTGTTGGGATTCTGCAGGAAGAGCAGTGCGCAACCATGATTGTGTCCAAGACGAACTGTACGTCTGCATGCAGCAGGCACAGGAAAGGCAAGCGAATTGACTTGGCTCCAAGCTTGACTTGACTGCACTGCAGAGTTACCTTTCGAGAAGACAGCCGTGCTCCCGGAGGCTCAGCACTCGACCCCGCCCCCCAGAAACATCGACCCCTGGACCCGGTGGGCCTGGCCGTGGCTGGCGCACCGGGAGCCTGATTAGTCGGAAGGTTCCAAGGGTACTCATCAGCGCTAGTTAATACAAGCAAAACATCCTGCCGTTCAGTATAGATCCTTGGCCTCGCCGCTTGGCACGATGAGGCAACACTGCATGGCCGGAGAGCACATGGGCCCTGGTGGCTAGTCCTGGGCGCATTCCAGGTGGGATCGCTGTCGGCCTGAGACTTCCCAACGCCTACCGCTCTACAGAGCTGCCGAGGTTGAGCGTTTTGAATATTTCAGGACTTGAGAGATGGCTACGAAATCTGAAGGGGATGAGGGAGGCATAGAAACCTCGCCGTGTGTCGTTAAGAGATGCATGTGGTGGTCCCATTAACATCACAACTGGCAGGATCGGTTACGGTTAGGCTGCGTCTTCGCACCCTGCAAGCTAGATAGCCTGTCTTGGTTGTGCCTGGAGGGGTAGCCCACCGAAGGCAATGTCAACACACGGCACTAAACTTGTCCTACCTATTCGAGATTCTTCTCGCCTTCCATCAGGCATGCAGTCGAGCTAGACATGTCCTCAACGCATCGTTTGAAGTCGGGAAAAGACGAGGGGTTTAGGAGGGAGACGTCAGCTGGGGGTTTCACCCCCTGCCATTAACCTAAGTCCTGCGACATCCGAAAGATTCTCGTGTTTGCTCCCATCGAGCGACATTGGTGAACGTGGCTTCAGACTTCAGGCCGCGGCACAGTCGATGGTGCGGGCCCAGCCCGGTATCCTGATCTTCGCTGCACGCTGTCAATCGAAACTTATCAACCACATCTGCCTGAGCTGACTTTCTGCTGTTAAGTTTGCGCAGCTTACTTCGGGGCAGGTTACGAGCAGAAACCTGAAAGAGGAGCACGGTGGCATGTGCCCTCGGCGTCTAGAAGTCTAATGACCCGATGGTGCAGCCCTCTTACGAGAGATGCCCATCTTTTGTGGCCCTGTGTTCAGCCCGCCGTCATTGTCAAGAGGAGTCGATTTGGGCTAGTCTACAAGCCAATGGGACCAACTGGTTCATCAAAGTGCCGCGATAGCCCCATCCGGTTCAACCATTTGCTCAAGTGGATTCGCTGTGAAACTGTCGGGAAGGAAGCAAAATTCTTAAGAACATGCTCTCCAATTCAATTCCTGCCTGAGCTTGGTCTCGCAGTGCCGAGCTGCATCCGGTGAATGACCTGGCAATTGAGGCATGAGCGAGTTTGCAGCCCCACTACATCCTGGAAAATGCCTGCGCATGCAGCGCTGCTTGTGGCCCAGTCGATGGTACAAAGGGGACTTGGGCACCACTGTGATGGAATGGCGGCCTGGTCATGGGGGCACGACATCTTCCAGAGCTGAACTTGCTCAGTCTCTTGGGGCCAAGCTGAAGCACTTGCGGCATTGCAGCTGGGCATATCACGCCATTGCACACGTAAGAGCAAGAGCCCTACCCGGGCGAAGAAAGCCTGTGGAGGTTGCATGTGCCTACAATCGCGCGTGTTGTGCTACGTCTTGACCTTACAGATTGCAGCTCATCCGTAACACCGTCGCATCGAGTGCACTAGACATGACTAGACGATTCCCGCACCAAGCTTGAAGTCTCCTTATTTCCAGTCGTCTGACTCTGACGGGACTGAACTGACCCAAACAATCAGAATCAATCAAAGGCGTAATGCGTGTTGCGGTTTTTAGCATACTTCCATGGATCCATGCTTCGGACTTTCATCGACCGCAACTGAACGTGTGGCTTTGAGCCTGGCAAAATGCTCAGACGGTGCATCGCCCTAGAAGGCCAAGCATCGAAGTGGTGGGTTCTCCAACACATTTGAGTTTCAACGCAACAAAGGCAAGGGCAGCCCAAAAATTGGGAGACCACTGCCTTGGATCGGTTGCGTGCAAGGGTTGTGCTTGTTCACATACAGCTTGGCAGACACGAATTACGGTGCCGTATTTTTACTCTAGGTCGAACACAGGTTACTACTCGCACAGCCTGGCTTCGGTCGTTCGGCGCCCTCCCCGTAATACGAAAATCTTTCACTAGAAGGCTCCTGGCAACATAAACGGCAGCTGACTGATTCCTCAGCCGCATATACCTTATAGCAATGTATGCTGATGCCTCCAGACGAAACAGATTGAGGGATTGAGTCCGAAAAGCTGCTGAACACCATCGTGGACATGCAGACTATTGCAGACTTACCTGCGCTGCTTCCTGGGCTGAATCCTTTTCTGAGTTTGCGCCGGCAGAAAACTGATGCATCCTCACATGAGGCCCAATAGGTGGGGCGCTACCTTCAGGCCGTTAACATTTCTCTCAGAAGACAAACTCTTGCCGTTTGAGCTGGCTTTTCAAAACTTCGACTGACGACCTGGGGTGAGGCATGTTGTTGTTGCTGAGATGTGCCCGAAGTTGAAATCGATTTGTGCGACCTTTCCATCTACCGAATTTGGCAACGCCTGATGGCCTAAGGAAAAGAATCAAAAGCCACAACGATCACCTTGGCATGGAGCTGTGCGGGGTCGGACAATGTTTGATCGACGAACACTCCTGTTTGTAGCAAGTCTTCCGAAGTCTTGCAGCACGAGTAGATCTGGAAGTGCTTCTGCTGTATTCAGGAAGCTCTTGGTTGACATGATTCGAACACAGAGTGAGCCAGAGCTCCCTTAACTTCTGTTCTACCGCACATACGTTCTTCCACCGTGTCGTCCTTGACAGGTCACTGAGACGGCTTGGGAACTTGTTGCTGCTCGTGGATACACCAGCCCCACCACCTTGCACGCGGCCTGAGATTCTGCCGTTTTTTGACGGGGGCAGTGCGTGGTCAGGGAGCTTCCCTGGCGAAAACAGCAGCTCCTCAAGTCGGACACTTGGGGCTGGAAAACTTGCCCTTGTCCCCCACCATTTCAGCTCCAGTCAGCTTTGCCACTTGCAGGCATCGCCTTCAGCTCTTCCTGAGGTTTCAAGCGCCGTGTCGGTACTCTGCTGCGGCGGAAGCGATTGCTAGCTCAAGCCAGTCCCGGTCCTCCTTCAGCTTCAGTTGACCTCCATAGCTTGCAAACCGGCGACAGCAACCGGGCTTCCAGCGACGACAGATTCAAAGACTCAAGCTCAATTGTCAAGAAAGATCGCAGTCAGATTCACCAACTTTGCTAAGCATGCGGCGCGGTGAATAGCCACCTCGGTGTGGAAGAGACAACAGATGCGTGCAGATTGTCTTTTGTTTCCTGATATTAGTATTTATCCGTTACGCTTGGTATTTCCGAGGGCTGGACGTGTCTTGAGTTCCTCTAGGCCCTTCTCGCTCTCCAGGTGTGCCAGGACCTGGAGGGCCATGTCTGCAACTTTTCTGAGCGAGCAATGCAGCAGATGCCGGAGTGAGGCATGACTTGCAGGCCTTATGTGATACTGTATCGTTTGATGACCGGCACAACTGATGGCAAGCAGTGCTGCAAACCTGCACGGGCACGTGTCACGCAAGCCGTCCTTCTGCAACCGGCAAGCATGGGAAAGGCAACTCGAACGCCCACAGGTGGAGCTCGAAAACTCGAGTTGCGAAAAGAGCACTGGCCGCGCCGCTGGCACAAGCATCAGTGTTTGATGGTTGAGAGGTCAATTCCGAGCTCTTTCTGCCTGGGCACCAGAAGCCTCAGTTGCATGGAAAGGTTCTCTTCACATGCACACTTCTGCTATCTGCACATGTAGTGCACTCTACCTCCTCTGTCTCATCCCCTGTAGCAGAGGCATCTTAAAAAAAACACACACGCACTTTGATTCGGCCTTGGCAGGGCTGTGGCACGTATGGAAGTGCTTTGGACCGGCAGGCCCGGCGCTTCAACTTCGGATGAACATGCGGACAGAAAGCCCGACCATGTCTAAGATTCATCCACCTCCGATAGCAGCAATCATCACGGGCAGCGGATGGCGAGTGTCGAGTGTCAGTCCAGCTTGCTTTTGGATGCTTTCGTTTCGTTCAGAATGCGAGAACGACTTGGCCTGGGCTCGGCTTCGTAGTTGTAAAATACCGGACCTCCACGATGAAGACGCGGATGAAGCCAAGTCTAGAATCATCTGGAGTTCTCTATGAGTCGGAGATGCGGCTCCCAGTCCAAAGGACGTGATAAGCAAGTGAAATGAGTCACGAAGACAAATGAAGATTGATACAAGGAAACATGTCTTTCGCGCAAGCTGGGAACAAGTCGATGCTGTCAACCGTTTGTCAAGACATAAATCATATTATGTCATAAACCACCCAGTTCGTCGCTTCAACTCCCATCCTAGCTTTAACACAAGTTCTCCTAATGCTTGCGGCCACAGGGCTCCCATACTGCTAAATGAATACGGCCGTTACATCTGTGACCTTGGCTCTGAGCAAGGAGCTGGTCAATCAGCTTCTCGGCCTCATCAAGCTCGATTGAGTTGACCTGCTCCGGAGCTATGCCACCGGAGCTGTCCCACCTGGCGAGGGGGCGAGGCGCCAAGTCTTCCTAAGAGACGCCTTGGCGAAAGCACCATAGAAGTGTAACAACGGCTCTCAATGACGGGACACAACTTCTCCAGGATGTTCGCTTGGACAGTGCCCAGGTCCTTGGCGTTCGCGTAGGAAACGTTCCCTTCCTGAGCTCAGCGACTCGCTGCAAAAATAGCAGAAAGGATAACTTCGGAAAACATAGCTAGGGTAGTGGAAAGGTGGATTCCTCGGTCTCTGTGTGTGTGTGTGTGTGTCTCTGTGTGTCTCTGTCTGTGTTTCTGTGTTTCTGTCTTTCTGTGTTTCTGTGTCTCTGTGTCTCTGTGTCTGTCTGTGTGTGTGTGTATGTGTGTGTATGTGTGTGTGTGTGTGTATGTGTGTGTGTGTGTGTGTGTGTGTGTGTGTATGTGTGTGTGTGTGTGTGTGTGTGTGTGTGTGTGTGTGTGTGTGTGTGTGTGTGTGTGTGCGTGCGTGCGTGCGTGCGTGCGTGCGTGCGTGCGTGCGTGCGTGCGTGCGTGCGTGGGTGTGTGTGTGTGTGTGTGGGTGTGTGTGTGTGTGTGTGTCCGTGTGTCTGCGTGTGGCTGTCTGTGTGTGTGTGTGTGTGTGTGTGTCCGTGTGTCTGCGTGTGGCTGTGTGTGTGTGTGTGTCCGTGTGTCTGCGTGTGGCTGTGCGGTGTGTGTGTCCGTGTGTCTGTCTGTCTGTGTGCGTGTGTGTCTGCGGGTGTCTGCGTGTGTCTGTGTGTGTCTGTGTGTTTCTTTGTGTCTGTGTGTCTGTGTGTTTGTGTGTGTGTGTGTGTCTGTCTGTGTGTGTGTGTGTGTGTCTGTGTGTCTCTGTGTCTGTGTGTCCGTGTGTCTGTGTGTCTGTGTGTCTGTGTGTCTGCGTGTCTGTGTGTCTGTGTGTCTGTGTGTCTGTGTTTACATAGGTGTGCCTCTCCGAATTATGCTCAGGCATTGTGACGACAACTCATGCCGACAAAACTGTCCGAGACTGTAGGCGGGAGCTCACGACTTGAAGCACGGAAAGCCAAGCTGCTCCTCCGTAGCAGACCATGGCATACCGGCTCCTGAACTTGTCTGGGAAAACATTTTCCAGACGGTTCTCAACCTTCTTCAAGACCTCGGAGGTGCAGTGGAAGGCTGGCGGCATGGCGTACCGTTTAGGCTTACTGCGTTTTTTCTGATTGCCTCCAAGGCCTACATGACCCACAAAGACACCAGAAACCTTTAGCCAAGCTCAAACGGGCAACTTGGAACTTCACATCGCCTGTCTTGTCCCGCATCTCCAGAAAATTCTCGAGGGCCATCTCACAGATGGCATCTGCACTTGGCTTTCGTTCTGCCTCCACAGCTGCAAAGCAGGCGGCAAAATTCTCTGCAGTGCACTTCTCTGCGGAGACCTTGCCCGCATCGCAACAGTACCTGTCGATGAGCTTGCTGAGCCACAACGTGTCTTCGAAGCCGCAGTTGCAGCCCTGACCAAAAAAGGGAACCATCGCATGGCAGGAGTCACCGATGAGCAGGACCTTGCCCTGGGATGTCCACTTTGTTGCTCGAACCGTTCCGAGGATGCCGGTCGGATTCTTGACAATCTGGTTCACGAGGCTTTCGAGTCCTCCGACGTGCGGGATCGCATCGGAGTAGTACTTCTCGCAGAATTGAGAGCACTTCGCTCGGCCTTCGGGCGTGTCTGTGAAAGCTGCAAATGCTTCTTCCTCACCCTCGTTGTCCATGTAGATGGTCCCGGTGAAAGACCCATCTCGATTTGCTAAAGCCATGAGCATGTGGTCGCCTCGTGGCCAGATGTGCAGGCCCAACCTACCATCGCACGCTTCGCCGCCATCGCAACCCGTGGCCCCAAATCCCGGGCTTCCCTCTTCAGGCTTTGGAAAGAGCACCTCCTTGTACCCTCGAGTGAGCAAGTCCTCCGTAAACTCTGTCAAGCCACATCGACGGAGAGCATACCGAACCCGAGAACCAGCACCATCGCATGCAATCACCGGGCAGTCTGCACGAACCTTCATGAAATCAGTGCCTCGCTTGAAATGCAGGCAGCTTCCGATGCTGCCGTCTGTCAAGAAGTCAGAGCTTTCAAGCAGGGCGTGGTCGAAGTGTAGCTCCGCGCCGGCATCAGCAGCTGCATTCAGGAGGAACTTGTTGAGATCCAAGCGCGAGACAGAATAATTATGCTCTGTATCGTCTTTGCCATACCTTTGGAAAATGGCCTTCCCATCGGGCATGTGAATGATCCGGCCCATGACTTTGGTAGTCAAATTTGCGATAATGTCGCTGTAAAGGGTTCCGCCTAGAGCTTTAATTGCTCGGAGTCCACGGCTAGTAACACTCAAGTTGATAGACCTCCCGGCACTGGGTATAGATCGGATGTCTTGGTAGCGCTCAAAAAGATGAACCTTGAAGCCTTTCTGCAAGAGGACTACTGCGCACAGTGAGCCAACCAGACCAGCTCCCAGGATGATCACATGCCCCTGCCCTCCAACGGAGATCTCCTGGGCACCGCTTTCTGCTCAACTGTGTTCCTCGCTAGCACTATCTTTTGCTGATTGCACTGCTACTGTCTTTTGATTTTGACAATACCTCCGCCCTGCATTCGATGTAATTTGCATCTCACAAAGTAGGTTCCCGCCGAACCACGATTTCCTCGACTGCTGCTACTCGTGTGATCGGCCGTTTCGCCCCTCGAACTCTTGGCTGGATCGAAATTGCAGCCGAATTAGTGTCGTCTGAATGAGCCGGGCAATCGCATTATGTGCACGAATCCGGACTGACGATCAAACCGGAAGAAGTGCGCATTCAGCCGACGAGAGGCATAGGCAGGACGAGTCAGAGGAACGCTGCTGGAGATCACTCACTTGTCCAATCTGCTGTTTAGTTGAGGAACATGCTTATGGCGTTTTTCGCTTGGCTCTCGCGTACCTTGCTCGCGGTCGATGCGGTGCTTGCTGCTACTGGGTTGCTGACAAGGGCATCGGCAATGCAGAGCTCGTTCCGGCTGGAGCACATGTGCTTACCCTCCAGAAACCAAGTTCTTGAGTCCAGCGATTACAAAGCACGACACCAACGTGCAAAGCGGGTCCTTCGCGGCCGTCAGCTCTTCCGCTTCCGCCACTGCCGAGGGCCGAACACCAGCAGCTCTCTCAGCCGGCGTGTTGGCCAAGTCTTCAGCAGGAGCCATGCTCTCTCGTCTCGTCAGAATGACACGCGATTAGATGTCTGCTGTTGAAATCGTAGCGTGGTATCTTCCTGTCATCTACATGGATTCTAGTTGTTGATGGTCTTGGTGTGCTGCATTTATCTGGCTGCAGTGTAATGCATCAGCTGAGGAAGCTGGCCACACAATCGAAACTACGCAAGACATATCAAGACAGGCGGTGAAGACTCCAAACCTATGCCTCAGGTCGGAACTTCTTCTGGTGTAAGGACGTGAGGTGTTCCGCACCAATCACACTTGGCCTCCACATTCTCCTTGCAACGCGTGAAGCATCCATCTTCTCGTGCTGTGACGTTTCCGTACCAAAACACTGGCATCCAGCCCGTCCTTCTCCTCAATAATGTTAAGCACCTGACACATAGCCCGCAGCGATGCCCGCAATTCTTGTGCGGCCATCGCGAGTCCTATATTCCTAAATCGATATTTTTTCGAAAGGTCTCTGGCAACCTTGAAGGCTGGCCTCCTCCTTCCCGAGCATCATCACAGCCGTTGCCAACCTCTGAAACGGCCGGTCAGAGGTCAGCAACAGTGTCGAGATGCAATACACCTTTGGCAGCTTAGGGCTGGGCCGTGACTTGGAACAAGGGCAGCGGAAGGTGGGTGTTTGTTCTGCTTGGAACTCACCACGAAGCTCTCGCATCATGTGTTGGCAAATCGCCTTGGCAAAGTTGCAGCGAAGTACACTAGCTCAATTCAAGCGAAGAAGAGGGCCAAGAAAGCAGAAGAAAGCTAGGGGCAGTAGGCGCAGCCTTATCAAGCGGACCTTTTCCAGCGCAGCCATTGCGAGTCATTCGAACCCGGGTGGGGTTTGCGGGGATAAGTAGACGCGTCCCAGGCAAAGCAAAGTCACGTAGTAAAGAACCTCAAAACTCAGGACGATGACAGCACTTACGTGCCGTGGCGACCGTCAGAGCAGCAGTTGCCACGCACTGCCGGGCAGAGTTCCGAAAGTCGAGTCAGCATGTACTGCAAGCGGCAAGACTCACAAGCACCCAAACGCATATGGGAAGGGAACTAAAAGGGGAACTAACAGGAGCGGCGGGGCGGGTGGGGGGCGGGACCACTTTGAAGAATCAGAATTCAGAAAGGTTCGCTGCGGGGCTCCGGTTTTGCATGCGTTTGTGAGCTCCCTACTTAAAGTGAGTTGACGACTGCTGCAAGCTCCAGTCATGTCCACGATATGTGGCAGCATTCCCTGGTAGCTGTTAACTGTTAGCCCGGAGCAGGTCTGCAGCATTCCCTTCCAACCAATCTCCAGGGTCCAGAGAATTCGCGTGTAGAAGTAGCATGTTCAGCATCCGCGATGTTTTGCTTAGCCAGACACCTTCGATGTTACTGTCGCACCACGTTCCCTGGCACCAGTGCAGACACTAGCTAAAACATCAAACTGAGGGATGGGAAATTTCACAATGGCTCTCGCTAGCACGACACGTCTTTAGGTGTGGGGCAGAATTCCCTGTTGACCTGGAGAAGGTCCGTAGCGGTCTCGCGGAGAAACTTATCTGCTTAGCAGTGCAGCAGTGCATGCTTTCCTTATCGCTTCCTGGGTGGCCAGTTCGAGCATGCCCAGCCCGTGTCTGCAGTTCGTGGCTCCACGGGCTCCGCAAGCACCTCTGGCATTTCCGCGTCCATAGCGCCAAAGCGGAGCCATCCATTAGCTCCGTTTAGTCCGCTCCCCTTCCCCACTGCAGTTTGAAGTTGCCCCGCGGTTAGCAGGGCCTCCAATCGAACAGCCACACGGCCATTCAGGACCTTCGTACCATGTTCAGCACCCACGATGCTTTGTTTTACGAAATATCGCTCGATATTCAACTCTGGCGCCTATCGCTAGCATACCCTGTCGTACCTCGCTCCGCGGCACGAGTGCTCCTGCCTTCGCAGGCTCACAGGCTCAGGTAAATTAAGACCCCTGCGTCGGGACGAGATGAGCCGCTGGTGTCCATGTTGGGAAAGGTCTTGATATTGGTCTGAGGCGTGGTGCAGGCGGGGTGCAGCTGTGTGTAAGCTGCTGAATGTTCTGTGCAGCCCCGAGCCTCAACGACAGCAACTTCTGTTTCTTCCCAACCTTGTGCAGATGTCAATGTTAACTTCTGCTTCCTTCGTATCCATAGCGACATGGCACTGACAGAGCTGCGCCTGGTAGCAGCGTTACCAGCCAGCCTTCTGCAGCTTTGACACAGCCGGCCTTCACGGTGGCTTCACGCAAGCATCCTACAGCATCCGCCATATTGCCCATGTTGCATGGACAAGCCAATCAAGCTAGTATCAGTATCAGATCATCATACAGTCTGCACCTCTGCATCCCATTCCACGCTGAGGCCCATGGACGCGGGAGTCTGCTCACTCATGGCCAGATACTGCACGACATCCTCAGCAATCTCTCCACACCTCAACGCGATCGTGCCAGTATAGGGTCGCTTCCAAAAGGGGTGCGTCCGGGTGAGTCGGAGAGTGGCAGCCTCGTTCATGCCCACGAGTTCCGGCACGGAGGTGGCATCTGCACTTGGGTAACCAACCATGCCGCGGCATGTCAAGGCTGAAGACGCTTCTGTGATGATCGTTCCGATCGGGCCAGTCCCTTGTATGCGCATCTGAAGGTTTTCGCCCTCATCACGGCCATTTGCCAGCAATGCTGTGGCCATCAGCGAACGACCTGACACCACGAAGCCGTAACAGCTCAGATTTTACCTAGCAGGTTCCTGTGAAACACGTGAAGAAGCACGTAAAGAGCCGAGCAGCCGAGTGCAATGGCAGCCATCGGGGAGCAGTTGTGCATCTCAGTGACCCTCTGCACCAAGCCTTTAGCAGAAATTGCGCGGACCGATACGTTCCCTCCCAGGTATCTCACCAAACGATCGTCCTCGCCGCATTTCTCGCCTCGATCCTGCTGTTCCTGCCCCGTGGGAACTGACTCTTTCACTTCACTCGCTCCGCTTGCAGCTTGGAGTCGACAGCGCCGGCTTTTGCGAGCTTGGGATCTGCAGAAGCCCGCGCCCAAGACGAGAGCTCCGGCAGTCACCGCTCGGTGCCTCTCCTTGCTCTGAATCTCCACGAGCCCAAGTGGGGCTCGGGCCCCGGCCTGTGCTACCTGTGCTACCGGCGGCGCAAGTTCTTTGGTCAAGGAAGGCGATGCAAAGGTCAACGCCATCCTCCGTGCGCCCCACCTACACAAACCTTTAAGGACCAACACAGCTACGACGGGAACGGGCGTGCCGGCAGACCGTGTCTTTGCAGAACGGTGAGCTGGATACGGTAACGATGACACGATGTTCCACCTTTCTTGCAATTGCAAGCTGGTCAGCTGTGTGCACAACATTTGTGCATGTCTGCTAGGCGTGGCCATGCCGTTCAGTGCAGCGTGCCTCGACATGAGATACTGACTTTCGCAAACACAGCCGGGGGCAGATGGCCATGAGATTTCAATCCATGATTTCTGAAGGAACAAAGTCCAAAGTATTCAAATTCTCGCCTTTGTTTGCGACTCTGCGGGATGATTTGGAACTGACCTCAGCGAGATGCGGTTGAACTGCAACTACAAAGCTGAAACCATCTTCCATGATAAGCTGTCCACCCAGCCCATTTTGGCACGGCCTCTCTTCCGATGATGCTTCTTCCGGCACTGCATAGCAGATGGATCCTGGTTGAAGCTTTGTGTAGCCGACATGCCGGGCTGACAGCGAAGTCTGTCCTCCTCAGCCTCCTCGATTGGCAGTTGCCTAGGCCAGGGTGAGAACACCCTGCCTGACTCTGTCAAAAGATGCCTCCAAAGCTGAGGTCAATGGCCACAGTAGGTGTGATAGCGCCAGCGTCGGCGGGCTTTCACTACCCAAAGGGCGCACCTCGCACATGAAAGCAAAACACCTCGCAGCTCGCAACTGCACTGGAGCAGTTCGACAAGGCAGATGGCAATTTTCCGATTGCCACGCAGACGGGAGTTCATTCAGCCGAGAATGTCATCGGCAAGCGCCGCTTGCGGCTGTGGATGTCCGTCTTGGTCTCCACAGCCTACATCCGGCTTTGACAATCATCACTTGCAGCACACTTGCATCTGCAATTTTTCGGCGAAGCCCCTAGTCATTGAAGTCTCTCACTCTCGAATCTGGCCGATACGGACATCGGCAAGGCGTCCGCAGCAAGCAGCCTCCGACACTCGCTGCAGTCGGCATGGAAGCGGTGGCAGAGCTGTGCACCTCGGCGACGGGCTGCTGGAGCAAAGTACCGTTGAATTGTCTCGGGGTCTGAACTCTGATGGAGGGGCTTCCTGCAGGATGGCATTTATCGCCATGACCACCTGACAGCCGTCACGCTATCACTTCAGGAACACAGCCACCCTCAGAGGCTCGGAAGGCCTTCGCTGTCAGGACTGCATCAGCCAGTGCTGAGTGCACAGCTCTCCATGCCTCAGAACACTTCTACATTATAGTGATGCTGGCGCGCCAGACATGCGATATTTTCTGGGGCTTTGCCCTTTCCTGTTGAGCCACGTGGCGCTGCCTGGGCCGCCGTCCACTATGCCGAGCAAGTAGCCTCAAATGCAACAAGCCCAGACTCCAGTCACTCCAGTCTCCACTTAGACTTGTCTCCACTCCAGCGACACCTGGCTTACATCTTGCAGCTAGGCAGCACGCTGTCGTCAGATCTCTTGGGCTTGAGGGCCTGTCCCGAAACCCAGTTGGCGATTACACAATCTACGCACTGGCGGAGCCGGCCGAAGACAAAGGCCAGACATGAGAAGCACCGCTTGAAGCCTTAAGCAGTACTGTACAGTGTCTCATGCACCTCAGATCTGACTACTTGTTATCAATGCACTCCGCGTGTTCATCAATGATCTTTGCTCGCCTCAGCGCACCAAACGCTTCTGCACTGCCTCCGCCAGTGTGAAGCGCGAGATGAAACGAAACCCGTAATATGTCGTCGAGCAGCACGCCATTCGCATCTCATAGAAAAACACACAAGCATGACACTGCATCACAACAGCTCAAGCTGAGAAACTCGCAGAATAAGTGCTGTCGCAACCTGGCCGGTTCGTTACAAGGATGAGTGGCAAGTGCATGAGAAGTCGCATGATCGTGACACTGAACCCAGCTTCATCTTCCTACTTCGTTCGCGTTTCTTATCGGTAGACCGTGCCGACTAAGTCCAGTCGCAGGTACTCGTGGCTTGATGATCACACTGCGGATAAGACATGCCGTCAGTCACTCGCATTCACTGGCAAACTGTCTTCCACAGCCAAGACACGGTATTCCGTGAGGACACGGCGCGACTGAATGACGTTGCGACCGTGCTATCACCCACGTGACTGAGAGGATGTGATTCGTGGGTCCAGGAGTCTAGGCAGGTGACCGTCAGAATGGGAGGATGTGCGGATAAGGAGCTGTGTGACACATCAACAGGGGCTGGGAAGATGAGAGAATCGTGGGCAAGAGCAAGCACGGCCGAGGAGATACTCTCAAGATTCTTGAGGTGTTCGCGATCACGCGCAACCGGTGTGGGGACTCACACGCTCAGGTTGCCGATGCAATTGCAAACGGATGTGTGGCCCGCTGCAAGGCGGAAGAAACGTCTGAGCTAGCTCCACACATGATATGTCTGAAATCCTTCGGTGATCTTCAGGAATGAGTGTGTGGCGTTCCCGTGGGCTACCGCCTGTCGAAACACGAACTGACACACGTATACGCACGCACACAGACATACAGCATGCTTGGCCTACTGCCACAGTGATGGAGCCCGCAGCGCTGCAAGTCGTTGGAGAGCATCCTGGCGGCTCCGACAACTTCAGCTTTGCCACATGCAGGCATGAGGCGTCCATGATTTGAGACTGCGTGGCAACCCTCGTCTGATTTCAACAAATATGACCTCTGTGTTCGACAACGAACGGTCTCGAGGCAAAGGACATTAACACGGAATGCCACCAGTCAGGCGTGCTGGCAGTACTTGATACGCATTACACATATAGAACAAGTTCACGAAGGAGCACATCTGACTTGAGCTCGCCATCGTCCATTTTGGGGACAGCGTCACTAGGTGGGTCATGACAGATCATGAGGCAAGCCTCTTCTGCTTGCTGCACGTTTACGGGTGAGACCGGTCTTGTGAAACGTTTCTGGCTGGCATGAACCGCCGCGGCAGACGAAGTCTGAAATGACAGAAGAGATGTTGCGCTAAGACAACAACATATGGCAATACTGCTCGCAGTGACAATTGCAGTGCAGCTCATGGTGCTGTCTTGGGCCGAAGCTCCTTGGCAGAGCAGGGCCGAAGAATAGCAGGACCAGAGAGGGAGTTTGGATCGAGGAGTCTCGAAGTGCTACGTGTCGCCTGAATACCTCAAGCTGTGCAGCTCTGCCTGTGAGACGGTAGGCAGGGCATTCCAGGCTTTGCGGCTCCTGCAAAGGAGGGCTCAAAATTCAGGTGGCTGGCGGGCTGCCCCTTGGAGGTGTCGTCCGAGGCCGAAGCTGCTGCTCTGCCCTCTGTCGAGCCAGCTCAACGGATCTGGTCAGCACATGTCCGCACAATCCACCCGTGCCAAAAGCAGCAATGACGCCTTGGCCGGTTTTGCGACGGCACCATGGGGGTGTCCGGTCGAGACGCCGCAATCTGGCGAGCACATGTCAACTCCAAGCAGATAAAGCTGAAGAGCTGCTGTGAGTTGCTGCAGTGAGCTGCTGCACCTGCGCCAGGGAAGGCGGTCCAGGAGACAGTGAACCGATATGGCCTTCCGAGCAGCGAAAAGAAAAGCCGCGCCTGCCGAGCGCTACACCGCTACATCTGCGAAACATGTAAGTGAGCCACTGTCCCAGGAACTCCACCACTGGCCCAATATCTTTGACTTCTCCTGGGTTTCAGCTGAGTTGGTTGTCGCTGGTGGAGGGGCTTGCTCATCCAAGGAACATCAGTGAAATGCTTCTCGGAGATGCCCTTGACAGTACGGCTGGAAGCAACCTGGTGAAGGGCATCAAACCTGCGGCCGGATTGGTGATTGCTGATTCAAGGTCTTCTACATGGACCAGCAGCACGGCTTGCGGGTCCGCCTGCTTCTGGACTGTGCCATCGAATCAGCGACTTCTGCGCTGGCTTTGATCTCGTCCTTCCAGCGTTCGGAAAGCAATGCTTGCCGAAAAGATCTAGAGAAACCCACCTGCATGCGGTCGATTGCCGCAAAAGCATCAGTCTGGACTTCTTGAGCGAAGAGCGAAGCATTACGCACCTGCCTGGGTGTGCGTGCGCAGCACTCGTGAACAACATGACATGGAGCCAACAAGCAGGAGCTGGCCACAGCATTGACGAATTCTGGCCAAGTTGCTCTGTGGTACTGCTGAAAAGTCGTTGAACCTGGGCCAGACCATCACAGTTGCACTCACTCAAGAGTTTCCACGGCCCCGTAGCCTACAACTGGCCTACCAGTGCAACTGTATTGCAGCTGAACCGTGGCTAGTGCCTCGTTCTCAGCTGCCTCAATCAACGCGACCCTCTCTTGATCGAAATCCTGCAAAAATGCGCCATTGCTGTCCGCAACTGTTGTAGTCTTGTCAGAAAGTTTAGTGAGCTCCTTCTGCAGCTTGTCCAAGCTGCCTCGATTGGAAGCTACTTCCTTCTCATACTGCTCAGGTCCATGGTGGAAAAGAGAACTGCTCGCGCGATGCGATAGGCAACATCTTCGTAGTCCGGGACACGGTATAATTCCTTCACCTCTTTCTCAAGGATGGCCTTGCGCTGCTCGATCTCCGCAGCTTTCTCGAACATGCTCTTGCCTTGGATAAATAAGCCACCTCTCACCTCTGACTGGCACTCCCTGGGTTAACGAAAATCCTCGTAAGCAGCAAGGCTGCACTCGCTGATGGCCGCGTCCTGGGCAGATAGGCTTGCGTTGAGCTCGTGCTCAGCCTTGCGAACCTCAGCCATCAGATCGGCAAGACAAGCACGTAGCCTTTTGGTTGGGCTCAACAGTTGGACCCGCACGGCTGCAGAACCACGACTAGCTGACTAGCTTTCTTCCGAAGCTTCGGAAGCTCAAGCAACTTCGCGACATGGAAGACGCGGGACACCCCCTTATTGCGGTGAGGACACCATGGCCGCCAAGCTAACATCATGCTCCTGCAGCAGCGCTCAAGACATGCACGTCTAGATAGCCGTGCCAAACGAGCACCAGGGGCGTCCTCTGTCATTTTTGCTAAGGCCTGACAGGCTCCAGCACTCCCATGCACTCCCCACACTCCCCGCCGAACGGTCACGATGTTAAAGGCACTCTCACGAACACAGCAGCCCGAAACACATAGCAGGCCTTCTCATGATTTGCGAGCATCTCTGCTCTGGTCGTGAGAACTTCTTCTAGTCGCTTCTTTTCCCTCGCGACCTGGCAGGCTGGCCCGCCGCCCCTGTAGATCAGAGTAGTGGAGAGCTAACTTGTCGCGACGGCACCTGTTTTTCACCCCTGTGCTCCGCAGCCAGTATTCCATTTTCGCCTTCAGGTACCAACAGATGCTGCTGCAGACATCTGCAGTCTTCCCGAATGAAGTATCTGCCAGGGTGCAATTGGCAATCTCCTTCCGGATCCTCTCTGGGGTGCAAGCCTGTAACAAAAAACGGAACAAAGGCAGCGGAACGCGGCAACAAAACCAGCCCTGATAACTGCCATTCTGTTCTCGGAGGATGCTGTGGGACTGACGATGGAGGGATCCCAGGACTGCGACATGGCCTGCGCAGAAAGACACGATCTATCTGCCAATATAAAGCTCTCTGCAAGGCCCTCCGAGGCTTGGGCGATGGCCTGCTCCGAAATAGAGTGCACTTCATTTCATTGGGCCCAGAGGCTGCGAAGTACGGACATCATGCTTGGACGACTCTTCCACAGACCATACTGAATCGGTGTCCTCATGTCGAAAGCTGCATTGTGCGCGATCAAAGCCGTTTGCTCCAGCAGCGGCTCCTCGCTTGCAGCCTGCCGTGATGCAATATTAGGGCCTTAGGGATGCAGCAGCACACGAAGGCAAAACCCTTGCACCTTGAAGCCTGAAACAAATCGCAGGAAGTTCTGCAAAGCCGTTTTTCGTGGCGCTGCAGCCTGTGAGGCTGCCATCTTCATGAGTCCAAGGCTTCCGAGAAAGGTCTTCTTGAGAAACCGGCAGCGAGCAGATCTTCACAAAGGCCATTGACTTCAGAAGCTTTGGAGTTGATTTTCCGTGTTGGTCTCAAAAGACCTTCGAAGCAGTTCGAGAAGAGTCTCTAAACACATGCGGTGCTTGGGGCATGCGCTGTGGAATGACACTCCGGTAGAGCTCAAAGTTGAATAATTGGACTGAGGACCTGAGCGAAGCTTGTGCTGCAAAAACCGTGGCTCCAAGCTGACATCTAAGCGTTTAGCAATATCTTGGGCTGTGGACTTTGGAGACCTGGTGGTTGCACCTGCACAGTCTAAACCATGCGATGTGAGATCTTGCATCGGATGCTTCACCCACTTAGGAAGTGCAACGCTTCGTCTCAGGTTAAGAGGGGCCCTGGATGCGTGTTCCAGGATTTGGCGCTTGCAAGGCGAGCCGTGCAAAGTTTTCTCTTGACAAAGCGCACGGGAGGGATCGGTGCTGAGTTGCACCTCATTCTGCGTCCAAGACAATCCAGACAATCGCGAAGCGAACATGTGCGATGGAAGCACGAAGGGAACATGTTTCCACGACTTCAAAGAATCACGTAGCCCATCTTGAGGCCTCTTGAAGAAACTTTGACCCAGGCCTCCAGCTCAATGGCACCAATCTCCAAGATCTCATCGTCGTTGCTGAAGCCTGATGTCTCTGTATCGAAGACCTCGGACTGAAAGTGCAAACACATTCTCGGCTCGGTCGGCGAAACCTCAGAGGCCTCTGAGGATCCGACTACCACGCGAGTAAACTTTGCAGGCTCTAACGGCAGCAGCCGCCACCAATTCTAAGAGCAGCGAAACTTGCTTTCGACTCAAAGTAGGCCTCGTGATTGCATCGCTCAGGCATGCACGGCTGCTGTCATAGACTTGTGTAGGAGGCCTGCAGCCTCGGCAGGATTTGGCAGGGTGCAGCCCTTGTGACGCGTGGCCAAAAGACATGTCACACCTTTTCTACAGCACAAGGCACCGCTGGAAGCTCCGGAGCTTCTTCGTGTTCGCACTGCGGCACCTTAGCTCTGGAGCAGTGGACCCGTCCCTGTCGAGCGGCTTGTGGGTCCAAGATCCAGGGTCCAGGAACATTAGTTGTAGCATGTGACGATGGGAGGACGCAGATTCGGTCTCGGTGTCTTTCGAATGTTTTTGAGCTCCACAATTCAAACGCAGCACAGGGAAGGCTGTGAATGACAAATGGCCAGGCAAGGGGCGATCGTAGTCCCGCTCACGGCTGGCTCGTGTGAGGATTGATCCACGCCACATGCCGTCTCGGACATGCATTGGCTGGCCGTGATGCAGATATATTTTGTAATGTTCACGGCTTTTCGGATGCTCTGCACTAATAGGCGGGCGGTGTCATGTGTCTTCAAAGATCCTTTGATCTCGTTTGGATCGAGCCGTGCTTCATGTGCATGAAAAGATGTCTGAGCCAGAAGTTCGAACTCTCGTGCCCTCGTGAGCGCTCTGCAACCCAGACCCACGGCACCTGTGTCAAGAGGGAAATGGAGGCATAACGCGATTCCGAGACGGGAGCGCTCCCGTGACCTGCGCCACGTTGCTTCCAGACGCCAGAGGCACTCCGAAGGCTGACAAGGGCTTTCTTTTCACTGGCAGACCCCTTGCGCAGGCTCATGCTGCCGCTTTCAGCTTGGCACCCCGACTGTTCACAGCGGTGTCACCATGTGATACCATGGGCCATTACAGCCCGCACTCGCGAGTCGCGAGCATGTGCACAGCTCCGACTTGATGCGCAAGATTACAGGAATGCCCTCGCTGCACGTACTGCACGATACTGTCAGTAGCAGCGCTTCCCGCATCGCGACAGGGTATCCAAGTATCCAGCTTGCGGTGACAGGATGTGGCAGGCGGCCATGTCTGCATTGCCAGGAAGACTGTGTCGCACCCACACCTTCTACTTGTGCTTCTGCATGGGTGAGCCGCTCACGGACCCGACATCTGCAGGCAAGTGTAAACTAGCCACTATGTGTTTTCGGGCCTGTCCACAACATGGTCAGCAGCGCACAAAATGCCCCACAATGTGCGCTCGTCTCTGCTCGAACAACCTGAAACACTTCTCAAAAGAAACTCACATCCGGACTCTACACGAGCAAGCATGAACACAGTGCTGAAACTAGGAGTGGTGCTGGGAGGAAGCCGAGCATGCCAAAACGCATCGATAGCAGCATCGCCATTCCGGCCCAAAGTGAATTTGGCTTCTCCCATACCATCCTCGGTCCAGGGTGCTTTGGAACCGAGCATGAGCACGAAGTCATTGCAGGACTGCCGAAGCTCAGCTTGCCCCAGGAGCCAGCAGGACAAACAGAGGTGTCGAAGACGCCAGGCGTGCTGACCACTGGCTGCCCAGCCCTGGCCTGCATGGGTGTCCTTCACAAGCTCTCCGCTGTCGGCATCCCAGCCCCAAGAGAGCAGGATGAAACGAACGACGCTGGCATGACAGGCGATGTAGTCAGGATCGTCTCGCAGCTCCTGAAGGGCCTCCGGGACAAGGGCCATTTCCCCGTCTGGATGCAGCGCCGTGGCTTCATCGATCGGCAAAAGTTCGTCGTCGTACCGAGTGTAGAGCGGGCCGAACAAGAACCAACTTTCCAGGTCGGCCCAATGCTTCAGGCTGCGCGCAGTTACACTGTCAGGCGCGGAGCCTTGGAACATGGCGTGACGGCACCGCGCCGCGATTGTCCCGGTCTCGTACTTGCTGCTGTGCCCGATCTGCGAGATGCCCCTGCCTTTGGGTGTCCAGGTTTCAGGCCAGTGGAGCTCCACTGGGCGCTCTATGTACAAGACGTTACTCGTAAATGGTACAGGGCTGTCGCATCGCAATCCCATACGGCAGAATGGAATGCATTGCGTCATCTCTGCCAGAGAAGGAGATCCCCAAATCTGCAGGAGCCATCCGCTCTGAGCATCTTCCGAGGCGCCTTCAGCAACTTTCAGCTCATATAATCGCGCTACCGAGATGGTCACAGATTTGACGGAATGGAGCTGAAGCTTCGCGCCCGTCTCAGACCACTCCGCTCTGAGCTGCACAGCTCCGCGGATCTCTCCTCGAGGCTGCGGTGTGAGATGAGCCACGTCCGTGCCATCCGTGCCGGAACGACCCGGGTGCGGAGCCCTCAGCATCACGCTCTGCACCGCTGCCTTGGCCTCGGCTTCCGCTTCATCCTGCCCGGGCCCGGGTTCTTCTAAGAGACCGGTACCCCAAACCGCCTCCCCAAGCTGCAGCGAAAAGAGAAGTGCCGGCATCGCATGCAAAGCTCCTCCGCCCACGGACAGGCCAACACGGCAAGGGCAAGAAGCTCAAGTCTAGACTAGACAACAGCTACAGCGGCCACGTAGACCGTCCTGATCTCGGATGGCAGCATTAGAACAGGCGGGCAAGCATTTCACGACGGCATGAAATGGCAAGCTTTCACTAGGCTCGGTACCCAGGTAGCCGTGGCTCTCTCTGTCTGGCAGGACAGGCCGCACACCTGGAAGGGCACATTAACCAAATCGCCCCGCTTCTGGCATCTGTGTCTTTGTCTCACTTTGCAACTGTGCACCGGACAGGCGGCGACGTTGCCAGGCATCACCCGCAGATGATCGTGTGCCAACCGTGTTTGGCACAGGCCTTTTGCTGGACCAAATCCCGGCAGTCCCAAACAAAGCGCACGCGATGCACTTTTTCTTTTCCATGATTCGGATCCATGCCCATAAAACGCAGGGTGCATTCAAAAGGGCAGGATAGCAACAGCAACCTTTCGAAAGCTGGGGCCATGTCATCTGCGAATGCACGACCTGAAACGGCCACAGCAACGAGAGCTCACTCGTCCGGACAATGCGGAACTGTCGCAACTACTGCAGTCATCAAGGCACTCTGAGTCTAGCACACACTCCGTGTCCAAGACTGAACGGCGTGCCGGCCAAAGCTGTTCATGGAGAAAGGAGCCGGATCGACAAGACTCTGCACTGGCTGCGGTTTACAGTTGGCTTTTCTTGAAAGCTTGACGCTACGTCTATGGCAAGTCTATGGACAGAGTTGCTGTCCGCTTGAACCAAGGATTCAGGGTCAAGATCGGACAGCGGAGCTGTACCAGCACTACCGCTGCAGAGTCCCAGCCCGAATTTCCCGGCTTTTAAGCCTATTAAGCCTTCAGCTGGCAATTCCTTGACATGCTCAGACAGAGAAAGAAGACTTCGCGTCACTACATCTCGGACGATCACAGGTTTTAGAGGCAACTGCGAGCAAGGGAGGAACCGCCACAACGCTAGGCAAGGTCTGAAACCGCGACTCACGGTTCGCGCAGTCCAGCTAGAAATGAGGCGCTCACAGACTACATGATGTAGATATAGCTCCTTTGTCTCACACCCGCAGCTGAAGACTGAGGTTGTGCACAACATCATGGAGTTTGTCTGGCTTGTTCTAACGCTCGACATTTTCTCTGTGGCCACGCTATGTCACGCTCATGCCCACAGGCCGACGCCAGGCTTCGCGGCGCGCAGAGGAGGGCAATTCTAGGACGGGGGCCTGGTGCAGGCCCATCGGACGTGAAAAGCCAAGGAGCTCCCTTGACAGCTCGGGCTCCGGGTCTCGTCAGACGCAGCTCATCGGAAATCGTAGCCCGGGTCGCTTCGCCTGGGCCTCGTAAGGTCAACTCGCAGCGGGAGATGTCCGAAGCCACGCGATGCGATGGGCTGCTCTAGCTCTCAGGGCTACACGGTGGACGATCATATCCAGAGGCCTTGGCAAGCGCCTGCACCTTGTCGGGGCTTTGCCGGCTTGCGAGATGAAGTCGGACAATGCCAGGGCTGTCAGGGTGGCAGGCAATCTCCTCGAAGTCACCGTCCTCATCCTCAAAATGGGGCCGTGTCAATCTCAAAGTCTCTGCAATACCATTAGGCGCGCCTCCATGATGACCTGCGCTGCCTCCAGCGGAGTGTACCGCATCCTTGAGTTGCGGAAAGTTGTCACTTTCGCGTGTGGTGTTGACGGTGACCCATCGGGACATCAGGAGCAAGCTCTGTTCTTTCTCGAATATGCGGATCGGCACGGGCCTCTCACATCAGACATCACTGATGTCATGTCGTGTGATTCTGTGTCTGTCGTGCAGAAGTCCATGCCTCTAGCAGGACCTCCACAAGCTCAAGACTTCCAGCCAAGGCAGCTAGCCTGCCAAAATCTCAGAGCTGGAGCAGTTTGCACTCTCGGCCCAAATCTCTAAACAAGAAGACAAGCAGGTGTAAGAACACCAGCACCCCGTCAACTCCCATCCTGATTCCACCCTCCGCCTCGGCTGACTGCTTCCCAACGTCTACCCCTCCCACGTATCATTTCGCGCGCTGCGCCGTGGACAGTGGCACAGGCCTCCACACTACCCTGAGATTTTAGAAGATATTCAACAGACCCAACTCTCATGTGACACCGCCGGCAGGTGGGCGAGCGCTTCCGAGGGATTCCGAGGTGGGAATCCACGATTTCTTGGCTCCACACACACACACACACGAGTATTGCCCAACCGCCGACCGGGCCCACGGCTTTTTACGCAACATGCAGAAACATCAAATGAATGCCGTGCAAAATCTTCCGAGCTCGACACATTCCACCGCACATGCAATGTAGCATCACAAACAACAGTACTCCGACAATTCAGCTCGCGGCATAAGAGGAGTCCTGCCGTGCACAGGGTCCTGGAAGTTCAGATCCTTATATTGCACGGGCATTGCAGCATATTGCAGTGCTGCAGCACCGATACAGGCCACTGTCTGCTGCACCAAACAATGTACAGACTCGGGACAACCAACTGCTGCTGCATCGGGCAGTCGATCCCTTCGACACTCCGGCCCTGCAATGCGCTAAAATCGCTGCCGCGGCTTGTACAGTATTGTTGGAGTCTCTCACTGGGTCTCGGTGCATCCGCATCTGTCCAGCATGCGCATGCCAGGGTCTGGATTTCTCGCTGTCGCAGAGGAATGCGCGGACAAGTCCCCGACACGAAGAAACCTCTTAGTCGGCGAATTTTCCCAGCCCTGAAATGCATCAGATTCGTACAAGCCGCCAGCCACGATCCCCGGACTGCTGGACGTTTGGGATGCCAGGGCCCCGTACCCGAACTTCTTGAAGCGACAAGCTGAGTTTGGGGCGAACTCGTCAGAGCGAAACTCCAGCATGTCCTGCACCCAGTGAACCGTCCTAACGTAAACGGACCCCTGGATTTGCCTCCACGCGCTCCAGGCGGCCAGCTTCGACCTCTACATATGCGGACTTCGTGGAATCACTCCCCTCCCATGTGCATGACTTTCGTGTTGAGAGCACATGAAGCAACAGCCAGAGTCAGTAAGCACGGAGCATGATCCACGAAAGCTTGTTGAATCGAAGATGCCTGCAGTCGAAGTTCGGGTGATCTCTCAAAGTTCATCTGGCTGTCGGAAGAAGAAAGGGGCTTCAAACACTGGCCAAACTTGGACTTGGAATCTGGGCATTCCTGTGAAGCTTGCCTTGCTGAACAGCTGTCTTTCGGAGTCGCTTTCCTCATCTGAAGCAAAGCAGGGGGGTTCATCACAGGGCCAGGGCCGATATACACACACAGAAAGACAGAGACATGCAGTCCTGTGATCTCCTCGCGAGAGCCCCGTTCTTGGAGTACCAACCATTCTCATCAACACCACCCAGTTGAAAGTCGAGCCTTTCAAGAAGACTCGATTCGGTTTGCTTCTGTGTGACAGCACTGCGACCACCTTGCGCTTGAAGCTTCCAATGGCACCAGCGAGGCATTCCGAGACATTTCTGGCTTCTACCTGCGCGATCGGGCCACGAGAAGCCTTGCATTGCGCATCAGTCTTGGGGAGGCCTCAAAAGCCTCAGGCACGGCGCTGCCACAGAGACAATCTGCGAATCTGTCCAACTACTTGCCATTTTCATCTGAAGCAGGTAAACTGTACGACAGCTTTACGAACAACCTTGTTCTGCACCTCTGTCCTTCTAATCAGTGCTTCACGTCAGCACGGTGTGAATAGGTGAAAGATGTCAACGGAGGATGACAAAGTTGATTGGGTATGTCGTTCTGTTGTGTTGTGGCACGCCTAAGCGGCGAAGCTCTGGCACATTCTCGTCATTTGCTAGGGTTCTGGGAGCTGGAACAGCAATCTGCTGGCAGCTTGCAAATTTCAGAAACCTCTAGCAGCTCCAGCAAGCTCCAGCATGCAACGGCATAACCCCTCTGACTCTCTTTCAGCCGCGCCAAGCACCGCATCTACAAAGTGCATTTCAAGTCAGGATAGTCCTGCATGCACCATGGATGTCTCAGGAAGACCGGCCAGTTTTGCTGTGCAGCACATCGGGGATGCAGTCCTTGCGAATCTGTTCGAAATCGGAAAAGAACTTCCTGAGCTCGAACAAACTTCAGTGTAGCAAAGTCAAACTGACATCAAAGCAAATCTAGAAACGGCATCGACCTGTTCTGCTATCGTCCCTTCTGGTGGCCGAGTCGCATGTCATGAAAGAACGGGTTCGGAGCTGGCTTTGCGACTCGATCGGGATCGGCCAAGTATGTCAAGGCCTTGTCAATGTGAGCTGGATCCTGGCACAAGAGTTGCTGCTTCATGGTTGAATCCTGGCAGCCCCGAGGCATCCTTCTCCGCATGACCGAAGAAGAAGGCCACGGGCACGCCTTGCCAGACACAACGAAGAGTCTGCATTTTTGGGATGGTAGTAAGAACCGCTCAAAGATCCTTCAGCACATGGTTAGTTCACCCGTTGCGCCTTTCGGGAAGTATCTCGTGTCGTCGTAGTATGGGTACGGTCCAGGAGGATGCTGGGCATCAAGGTTCTCCCACAGGAAGTTGATGCCGCCTCTCACAGAACCACCGCAAAAACATCAGTACACATCGAGACAGCACCTATAAGTACGTAACGTCCGGCATCCAATGGTGAGGGCTCAGGGGCTCAGCGCGCGCACGATATTGCCGCTTCATGATATTGCATGCCATTCATGCCATTCCACTGTACTTTAGGCATGTCCGGGTCACGGCAGCCATTCCCGAAATGCGCCTGTCTGAAACGCACCTCAGAGTCAGAAGGTCAAGACTCAAGAGTGCTCACCGTGCATGTGGAGCCAAGCGGCACCACGCCTTTGTAGCACCCTCTTGCCTCGAAAACAACTGCATGCGAGATGTGTTACGATTGAATCAAGTGTATGGCTAGGATGTATTCATAGTCACAGTGTACATGTACAGGAAATCACAATGCCTGCGTGACAGCGGGTAGAGTCCATGTGGACATCGCATGTATAGATATTGTGGGCAGGCTGTGGACGAGGCATGTCGAGGTCCAGTCTTTAACTGGGGCGTGTAAGGCCTCCTCTACAACCGAACCTTGGTTCAGCCAGGCTTCCACAGAGCCACATTGAGCAGATCCTCGTCTTCCTTGATGTCCGCTGTTGGCACACCCTGCTCCTTACGTCCTCACGGAAGAGCTGCTGTTGAATTGACAAATGCCAAGGCGAGACTGAAAGCTGGTCGTGTCTCCTGCGATCTTTGCAGAAAGCCAGCGACTTAGGAAAGGCAGCGACCAGTAAGTCCAGGTCGGCTGGGCCTACGAATCAATTCGCTGGCGGTCTGGCAGCATGGGCAAGGAATGGCAAGGACGGGGCCTGTCCCCATCGCATGGTAGGAGTTGGACAGTCTTTGCAGGAAAAGCCCAGGAAATTGCCCTGGAAGACAGAGGACGCCCATCGCACATGCCGGTCCCCATCTGCAGAGAAGGCACCTTGTGCAACCTCCTAGAGGCTTCTCTGTCACGGACATCGCGGTCAAGAAAATGCGTTGGCATCATGGGGTATGGATACCTGCGAAAGCGCTTGACGAAGCTGCCTTGTGCAATCCTCCACACGCGTAAAGACACCTGCATGCATCGAAGAGACTTCTCGGTGATTTCCTCGGCGGTACGATTTAGAAGATGATCCGCCTGGGCTGTGACCATGAGCATGTCCTTGGCTTCGGCAGCTTCTGCACATCGAAGATTCAGTTCCATTCGAGAATTGTGTGTGCACTAAGCCTTATTAAGCCGAGCGTCGGAGTCCAGGGAAGCTCCGACTTTGACCTGAACGTTCGAGGCAAAGACTGTCGGCAACAGATGGCTTCAAGACTACGGACTGTGAAGGTGGTGCCTGTGCCAGCAGGACTGCTCGAAGCTTGTTGAAATTGAACGATATGGGACTTGTTGGCCTGAGGCTTCGTGCATGTAGCAGCCTCGGCCCGCATGGCGCAAAATGTTGCTCTGTAGCTGACCACGCTCACTCACGCAAGCTCCTTCAGCAGTTGCCAAGCAACACCAGATGGGGAAATCGCTTGGGATCCAGGTCTTCTGGCGCCTCTGCTGCTGGAAACCAAAGCTGCGCTGTTGCTGTGCACACACCTAGGCGAGTCCCCCTTGTCAGATGCCTTCGTCCCGAAGTTGACGACGATGACTGGATGTTGGGAAAAACGATGCACGGAGTCGACCAACCTTTCCTGACGTGCATTCTTCAAAGGCGTGCCCCGCAGCGTCGACATCTAATGATCGAGGTGCTGTCAGCTGTCCGAAGATGCCTGGCAGTTTCGTTCGGGGCGCACAGACGCGCACGCCTCATCATGACCCTGAAGCCCTCCATGAGCCCCTGTGACTCCGGGCAGCGGAAATTTCGTTGAGCAGGTTTCGGAACTCTTTTACATCTGAAGCTCGCTCACGAGCTGGCATTGGATCCACCCGGGCCACCGTGTTTCTCTCTCTGCACTTAACAATCTGGCCGTGTTTCGTGAGCTCAACAGCATGTTTGCTGCTTGAAAATGTGCTCCCGCGCCTTTCCCATCTGCAGGCACTGCCACATAGTTAACCCATGCAGCATCTGCCCAGCCATCTGTGTTATAGACCTAAGCATCGCTAGGGCACTTGCACAAGGGCGTCATATGAGATGGAAGAGATCCAGCTGGGGCAAGCGCACTCTTGTAATTAGATCGGAAGCGTCGATCTAAGTAGACTTCCATCAATGGCAAATTTCTGTCGTCCTTACATCACAAGCTGCACGGGCAACGCCCCAGGAGAGCAGCGGTAGCGTTGCTGACACTGAGTCTGACACTCTGCAGAGGTTTTGCCACGCTTCCTCCAACTTCATGTTCCTGCTCTCCAAAATCCGACAAGGCTTCAGACGCGACATGCATGCTGTCTCTCAGTGTGGGTGAAGTGCCGTGCTGCTTGGTGAGCTGCTGAGATGAAACTGCAGTGGTGAACGCGAGCTTCGTTCAAGACTACGGATGTAACAAAGTATTTTGACTTGCATCCAAGCAAATTGATGTTTGCACCTGCTCTACTGCATGGCACATCTCAATTCGCGACCGAGCTGCCATGCTTCATGGCGCTGCCTGGCAGCTACCTCCAGCAATTCCGCATGTTCAGTTCGAAAGTGGTGGCATCTCTGTTTGCACTTCAACCATGATACATGGTCTCGCATGTCCCGACCTTGGAGCAGGATAGCAGCGGCTCTTCTTCTGCATGTTCACAGAGAGTTTCGCTGTTCTGGCGTCTGATGTTGGTCGAACCTCCGCGTAAAGGACATCGTCAAGTTTTCACAGGCACTGTGCAGCACACTCTGCAACTTGGCGCCTGCGATGGCCGCAAGCAGTGAGAGCAGCAAGGCGTGTCTGACAGAGCTCAGAGCATCCCAGATCAACACACCGCAAGCCGTCACGATGCACCGCATGCACCGCAAGACTTAGCGGACCTTTGCACATGAAGGGCTACATTGCTGGAACGCATGGCAGGAGGTGGACCGTGAATGGCATGAGTGGAACTCTTTGAGCCAAGAAGACCTTCAGCGCAAACAGTCCCGGTGATCCCTTGTAAGGCGCGATCGGTGCATCCCATCTGCTCGTCGAGATGCTTTTCGGCTTTGGCGAGCTGCACTTGCCGGGTCAGCTACTTCAAGCAGTGAAACGGTAGCAGAAAAGCAAGGCACACATAGAAAAGCACACGGCAGAGGCCATCTTTCCAGAAAATCCAGGTGCCCGGGTAGGGAACCACGCCGCAAACTTTTGCTGAATCCAATCCGAGCCCACCTGACCTCGAACCAGCTGCGGTTTTCCAGTGTCGCCAGCTACCCAAGCACAATTAAGTAGCGCACTAGCACTGGCCGGAGCCACATCGGTAGCGGCCGAGAATCGGATCACCTGCAGGAATCGAGCCCACGAGCCGCTGAATGATTCGTTCAGAATTCCAACCTTGTAGATCTTGTTGCAGTAATAGTGGTAGATTCGCTTCCCCTCGTGCGGTGGCTTTTCGGGTCCAAAGAGAGGTGGCCTGTGCAGCAGCTCGGGAAAACGACCCCATCACCGACATTGGGTGACCTTGCACTAGCAGTCAAAGTTGCAGCCGATGCACCGTCTGTCCGCCCTGTAACCAACGCGTCCTCGATTTTGACTATTGACCTGAGCTGCTGCACCACTTATCGGATGCTTTTGCTATCATGTTCTGTTCGCTGGTGACTGAGTCAGCGTCTACGGAGGGAGTCGCTGGGTCTCTCTAAACTTTGGTCCCTGGCTGCTTTGCGCCATTTGGCTCGGGACTTCAATCTCCATCCCTTCTTGGCCATCAACCTTAGAGGCTAGGCAGGAAGCTGACGATGGCTCCAATGACAGCAGGCAGGAGTCCGGCGTAACGAGTGCGAGACCTGCAGCACTTGGTATGCAGCAGTGTCACGTCACACGGGCCACCAGACAGTCTGAGAACTCTGACCCAGAGCACATCCAGGGACGGCAACAGTGCTTCCGAAATTGTACCTGCAAAGCTGCTCAACCTTGCAGCACCCTGGAACACGATGACACAGGACTTTAAGGACAGGGCGATTGTCCAACAAATCGGCTTTCGGCACCTCTCCACACAGGCATGATTGCCGACTTTCCAGAAGGAGCGCGCTCCGGCAGCACATGCTCTTGTTTGCAACATGTTTTCGCAGCGTGCATCCCAGAGGCACCATGTATCTCGCCACGCACTGGCTGAAAGCTTGGCGAGTGCCTCGCAGCTTCGCCGAGGCTGAAAGGCCGAAAGTGCGCTTCCGTGAACACTTGGAGCAGAACCCGCGCAGAGACGAAGGCTGACCTTGCGAAGGCAGAAGGCTCTGAGGCTCTAAGAGGGTCGCCTCGGAGGCCTCGCGCTTGGACCCTGGCTAAAGGCCGCTTCTCGCGTCAAAGTGAAGACCGCGGCCAGGGCCGCCTCGGAGACGCGACGCATCGCGACGCGTCGCGACGCGCGACTGGGCCTCCGCTGTGCTTTCGGGTTCTGAGGCAAGCACGGCCGCACAGAGAAGCCTCATCCTGCCGAGGTCAAGAAATGAGGCTCGAATGCCGACCCACAGTGCTGCGACCATGGCCTGGGAGTAGGAGCGTTTGACGCGCTCTTCTACCGTTGCACGCTAGTGAGCCACGGGAATCAAAAGAACATCGTCGCTTGTACTGACGGTGGCATCAGGGACATCACCACCAGCATAGTGAGGCACCGCTGGCGTTTTGTGCATTTTTGTGCACACGGCAACATCGACAACGACATCGTCAGCAGAGTGAGACCCGAGTGAAAACATCTGGCTGCCGAGCGTTCAGCCATTTCCTGATATTTGGAGGCTAATTCAGCTTCGCACAGATCTGGGCAGGCAGCCGGCAAAGCTCGACACAGGCGGTGCAGCGGTTCAATGTGACCTTGGTCGCACAACTGAAATTGTCGAATCGCAGTCCTTGCCTTGTGTGGTCCAAGCATTGTTTGGTTAAGAACCCATTTATGAGATGTCGCTGGCGCTTGGCTGCTGCAACTGATGGTGTCACTGTCGGCAGCAGCGCGGTCTTCTTTTGACGCCCACTCGCAGCAAATCTTGTTCAGAGTCGTGACAGTCGCGATCGCCTCGCAGAGCAGGCTTGCAATCGTCAGCAGATTATACCAAGCTACAACACTTCCAGCCCATTGTCAACATCACGTGGGCCTGCCATCATCGCCTAGCGCAGCCGGCGTGCTTCTCGCTCAGTCTCCAGCAGTGCCAAGATGTCACCTGTCTTAAGACGCACGCCCAAGGCTGGGATTGAGGCACATTCTTCTGAGGCTGCAGCCCTCACGCACGGGGCCCTTCACGTTGCGGATCAGAGAACGGCCGGCAAGCTCTGGAGCCGTCTCGGTCATGAAGACAACACCTCAGTCAAGTGCCATGTCAGATTCGCGTGTCCGGCTCCAGCTGCAGAACTGCTTGAAAGCCTGAATTCACGGCAAGAGGCGAACCTGGATCACACCTCCTCGAGACCCAGTCCTTCCCAAGACCTTCTCGACCTTTGCCAGCTTCACCTCAGGAGGCATCGTCTACTGGGGCAAATGTCCCGCAGCACGGGCTGCTGGGCAAAAGACATTGGTCGAAGAAATAATTTCAATCACCGAAATTGTGCTGCATTTTGTGCACTGATCAATACTCGAATGTTTGTCCCGACATCCTTCTTCCTCCTTCCCACTAATTTCGCCCGAATACGATGCTTCAGCTGGAGATGTCGCGATGGAAAGCTGATGCATGATGAATACACGAATTTTCACAACACCATGCTTGCCAAGGAGCACCACCCGCGTCCATGGCAAAGAATGAGCTTCAAATACTGCGAGGCTACTGCAAGGGGAATCTGCCAGAACCGCTTTTGGCCACGGAGAACGGACGGTGAGCGAATGTCAACTGCTGTCGAAATGCTGTCTGCACAGTTGCTCTCTGCTGTGGCCGCAACTTGCATGTACCAGTTCCACCAAGCTGCGTTTCATGCGAGAGGCCTGCAGGCACCGACAATGGCTGAAAGGCTGGAGCTGCAGAGCATGGTCTAAGGAGGACTCGACGCCGCCTGGGAGAAGGATCGCGCCACCGCTCTACTGTTGCCTTTCGTTGAGCCCAGGTCAGTCCCAACAACGAAGCTGTCGGAGATCGTGTCTGTATGTCTTGTTAAGCAGGGTATTCGCCAGAATGTCAGCACCACAAGCGCACCTGTTTCTCACGATTGACGATAGGCATGCAAGCGACACTGTCGTCGCCGTGAAAGCATCCACTTGGCCACGAATGCTCCAAATCTGACCGTATTGCATCGTTGAGCGCAACTCAAGATAAATAAAACCTACCTTGTCAGCAAGACTGCAGAAATGGAGCCGGAGTAGCCCACGACAACGGGAGGGTTGTCTCTGCTAGTTCCCAGGTTCGCAACTCGAGCAGCGACGTAGTACGTCCACGGGCCTGGGCGGCATCACTTCCTGTCCTGCAATCTCATCCCATGTCGGTTCACAGCGGCAGTCGAGTTGCCCTGCGTTCCAGGCGTATCAACCAGGAGAGCAGCAGGATATTCGCTGGAAGCCCCATAATCGGAGAAAACCTTTGACAGAGGCCGTTGGGAATGCCATGGATGACTCGAAAAGATTTCACCGCCCACTGCTTTTGGGCTCGACTGAACTTACATCATCAACCGTCATCCAAGAGGCCATGTCCAATCCAAAGTCCTGACGAGTCTGCATTCACTCTTCTGGCCTGCCTAGTGCCGATCGCAAAGGGTATCCTCCGAGAAACCCAGGTTTTGGGCAGGTGCAGATGTAGCTTCCTGCGGCCACTTGGCTTCAGAATGCAAGAATAAGTAGATCAGAAGACTCACACACGGTGCCTGGCCTTCCTCCTGAAGATGGTGAAGTGGGCTTCGTAGAAGTGGCTAAGTGGGCTGCAATCGATGTGATACCTTGAGCCACAACAGGACGTGGGAGCAACGCCAGACTACAAGCTTGAACTTCAAGCTCGCGGCACCAGCAGCACACGGTCTCTCGGTCTCCTGACTGCGGACAGAAACCACAAATGTCTCAAAGGACACTCAGCTGGCAGTTGCTGCATGAAAGCTTTCTGTTCTCGGATAGCACTTGCGATCTCCTGAGGCCGCAGGTTAGCGACATCCCAGGAATCTCGGTCCAACTACCTTCTGTGATTTCGGTGGGCTCTGTTGGCCGCATCGGCCTCACAAAACGTGCCACGCTTCACGCATTGCCGTCACAGAATCCGCAGAAGACTCTGGGGCAAGTGCCCAATCACCATGTGGCCAGGTAAGCGAACCAACACCAACCTTGCAGCTCATGCAAAGAAGTGCGAAGCTGGAACGGAAGAGACTGCCCCACGCCCTTCACTCTCCCCGACCGTTCCTAAGCCTGTTGCTGCCGCTCCTTCTGAAGCGTTGCAGATACACCGGACCTTAGGGACAGTCGCCAGTGAAAAAGGATCTGCTGCTCTGAAGGATACTGGGTTGTGCTCTTGGACCTCAATGCTTCATTGTTCGGGCAAAGGCGATGCCAACATGCAGGAATCAAGGTGCAGGGCGTGCAGCTGCGCTTGAGACGAGCCAAGACTGCCGGGAGCCAGCGCTCTTCTTTTGATGCCCAAACGCAGCAAATCTCGTTTAGAGTCGTGACCGTCACAATCGTCCTTGCAGAGCAGGCTTGCCATCGTCAGCAGATTATACCAAGCTACAACGCTTCCAGCCCATTGTCAACATCACGTGGGCCTGCCATCATCGCCTAGCGCAGCCGGCGTGCTTCTCGCTCAGTCTCCAGCAGTGCCAAGATGTCACCTGTCTTAAGACGCACGCCCAAGGCTGGGATTGAGGCACATTCTTCTGAGGCTGCAGCCCTCACGCACGGGGCCCTTCACGTTGCGGATCAGAGAACGGCCGGCAAGCTCTGGAGCCGTCTCGGTCATGAAGACAACACCTCAGTCAAGTGCCATGTCAGATTCGCGTGTCCGGCTCCAGCTGCAGAACTGCTTGAAAGCCTGAATTCACGGCAAGAGGCGAACCTGGATCACACCTCCTCGAGACCCAGTCCTTCCCAAGACCTTCTCGACCTTTGCCAGCTTCACCTCAGGAGGCGGCCAAACTCCGTCCGTCATGCAGTGAAAAGTACTTCGCCACCTGCCCTACACCTTTCACTCTCCACCAAGGCTTGAAGTTATAAGCCTCGTCCTTGAAAAGGAATCCTGTACCTGTTCTTCTGAAAACTGCTCCGTCAATTTTTGTCAACGTAGATGAGTAGATGAACGTGCTTCGCAGGGGCAATGCGCAATGCTGGAACTAGTTCTTTCCTTCCCGGATTGGGCTCAACTCCCAATATATGCCAAGTGGCGCCACCTGCGTCCATGCTTCTAAAGTGCTGTGTGGCTTGGTGAGCTACGGAGCTACGAGGGCAATCTTCCAAAACCGCTAATGGCCGCGGCGAAGGTGCGAGCAAATCAGCTTCTGCTCGATGCTGGCTCCGTGCGTGAACTTGGTATCCACGGCAGTGACGCAGCGACGCAACGAAGGCCCCCACTCGTCTCCGGTAGTCAACGCTGCGCGGGTGCGGTACAGGTGAGGGCCTGGAGGAGGCTCGTCGATGGTGGCCTGCATCTGAGCCAGGCCCGCCACCCCCCCACAGCGAAAGCCCCTTCAATGAAGTGTGGCGCGCCATGACCAGCGTGCGGGCTTGGCTGGGCCCGAGGGATCGTACAGATTGGAGCCCACGGTCCTTGTTGTGCCACCGCTGCACGACAGGTCACGATTGCGGATGTCAACGGTGGGTGGCAAATAGGTTTTGGCAGAGGGGCTGCTAGCCCGTCCAGACCCACATCATCTCCTGAGGTGCAACGCTCTGACGCGAGCAGCAACAGCGTTTCCACGATGGTAGGTGTCCCGCGGACAATCGTAAAGCGGCCTCGATTGAGCTCGCCTGGGTGGGGCAGGGCACGGAAGGGCAGACGGGAATGCGCCTGCGGAGCATTCAACCGTTGAGTAGGCGGCTTGACCAGTTTGCCACGTAGTGCATAGTGCAAAGAACAAGCACCTTCTCTCCAGGCAGCGTGGCGATGACCTGCATCGCACACCAGACACAAGAGTCCATGAGGAGCACTGCATGCCAGCCTGTCCTCGTGAAGACCGTTTACGTCACGCCAAGGTCCAGGTGGGAGACCCAGAACTTCGTCATCCTGCACCCAGGACACCTCAGTCTCAGGTCGACTCCGGAGCAAATGTGGAAAGCTGCAGCCTGTATGGTGCGTGGTCACATGTCGTCGGGCTTGGAGAAGACTGCAATCTTGGGCCCTTCTTGTCGTTTCAGCTTCACTGGGGTTCTCGCCTGGCATGCTGGGAGCGTGAGCCCAAGAAATTGCCTGGTCACGTCAAGCAAGCAGAAGCATGAAAAGGCATACCTAACAGGACAGCCGACTATAAGGCAATCGCAACACTTACACAGGGGGAAGAGGGAACTGCAACCAACAAAACACGCATAAACGCGCTACACGCAGCAGGGAGACTCGATCCCGCCTCTACGTGCCGAATTCCGGCGCACTGAGTCTTTACCGCAAGGGTCTTTACTTTACCATGGAGTGCCATGGAAACTCCGAGCAGCGCCTTCGCTCCTTCTTTTCCCCGATAACCGCATGACAGCCTTGCCTCGTGCTTGCTCAACAATCCGCCGCAGCAGTCCGTGCAAATCTGCGACTCCTTGCCTACCAGCATTGGCCACCACCTGAAGCAACATGCGCAATCGCGCTAGCCAGGCGTGGCATTTTCATGCGAAAATAGCGCATATTACATACAACTGCTCCGTTAAACTCCATCGTCTATTGGTTCGCATACGTGTGTCAATTGATCTACATCTCTGTTGATACTATTTCCCCTTGCGGAGCCCACATGTCTACTGCGTTGCAGCGTCGCGGTGCAGAGTGACCGTATATTTCGCAGATAGTGAATGGCACTGGATTAAGCTAGACTTGTGGCTACAAGTTGGCCGGGCGAGTCCCACAGCAAAATTTAAGCCCGGTGGCCAAGAACATGCCCCAACTGCAGCAGAATCGGCAGCGTGCCGGAATGGTATCTGCCTCTGAGACTCCATATTGAGAGCTTGCGAAGAGAGTATCGAAACAGTCCTTGACAAAACTCACTTCGAAGCCCTTGAAAGCCCTTCGAGAGCCTGGTACTCAAACTCCGCGAGCTTACCTGGCTGATCAAGCCAAGGAAGACAAACGTGATGACTCCTCAGGCTTCTCAAGGGCGTTCATGTGCAGCTCTTGTTGGGCCCCATTGCTGCCAAGATTCCAGGCTCGCTGCCTGCTGTACCTTGGACTCCAGAGTAGCTTTGCAGACACTCGAGGCAAATTTGTCAGCTGTACCCAGAGAATGTCGACGAGATCGATTGCCCATCCCGTTTCAGAAGACAGTGAGACTCCTGAAAGCAAGAAAACTTCGACAGCTGGGGAGTGGGGAGCGTTAAGTAACAAACGTGCGAGAAGCCTCCCTGTCCGACTCGGGAGTGAAGAGGAAGTTGGACACCAAGAGGAGGCAGGAGTCCTCATGTCGGGGGCTGACAGTGAATTGAGTGCGGTTGCGAGTCGGCGAGGAGGCAAAAGGCTCCTCCTCAACCGATTTCAGAGCCAGCTGCTGACCCTTGACTGCAGTCCACCGTTCCGAACTCCCATCCACCTCTCAGACTTTGTGCGGCGAAACCATCTGCTGAACACTAGCAACTGGGCTTCCAACGCGCTGCCGCTCCGCAGACTGAGAGACAGAGACCTGAGAGGACATCATCGGCTCTTCGCAGATGCACCAACACGGTCCTGTCCCCCCGAGGCATGTGCCGAGTAGGTGCTAGAGCAAGGAGCTATGCTGTCCAGCAACCGCTGCAAGGCCTCGCGTTGTGCAGCCACAGAGGCTCTCGGCAGCCTGCAACAACTGGAGCGACCACCTCTTCGTCATCGAAAGGTTCATCATGCTCTGATCCCTCCTCCTGCAAGAAAGGGGTTGCACTCAAAACTACGAGTCAACAGTCAACGAGTCTAGATAAGCCGAGTGAAGGCACCTCCGCAGCCAGTTCCTCTTCAGCTTTCTCAAGCTCTGAGATGAAGGCCTGCTGCCACAGCACCTGCAAACAGTGCTTGCTTCGCGCTCGTGACTCAGCTCCCAGTGCAGAAGAGGGCCTGCTTGCTGAGAAGTGTTTCCGTGCAAGAGGAAACCAGGGCCTCTGCAGCCTGAAAGATTGACGCAGGCCCCCAATTCATGCCGTGAGCTGTGAGCCTTGGCGGCCCTCGATGCAGCGGCATTCTGCTGCTCCTCGGCTGCCTGTGCGACACGTGCAAGACAAACGGTGCACCAGGAACCGGAAAGTGCAAAACGAGCAGTCCTTGGCTGTCTGCAATGTTTTGGTCTCTTCCAGCTTCGAGGCGTCAGCCTTCTCTCCAAGGCGTCAAGCGCGGGCAGTTGCCAAGGGCTCAGTTTTGGTCACTTGAGCGGACCTGCAGCTGGCACGCTGCATCTGCAGCATTGAACCCAGTCCTGCCGAACATGCACGTCTCCCAAAGACTGAAATTGAGAAGACCTTTAGTCGAAACAGGTCACTCGTCAAGCAGCGACATAAGCCGAATGACTCTGCTCAGCCACTGCGGAAGGCGTAAAAAAACTGGACGGATTGCGACACTGACCAGACCGGCAACACGTTGGTCGGGTCCGATTACGCACCGCGCGAAGCGATGTGAAATGATTGGCAGCTCAACCAGACTGCCACTCTGCACTTGTAACGCGGCCAGAGCCAGGGCAGTAGCATCCAAACTTTGACAATGCAAACTGCGGAGTAAATGAACGGAGATCGGAGACCGCTCGCTGGCTTGAGTTCCCGCGTCCTGTGAGGATTGGGATACCTCAGAGGAGGTTCTACGCATCACAAGCTGTGAGAGCCATCTTCACCACTAAGCGCGCAGCCCTGCATGTGTCAGGATGGTTTCTTCAGTCTCTTGGGATTCCATGTCGTCTCCGGTGGTTCATGACTGCGACACCAAGTCAGTGACTTCAACACTGAATGTCCAAGCCATCAAGTTGTTCCGCTTGAGCTTGTCTCGAACTGTTTGTCCCTCGGGTGGTGGAGGTGTACTGCACCTTTTCTTGGACTGTAGCGCTCCACTCGAGCCCAGGTCTTACAGCTGACCCTGCCCTGCTCGCACTGCTGGCTGCAACCTCATGTTCATGTGATCCATGTCCGTGTGCGAACTGGTGCACTTCACTTGCGTGATCTTGGGTGCTTGCTTGTGCTTATTTCCGAGATGCATAGTTGCTGCATCGCAAGGGGAGACCTCGCTGCCATTGCTTACAGCGAAACTATGTACAATCTCGCGTCAACCACGAATTCCCCACTCGTGCAGCCGCCCAGCTAAGGACAAGACTTCGCCTTGCGCCTTTTCTTCGCTCGGGGCAAGGATGGATCTCTCAAGCGCCGTGACAATCGACGAGCAAAAGGGCCGCGGGTGGAAGCCATTTTTGCGATCATCTGCCGGCTGCGCACAGACGAAGGCCTCGCAAGGCCCGCTATAGGAGGAGGAGGATGGTGCAAAAAGTCCAGTTTCTCGCTCCAAGGAAGGAGTCGCCGCCTTCCCGACCGCCCGTACTTCCTTGAAGGCGGGGTCGCAACAGCCCGCAGCGGACGCAGCTCTCCATCTCCACTGAAGTCGCGCAAAGTTTGCATCAGGGCTTGCAAAGCGCTGCCTTCTCTCGCTTCGCCTTCCTTTGATTTTACTAGAAAGTACTCCAACGAAGAGCTGAACGTGACGAACTCCATGTTGCTACCACTGGGACTTGCGTGCAGTACTTTGCTGCAGCGAATTGCTGACTTCAGGGACTCTTCTGCAGCTCGAGCAGGGTCGTTAAAGGCCTCGTGGCTCTTTGGCAACGGCATCAGAAAGATACCGGCTCCCACAATATTGGTGATGCGCAGCCGCTTCGTCTTCTGCTCTATGTACTGCAGGATCGCTTCGTTTCTCTTGTCCGCCATTGAGCGATACCCAACCTTTATAAAGAGAAGGTTGTCTGTAGGAACGAATGCGCAGTACAGTATATGCCTGGGTGACATGTAAACACCGCGCCGGGAAAGTGGCTGCCATTGTTTGGCTGCAAAGTTGTAGAATACGGAGTCGCAAACCAGCAGGCGACTGCTGTTGTCTTGGCCGGCAGAGTTGTCATCCGACATAAGCTTGCACACTGACTGTTCCCCGGACTCGCGACCAACTCGACAAAGCCTACCCCCTTTCAGAACCCTTGCATCCGTCGGCAAACTGCCTGCCAGATGCTTTGCCACGACTTTGGAGATGGGAATGCATTTCTGTGTGCTGTGTTCTATGCCCTGTACATGAACTGAAATGCCTCTGGTGAAAAATCTGATGGAGGACGCACAATCTGGCGAGTTTGTGAGTAATCTTCGGGGTTTGATGCAATCCCTTTCTGAGTCGTGGTCTGCCTGCAACGCCGCAGGCATCTCCACTTCTGTACCGTCGCTCTGAACGCTCTGGACGCTGACCGCCGAGCTGATGCTAACGCTGCCGACACTGCTGCCTGCGCTGCTGCTGATGCTGATCCGTGGAGGCCGGCTCTCTGCCGTTTGCCTCGAAGCGCTTTCGCGGCCCCTGTAGCATGCAGCGCAAGCAGCGCATGCGGCAGAAGCGGCGGCAGCTACAGCCAGGCCACGAGACGAAAAGTTGAACTTCCACAGTATCTCCTCCATGGCATCACAGCACACAAACTAACATGTCCGTGGCGTCACAGGACAAACTTGAGGCGACGGATTGACCCCGCGGCTGCATAGCAAAGCAAAGTTATCTTCAGGGAGCACAGAGGCCTAAACTGTTGTAAATATCATCCAAACGAGGCAGGATAGCTGGCCCCGGTCACACATGCTGAGGTGACATCTTCTCACCGATCTCCGACTCTAGCCTTTTTATCGCCAGCATCAACTTCTCCCCAAAGCCTGCAGATTCCATCAAACTGCTCAGTAAGCTGACCCACCGAATCCGGCTGCGAAGTGAGAAGGGCGACAGTGGTGGAAACAGCAAAGAGGGGCCACACATGATCCGTCTTAAAGGCAAGCCCGTTCGTGAATGCGCGCCGCCGCCGCTCTGATATGGCAACTTTGAACCGGCTTTGCAGCAGCTCTCCCAAAGCATGCTCTTCCTCAGTTGGGTTTTCAGGAAGACCTGGTAGAACGAGAAAAACATGAAGGACTTTCTTGTGCAGCACAGCGCTTTCAAAGGCAGCCAGCAGCTTCTTGGCAAGTCGTAGCACCAAGCCACGAACGAAGGGTGGGTTGACTTCATAGACCCCGCCCGCGGTCCCTATGTCCAAGTCTTCCTCCAGAAATGGGCCCAAAGAGCCGAAGAACACATCCAGGTCTTTGAAAATGGAGCAGAAGTGCCAGGTCTTCTGGCACAGCAGCGGCGATGCAAAGCACTCCAACTTGCTTAGGGACTCCCTCTCCAAAGCTGCAAACACCTCGTCTGGAACGGCAGCATGAAGTCCCCCTCCCTCTTTATGCCCCGGCCCAAACAGCGCATCGTAGCGGCATAGAGTACAATACGTGAGGTTCCAAAAAGTGGACTCCTCTTGCAAGAACGTTATGGACGATGCCATATCGCTTCCGCATTGACTTCCTCAGACACAACATGCCAATTCTGGGGAACCTCTCTGCATTATCCTCCCCCTGAACCCGAGGCAAGCACATGATCATGTGTGAGCTGCTCAAGCTCAGCGGCCTTCGACATCGACCATCGCCTTGGCTCGCTTTGCCGCTTTCCGGAGCAGCTTCCTGGCACACTCTTTGGGGAGTCCTGAAGCCTCGGGCCGGGCGTCCCTTTCTTCTGACGCAGCTCTGCCATGAAACGATGGTTTTTTGCATATCTCAGCTAAGAGCTAGCCGCAGAGTAGTTGGTGCAGCCTGCTTCAGCAGGTCCCTGTTGATGAAGCTGCTCACAAAAGCTGTGTATTTCCCGAAGTTTACCACGCCATGATGCCACCCGTCCGGGAAGTAAAGTAGCTCGCCGGACTGAATTAAGCACTCTTGCAAATTCCGCAGCTGGCCAGAAACTTCCATGTCCGGTCTCCGCTCTAGGTGCCAGTGGTACTGCGACATTGATGCATTGAACTGCATGTCAGTCTCTATATCTTCAATTGCAGGATCTCCGGGAGGCAGAAATGCGAAGTGCTTCGAGCCATGGAAGACCTCCACGAAAGCAGCGTTGTGGAAGTGCCATGGTGCACCAGAGAAGGAGCCCCCGAGACCTATCGTTATGGCAGCTGCAGCTGGTGTACAGACTTGGCAGGGCGGCAACTTGTAGGATTCTCGAAGAGGCGCCCAGTTCTCTCCAAACTCGCCGAAAACATATCGGTTGTCCTCGGCATTCTTACTGATAGGCTTTGGTAGCCATTCTTGAAGGTACTGGGCCAAGGTCATCTCGAAGGTGCCTATCCGCTTGCTGCCCGCTTGGCTTGGCGTGCAAGTAACATTTCCCATGGAGCCAAGGAGGACATCATGCTCCAAACTGCGACGTATCCTTGTGTTCCAGTTCCTTGGCACCTCCACTACGTAGGGCTCATCGGGGAGGGACAGCATTGCCTGCACACGAGGCCACTGGATCCTCTTGATGTTGCACCTACTTCGCCAAGCCATGTCTGGATCATCCCGGTGCTCCTTGGAAGCAAAGGCTGCATCTGCATGAGCCTGGCAAGAGATGCCTGCATCGTCTCCGCAGTTCGTGTCAGGGTGGCTTGCCCGGTTGCCAAGACAGCAACATAGGACCAGCAGCTTTCGGCATCTCAACATTACACGCTGAAGGGTAGCTTGAGGTGAGTGCCCTGATTAATATTATATGCCTTGTGTATCACCTTGTCAATACTTTAAACGGCCGGCTAGGTACAAGCACAACCAAGAAACACTATGGCTGTTCTACCCCGCCACCGTCGGCGGCTTACATCTACAAAGCCGGTGCATCACTCGCAAGCCATGCTTGTCCAAAAGCAGCTGCGGCGGAGTCCAATGTGATCAATCTTCGCTAGTGTTCCGGGCTGGTGATGACACTAAAGTCCCCAAAGCTCGTCTTGTACTCAAACGCCCTTGCCCAGTTTCCCACATTGTGATCACAACCGCAATCCCGTTCCTGTAGTTCTCTCTGAAATTGATGAACTCATCGCGAGATTAAAGCCTTATGACGTCACGAAACCGTGCATCTTGGTTGGAGCCCGTCCTGATGAAAGCAATGGTTAGTACTGAAAAATGGAAGATTAGAACAAATATGAACCAAACAAGCCGGGCAAACGCCAACCTGGCCAAGGCGGACGGACTGATGGCAAACGCCTCCGAACTCCCTCCAGGCTCAGCCTCTGCAGACTCTCCGCTACCCTCCGAGTCCGAGCAAGCATTGGCAATGGCTGGACCGTCTGAGTCTGGGCTTCCAGGCAGCGTAAAAAGGTAGCAGCCTCGCCGTGCATCGAAAGTTGCTGACACTGTGCTACTGCACTCTGTCGTCAACCTCCCATGCAGGGATTTGGCAGCAGCAGCAGCCTCCGAGGTCAGCTGAGAACAGATCCGTCGGACTCGACTTTCTGCTGTCGCTGCAGTTTCAGCATCCAGGCCAAGCAGGAGATCCCGGCATAGTCGCGTACGAAGCGCCTCATCAGCTTCCTCTGCTGTGCCGGAATCCTTAAACTCCAAGTCATTGCCTCCCCAAAGAGGATCCATACCTTTGCCATTGAGGCGCTCCATCAGCCACTTGTTAAACGACTCTCTGGGTGCTTGCCACGCCCCTTCTTCTTTGCCGACTTCCTTGCAGACGTCGGCGTACCGGGCGTCAAAGCGCGCACGCAGGCCAAGGACCTCTGCACGGCGAAGCTGCTCCAGTGCAGGCCTGGGGATTGCAGAGCCGGCATCGCAAAGACGCCGCAGCCAAAGGCGTGCCAGAGGGTCCTCGTGATCGCCGTGATCTCTCGTCCGCTGGCGCTTCCTTGAAGGGCCATCGAAGCTCATGGCATTGTGCTTGTGCCGAGTGCGGCCAGTCAGATCGGGACAAGCATTGTTATCAATGGGACTTGAGACTACATGCTGAAGAGCCGAATCCGTTGTCTGAAGGCGCGTGTGGTCTCAAGGCAACAGCTAGTCTGAAAGAGTGCTCAACATCAATGCTTGCAGCTACAGGAATCAATCCTGAGACGCGCGACCTGAGAGATGTGCATAACCTAGCACTGCGTTTGCAGTCAGGAAAACTGCTGCGCATGCCTCACGATTTCTGTACATGTCTCACACTTTCACGGCTCGCTTCCACTCTTGTGGCTTCCGCTTGGTCAGCCTCGGCGCTTGCCAAACGTGCAGCAGCGCTGGCACTCGGGAACAGCAAGTGCGAAAGAATGAAGCCAGGAGGCTTGACAGATATCTTGCCTCTGCGAAGCTTCCAAGAAGTCCGATCAGACCTATCAACTGTGGGCTTGGATTGATGTGCGCTCCAGGCGAACTTCTACAAGCAGGCTGAAGCATGTGCAATCCTGCAGCTGAGGCAAGCACTCCACCTTATTTGGGTAGCACGGCAACCCGAAAAGAAAAGGATCGTGCAGTTTCAAGAGCCGCCAGGCACCAACAGTTCAGCTACAGCTACCGGCATAGCAGGAAGGGCGAAGCCCGAAGCCAGTGAAAGGTACATGAGGGAGAGTGGCTTGAGCAGACTTGTGGTGGTGCGGATGTGTTTGGCGGTGCGAGCAGGCCTGACAGGCCTACGGGGCGGACAAGCGGACAAGTTTTCGGTCGTCAACCCCAGAGAAGGAAGCCTCACGAAAATCTGGCCGTCAGATCACAACAACGGCAATTACAAGGAATGAAGTTCAAGGAAGAAGCTAAGGTATGCTGCCAGTCATCGTCCATCACATGACTACGGGGATTCAGAGCAAAAAAAGGCTTAGCCATGCCATGGAGCTCAAAAAACTTGAATGCAAGGTTGAAGCGAGTGCAAGCAAGAGGCACTATGGCAGAGCGGCACGAGACGCAGGGTCCAATCTGCCCGAGTAGCAGCCTGGAATGGTCCACGGTGCAGAGAAAACACGGCATCGTCCAGCATGCAACATGCTGGCACGACCGTTGCCGCTGTAGGCAACTCGTGCAATATCACAACGAGCTCGTTGTCCTTGCTCAAAACCTGTCAGGATAAGCTCGCTCATACTCTTGACACCTGCAGCCGTCGCAGCGCCATCGACCTCTATGTGCTCTTCCTTCACGTGCTGCGCTGCTCCCCCATAAAGATCCTGCATAGAATCTGCAAAGCGCAAAACTGCCTGCGCAGGCATCATACCATGTGATCTGAGTCCTTGTCTGCCTCAATGATGATTGTGGCAGAATCAAAGGTATCCGCGAAGGTGTAGTGCTCAATCGTCTTCTGCACACCTCCGCCTTCCTCGCTAGGAGTCGAGAATGGTGTCTCATGCAAGGTTGCGTGTTGCCCTCGCCTTCTTCACGGCAGGCATCTGGCACCGCTCTAACTCTGACAAGACCATCAACCTGCAGACGACAACGGCCACGTGTGCTGACTGAACTAAGCGAGCTCTTCTTCACATGTCGGATGCCTGTGGCCCTTGGCCTCTGTGACTCCGAGCAAATCGGAATCAGTGGCACGGCAGACTGCCCCCCCCCGCGGCCTGGTTTGCTCTTCGGGGCTCAGCGCCGGAGCCTCCTTTGGAGCACCGTCGAAGCTGGAGCCGAGCGGAAAGCTGTGACGGCTCGGCCTCGGCTGCTGTCGCCTCCACGGCGTCATCACCGCTCGGCCTCTCAGTGCCCAAGGAGGTGCAAGGAAGAGCGCACTTGTGCTCGATGCTCAACCGCTCTTGAGCCCTCTTTTCCCGGGCGAGGTCTCAGATCACATCTGGCAGGCCCAGCGAGTGACGCAGAAGCTGACCTCGTGTTCACCATACAGGACATGAGTGATTGCCTTTGCCGCATTTGTGCGTGATCTATGCAAGGCCACGGCTCAGCACTGCAGGTCCTCCAAGAATCTCGTCCTCGGACCTGTGTCAACCATGGTAGTGGGATCACAAAGATGGGACAGTCAGCGCAAACGCAAACGAGGCAGGAGGGCAGCTGACCAAGCTCATCACCGTACTTGGCATTGTTTAAGATAAGTATGTGCGAACCTCAGGACGAGAGAAAGCAGTTAATTCGGCCTGCTGGCAGCCGCACCTGCTCCAAAGCATTGAAGCTCTATATGGTTTAAGGTGAGGTATGGCTTGCCAGACTTTTGCAGGAGGTTGCAAACTTCTATGACTATGACGATGACCGACAACGAGTCTAACGATGACAATGACGCCTCCTGCACTGTCACCCCGCGCACCGCAAAACGCTCTTGCCGCGCGAAGTCCCGGACTTAGCGCATCTCAGTGCGGAACGGAGCTCCTTCCCCAGAGCCTCCTGAAAAGGCCGGACCGCCCACAGCGTCTCCTGGCTCACGTGTTGGGTTCGACCCCCCCCCAGGACTCCGTTGTGAACCTTCTCCGGATTGTGCGCGAGCAGAGCCTGCTACCACTGCAGAATTTCACGGCTTCTGGCTACCAAGCAACACGCGCAAACAACATGACACGAGCGCCTTGCTGATGCGCTGGCTGTGGACAAGGCTGACGGGCACAAAAACGTCTCGCAGTATCTCCTTCAAACGACTAGGGAAAGTCTGACAAGGTCCTGCTTGCTTGTAATTTCCTGAATCTCACTGAAACATGTCCTGCCAGTAGAAAACGTCAGTCCTTGGTAGCAGGATCCAGTTCCTCTGGCGCTTCTCCGTGTATTGCCATAGGTCCAGCTACAACTTCTGATCCTAGCACAATTGCCTGCGAGGCTCATGATGAAAGAGTCGGACTGCCAAGACCGAACTGCAAAGAGACCGTCTGAACCCAGGCCATGCTTTAGTTAACTTTAGTTGCTGCACTCGTGTTTTTGCAAGTCCCTGAAACTCAGCCATCTCGGATCAAGCGACTTCTGGCTCATGACCTCCGGAAGCTTCTCCTCCAGCCGACCATGAAGAGCATTGAACCTCCCAACACAGTCCGACTCCAACTTACAGTCACATGCTCCGTGGCAGCATGGGCGCACCAAAGCTGCGTAAGCTCCGAGTTGGGCCGAAAAGGGCCCATGTCCTGGCACGAGTCAGTGAAACGTGAACCCTTCATCGCGGCCATAACATGACGCAACAGTGATTGCACGTGGAAAGCGAGCGAGATTGGCTGAAACACCGATGAGCTCACCCCATTCAGCTCCATCATAACCTGAAACTGTGTGATGGACAATTTCAAAACGGGGTGGCACCCTCCAGCCACTTCAACCGCTGAGGCTGCTTCCAACAGCATCGAATTGGTTGCTCTCCACCAGCTCGTAGAGGCCCGCAAGACTTCGCAGGCAAATGGTGTCAACCTTGGCTCACGCAACTCGCCGGAGTGGACTACTCTTCACTTTGCTTAGCTGCCGGCATCAAGGTACAAACCCCCATAGTTGTGCAGCAAGTAGCAACCTGCGACAGTCTCTCGACGCACAACCGCGCCCCATAGCCGCCAGGGGCCCGGGCGCAAGTAGTCTGCTCTGTGGGCCAAGTGAAGATAGGGATACGCAGGATGCGGGTCCGGCACGTACTCGGTCACCTTAGCAGATTCGAGCGACAGCCCTAAACCCACAAGTGCTGCAGCCAGGGAGCATTTTGCGGCGTGATAAGTACAACGGGCCTTCAGGCTACCGGACAACAGCACTAAAACGATGTGGAACCCGGTGTTTCTTCCACAGGGAGCGGACAAGCCAGCATTGCGCCGCACGGTCTCCATACAAAGTCGGAGATGAGCTGGCCTGAGGACTTGGAGACTTCCCAAACACCAGAGCCTAAACTCGACTTTTCGCTGGTCGAAGCTGTGTAAGGACAGGACATCGGGTTGTTCCCAGTCCAGCACATCCAGATGACCCCTGAAACTCGAGAGTAGCAGGGTCTTTGCGAAGTTATTTGGCAAATGGGCACCCGACGATGTAGCTTGCCCTTTTCCAGTCGCGGCCTCGTGTGCCAACACATGGTGCGAAGGCTGCCGGCAGCCGAAGAGACGCCTTCCTCCAACACCGTGGATAGCAGGGCCTCCTGAGCTAGAACGCATCCATGAGATGAATCACGAGAGCTGCAGGGAAGTGGCCTGTGGAGTCCCAGACCGGCTTGGGACCGACGGAGGACACCTCGTCAGGACGGGCTTTCAGGGCCAATGACCTTCTGCGCATCTCTTCTATAGGTCTTGTAGCTAACTCCTTCTGTCCTTGTTTTCAACTCGTCGTCTGCAACAGCAGAAGCATGGCCGTCTATTCCAACGTGCAGGGCACATGCAGACAACCGAGCGGCACCTTCAACCCAGGAGTCATACGCACTCCAGCAAAATAGATTCAGATCGACGTTCTCCAGTTAGACGGCCGTAGCAGATGTGGAGAATACAGGCTAACACATCTATCACTGTTCACCTATACTTTCACCTCCGTGACGATTAGAGTAGAAACGTTGAAGAAGGACCCTTCGCCAATCGGGCATTCAAACGGTTTGAAGCATTTCGGGCCACTTGGTCAGCACATCTCCATCTTTCCATGCTTCAATGGGCTATCCCAATACACGGCAGTGCTTTGGTATTTCGATCTTGCTGCTGACACTTCATAGTCAGATATGACACAGACGGAAACCATGGTAGAAGCATTACGGCTTGTGGGTCGCATTACATGGAAAATGGGTAACTGTGGGAGAGGCGAGGGAGATTATCGGAGCTGGCCGAGCTGGCTGGGACCCCTGGAGGACACGAACAGGCAGACTGTGCAGTGCTGCTGAGACATCGAATGGCGGCAGAGCCAAACAAATCCTTGAACAAGTAAGTCCAGGACCGTTCTCAACTGGGCACATCTACTTCGAGCCGCCTGGGCAAGACTTACTGCCGGTACACATGCCGATAACCGAGGGCTGAGGCTGCAGCTACTGCCGCTGCAAAAACTCCACCAAGAGAATACCATCTCTTCGACTGCTGTCGTGCCGAGAAGTGGTGCTCGCTGCCGGCTGCAGCTCGCACCACTCTCGCCGAAAGTCGAGGACTTCGGAAGCACTGCCACCTAGTGGCTCGACAGTGTCCTGTAAGTTGTGGTAGGCAAAGAACTGAGGAGATGGCGCCTGTATGCTGACAGGCTGCGGCATGGCGAGCATGCTTTCAACTGTGCAGTGAGGAACCACGTCGTGGGAGACTTACATGCTTCTACCTTGACAATGCTCCGGGACTCTGGAAGATACTGCCTCGTGGCAGAATCACATCACGGTCCAATACCCTGACGAAACAGCGCTGTATATGCTGTCGCGCGGCTGCACCGTGCTCCGGTGTGGCATGTATGCTGCACTGCACTTGTCGAGGCTCGAGCCGTGAGCCACTTCGGACGGTTCGAGCACGAAGCGCAGAAGAAACTGCACAGCGCAAAGAATTCGGCCTTTGCTGGAGCGCCGCTTCGGTGTCGCCCTCGGCTTCGATGCCATCGACATGACCACCAGCAGCATTTTCCGCAATCACCTGATAGAAATCGACTTCCGAGATAAAAGCATCGGCAACGCGCGCCTGCGCCAATCTCTTTCGATGGGCAGAACTTTCCTCAGGGCCATACGAGACAGACAGCAACCAGGGTCTCCATCCTGGGGCCTCTGCTTCGATCCCAGACCTCCGTGCAGCATCGTTGGGTTTCGAGATCAAAATGTGTGAAGCACAAGCTGCAGCGCCTGAAGCTGTCAGCTGTGCTCTAGATGCCGCAAGACGGGCAGCTTCCCAGTTTCGGTTTCGAAGCGGTTTGGGCGTCAACACAGAGACACCCTCTTCTGAATGTTCACCCGTCTGAGCTCTACATGCTCTACGAGCTGACATCCGTAGTTCTGAGAGCCACGCTCCGCATAGCCATTACGGTTGCCATTCTCGTTCGCCGCAGGCCTGACCTCCTCATCGGTGGCAGCTTCCTCCTGTCCTGCACCACACCACTGCAGTTTATACTGAAATGGCCATGCTGGCGAAGACTTGTCACATCCAGCCTCCATGCATTGCCACCAAAGATGCAGCATATTTTCTGATGTCCTCGCTGCTAGCAACGAAGCGACCACAACAACTGCATGTCAGAGGTGTCAGAACGCGCAACTCAACACCTTTGGGTCCTCTTCAGTAAGGTCTTTCAGCTTCTTTCCACCGAACATGATTGCAAAGAGAAAAAAGGCTTCCTTCACACTTTTTACATCTCTGCTTGCACAAGTTCGTGGGAAGAACGAATGTCCACATCAGCCCTTGTCGATTCAACGGCAACAATAGGCTTCCTTGTGGCAGATCATGCATACTGCCTTATAAGCCAACGCTACAGCACAAAAGACAATCACTGCATTTACAGAAATCAAAGGACATCAATATTCCAGGTGAAGCAGAAACCAGGTCAACCAGTGAAGTCTCGCCATATTGCCCCCACCAGTTGCATGTAGCTTTTGGCTGATGCCACATGCAGAAGGTCGCTTTAACTGCCATAGCTGTGGACAGCACCACGCTCGCTTCAGATTCAGAGAGCCTCCTGCAAGGGCAAGACCTCAGCTTACCAGAAAGAAATAGCCAGATTACGCTTGGCATGCATGCGACACGCTTCCACAATGACTCCATCTCAAAAACGACGAGACGCCGAAAGCTGGACCTGAGCCGTGCCGTCCCCTGGTCGCAACCTGAGATATGCCCATGAGCAATTCACTGGGTGCAGCACGGCATCGTGCAACTGGCACAGAACTGCGGCTGAAATGCTGCTTCTTCCAACTGGCAACCGCCAGCTCGCGAATACCGAACCTGCGTACGGGTAGGAACATGTCAGCGGCAGCAAGACGACACGCTGGAGCTGAGTCAAAAAGCTGGGTGTCTGTCGCATCTTCCCGAAAGCGCGGCTCGGACCACAGAGACTCGTCTGCCTCGGCAGGGACAACATCACTTTGGAGAGGGGAGCATCTTGCTGGATAGCGGTTGCTTCATGCAAGCATATTTACCTGGACTTTTCCTGCGTTTAGACTCGGCATTTGCACAATGGTTCTGCTGTTCGGTGCTCCTGTGTTGGAAGTGTTTTGCGATTGGCAATTCTTGGTGCGTACCAGGGTTCCTGCACATGTTGAGCTTCCGGCTCGGTATTCACGATGTTTCCTGCAGGTAACTTCGGATGTGACAATTAGTTTAGTGGGTCGCTTCCCTGCTTGCTGCACTCACGGCTTCCTTGCGACCGGGCATTGCAGCGGAAGGAACAGCATTGTATTGTAAATGAAATCGTCGGCCAGGCCGCAAAAACGCAGGAAGTATCAAATTAAAAACCGCCAGTACGATTAAAACACAGGAACGAAAAGTCACAACACAGAAGGGAGTGAACGACAGTCACAGAGGTGTGCACAGTGCGTAAGGTGCTAGGTTGCTCGGATTGACTTGGGGGGCTTCAGAAGCACAGCGTGCATTTCCTCAGCAATGAATTTTTCGTGCATTTCCTAGAAAAGTGAAAAACAGTAACTTCCACTCGCCGCGAAGCTGGTCATCTGCTTCCTGAAACAGCCTGTCTAACTCTGCGTCCTGGCAGAGGTGCTGATCCGCCTGGTTGCCGCATCCTGCACCTGGCCTACTTGGCCTCCCTACGGCGCGAGCCCGGGCAAAACGGAAAAAGCGTACCGAGTACCGACGAGTCCTTTTGCACACCTCGTGGCCTCTTGGATGTTCGGTCAGATGCAACTCATGTTCAAATCATATTCCGAGCACGCTTACATCATGTTCTGACATCCTACCCATCCGAAACGCTAGCTGTCAATCCTGTCCTATTCCTGCTTTCATTCGATTTCCATCAGATTCCAAAATTTACCCCTACGAAAGCTGTATCCGAAATCGTGTCCGAATTCCCATGTTTCATCTACTTGAAGCGATTCGGTGCAACCCTTGAGCTGGCCAAGAGATTTTGTGTCAGAATAGCGGTCGCCAACACAACTTCCCCGTTTGCCAGGCTCATACTCTCTACATGCACGCCGGGGTTCGTGCATTGCACCGAAGTGAAACCAAGGTCTCTGCTGTTGTGACCAAGACCAGCAGCGACCAAAAAGAGCAGACAGCAGCAATGCAAGTACAAACACCACCACCAGCACCACCACAACAAATGATGACGATGATGACAGCTGATAATGACTGATGATGCCTCACAGACAGCCCCCACCAAGTGTCCCGAAAATGTAATGTAGCGGTTAGGGGGTCCTGGAGACGACCGAAAGGTATCTAATCTCTCGCTGGCGGCAGACGTCAGTCGTGCAAAACATCCAGCATCAGATCCATCACTGTGATGACCTGAAGCCCGGTGTGATCTTTCCAACAAATATAGCACGAATTCGAAGCCGAAACACTCCTCGCAATTTTGGAAATCCTTGCATCTTTGTTTCCACAATACCCTCCTCGATCAGAGCATCTAGCAGCTAGCAGAATCCAGCACCTCGCCAGCCGACACCGAGCCATTACCTCCTCAGTTCAATGTGTAGCATTTGCCTTTCACATCTGCGATGTGTGTGTGGGGGAGTTTTTTCTGGATAACATTTGTTGGAAACCGCCCCATGACTCATGACTCTGTGGACCCAGTGATGTCGGACTTTTAACCATCTTTGGGCAAGGCATGGCAAGGCACTTTCCCGGACCTTACCGACATCGCGTTCAGAGCAGGCTCGAAATGCCCACTACGACAGAGCCACTGCCAAACTTTCAACAATCCCCAGCCTTGGGAGCTCTGCAAAGCACCAAAGCTCTAAGCTCTTGGCCTCGTTCAAGGCAATCTCGACATCAATGCTGTGGTAGACCTCTTTGTCGGGCTGTCGGGTGGTAAGCCGGTGCTACGACTGCTGCCTCGACGCAATGCCACGGCCTGCAGCATCTCTTCCAAAAAGCTGAAGGCGTTCGCAAGCGGAAAATCATCAGAAGCAACTACACCATACCTGCAAGAACGCAGGAAAGAAGCTTTCTGCAGTCATCACCACAGAAACTTGGGTTCCTGCGTGTTGCCCAGGCTGTCTGCGGTGAAGAATAACACGCCAGCACGAAAGGATAGCTTATGCCTGAAAGGGCAGAGCACGACGTCCGAAGACCAGCCTATTTCGAATATGAGCTGTACTGACTTCCAGGCCTGGACCCCGGCTTCACCGAATTTCCGGCGACACGCAGTACATCGCAGAAGGCCTATTACGGAATGAAGCGTCCCAACCAGTGGGTATCCTCACAAAGATAAAGATGAAGCGCGTGGACGAGCCTCCTCGTAGAGATCCTTGTTGAGATCTCCCTGGAACAACCTTGTCACCAGGTGGCGGTCTCCGATATCACAATAAGCAGCGCATCTGAGCCAGGTTCGGAAAGAGAATGGATGCGAAGCGCTTTCCATCCCTGCACTCGAGCAAGAAGAACATCCACAAGAATTCATCTGTCTCTGCTTGACGGGCCTCGCACGTCCTGCAGCAAAGAAGCGCATTCCACGTCGTCGCTGCGCAAGTTCGAGTTCCAGTTCCTGTCTGGACATTTGTTCCGGCCCTAGCGGGGACATGTCCACGTTTCGGGCACCTCATCAATGTCCAAATCCTGCACTCGCCCCTCGAAGGCCTCTCAGTCGCAATCACCAGAAAACAGTCCCGAGGGTTCTGATACATTTCGCAGCGTGGCCTGAAAAATCCAAGCCTCAACGTCATCAAAGGCCCCCTGAACCTCGGGAAAGAGGTACTTCTGCTTACTTCACCAAGAGGTGCCTCCTTCATGCCGGAATCACAGCCTTCGCCTTGATGGCGCTGAAGTTCTCGTATGACATCCAGGCCCCCCAGTCCCCGCCCCTAAGAAGTCCCACTGAGTCGCTGAAGGCCACGGGGTTGCTTGGAAAGGCGGGCGGCCGGCGGTGCTCCGGCACTGCTGCCATGCTTCGCCATGCTCCACTGCCACCACTTCAGTCTTTTTTGCACGACAGATCGAAAGCTCCGTCTGTAGCTCGTAAGGCTATCTCAGGGACGGGTTTAGCCCAGCTCACACCGTCTCAAATCGCCTCGCGAAAATAGAGACGCAACCGTGCGCACGACTTGTCACACCGCCGGCCTGGTATTGCATCGGCTTGCTGCTCCGCATCTTGAAGAGGATCCGATACCTGAGAGTGCGACGGCGACGCACTCTTTGCCCCCTGCAGGCTACTCTTGTGCTGCGGGGGTGCCCGCACTCGCGACATCGAATGACGTCGGTTGGCTTTATCTCGTTCAATGCACCACACTTTCCGCAGATGTACCTCTTCCCATCTGAGCAGCAAAGAGAAACTGCAGGCAGCAGTTGCGCACTTCACTGCTGTCACAGTGGGCTTCAGGTCAACAAGATCCTTCTTTGTCTCCTGGGCTCTGTTGCTACGGAGAGCTTTGCACACATGTTATGTCAACACCACGTTACAAAGTTCGCGATTGTGTTGGCATGAATGAACCGAGCCCAGGTTTCACTGCCGCTTCGCAGGAATGCAGCATCTCAAGTCTTAAGCGACGCGTTCTTGCCAACATAAAGCAGAATTCTTCGATGCCAGAAGCACTCTCCAAGAGCAAACCAAATCTGACAGACGTCCTTCTTCGCGTCTGCCATGGTCTGGCAAGACTAGAATCTGCTCCCTCGTCCCAGCCGCTTTCGATTTGGGCTGATGCTGGAACTTGTTAGCATCATCTGTGATCATCTGACTTTGTTGGTCCACAGTGTTGCATGTTGCAAGAGGGCTGTGCTGCAAACGGCTTCCGGACTCAGCAGAAAGGAATCGCCTGCGTCTACGTCCGGCAGAACCTCACAAAATCACCCAGCGCGAAACTTGAAAGCTTATTTGCGAAAAAAGAGCTCCGGAGCAACCCCGATGCCCTTCCCACGTCTTTTTTCCCAATCATCTTGCTCTTCACTTTGCGCACCGAAACCATCGCATCTTCGGTGTATGTACAACGAAGCAGAATCGAGACTCCAGGCACAGGGATCACTTGTCCGGTATAGAATCCGGCGCCTGCAGTGCAAGGTCTTAACGCCACACGGGGCTAATGCTGTCCTCTTGCTCTTGGTTCATAAGCAGCTGCCTCCGCATCCTGTACGGTGAATGCATCCGGGGATAGTTCAGGCCTCAATCGACGCAGAAAATAGGCTTGCGACTCATGTCTGGCCACGGGGCGGACCCTCTTTGAGCCGGCACAATCACCTGCGGGATTCCCCAGTGCCTCAGCAAGGTTCCATTCGCCACGCTCGGATGTGTTCCAATTGAGGCAAGAGCGGATGGATGGCTCCCGGGTAGCAGTACAACCTTTCTTCGCAGTCAAGGGTGTTCGATCAGACCCAAACGCTGCAAAAGCCCCACAGGCATTGCTAGCCATTGCTTCTACTACCGGTAGTCTTATCCAGAAGTACCTTCGCAGCCAGTTCGGCCGCAAAAGGTTCTTCGGCAACATGCCCTTGACTGCCTGCGCACGAGGTGACAATCGCTTTCCAACAGAGTCGCTCAGATCAGAGCAGACTGAACGGAACTCAAAACAAAGGCGTAGCATCGGGCCTGTGAGATAACGATTGAAGGATTCAGCATCATCAACCTGGTGGCTGTGACGACCTGCGCGAAAGGCTTGGCTTGGCGCTTCGGAAGGCATCGAGGTCGAATCGAGGTAGCCTTGGGTCCTCGAGGATCCGTCTTTCCTTGCAAGCATGAAACTTGATACCAGGCCGGCGAGCAAACGAGGAAAATGACAGGAACGACAAGTAAAAGTGGTGCTCAGTGGCTACAATGAGGACACTCGATGATGAAACCGGCTGGACGAAAAGCGTTTTTCTTACGCTACGCCCTCTCAACTTCCTCTGTCAACCTGCCCACACCATCGGATTACCGACCATGCTCAAGACACAGCCCCTCTGTCGTGGCAAGAAACTGTTTCGGTAGAATCTGTAGATCTTTGTGTCCTCACGGTCGCATGACGTTGGAAGCACAAGTTGTGACCCGCCCGATGCGATGCTCAGTTGCTGGGAACAAACAACGTGCCCGGGCAGACCCAGGTATGGCCAGGGAAATGCAAGTGGATTGCATTCACGATTATCACGGAATCACCTGCCACGGAAGCGTTGAAAAGCTGTGACAGGCGTTCTCAATGAAGACACTTCAGTTCGAAACGAACAATGCAAGCACCTTTTACCCGATCCGGCGCGTAGTCGCAGCCTTTGCACTCGATCGGATCATGTGCTCAAACGAAACAGAAAGACTGCCCATGAAGGCTCGCGGCACACCTTCCTTCATGAGACGTCGACTCTGGCTTTTTTTCAACTCACGCCGCACAGTTCCACGGATTTAGGGCATGACGGGCTCTGGAGTTTCCTGACATGCAAGAATCAGACAGATATTTGAGGGGTACGAACGCTTGCTTGCGACAACTTGAGTTGACCTTCTGTTCACTTCGGGAACCTGCCAGCTGGTGTGAACGCCCGTACGTTACCAGCCCGTACCTGTGCTTGCAGATGGTGGCGCTACCGTTTGGTGGCCTTCTTGCCTTCAAATGAATTGATGCAACGGAACGACGACACAGGTTTCTGTAGTCATCATGGACACAGTATCTTTTTGTCCTATATGAAGTAAAACGATGTGAGTGGGACTGTTACGCCAGGCCAGATTACCGTTGAAAGTCCGAAGGCGACTCATGCAGCACTTCACAAATCAACGATCCAGCTGAGTGGCAAGGTGGGGCTGCATCTCACTTTGACTCCTTTGCTGTCGTGGCACCCACAATGGCTGCCAGACCTACACCCAGGCCCAGTCCCACACACACAACCCCAGCCATCTGGCCAAGTTGTGGGTAGAGCCCGATGCGCACACCGAGCACTCCAAGCATTGGGATCACGAAGTTGTCATCAAGGCCAATGATTTCTGCCAGAACCTCCCCTAGAGTCACAAACACGGAAGCTATCAAGGATACTCCTGGTGAAAGCCCAGCGTACACGGCTAGAGCTAGGCAAACCGTGAAGCAACCAATACTTCCTTCCACTTTCCGAGCAGAATTGAAAACTGGAATGTAGCCAAAAGCTGTACCTATCGAGGCAGCTGCATCGCCCACCGAGAGGAAGAGAATGCCCAAAATCGCAAAATTGCTAGGTGCTGCAAGCATCGCGGCCAGTGCGCCTGGAAGGAAGTACGCAATCCCGGCTGCCTTGTTATGCTCCTTCTGTCGAATCAAGCCTTTGAAGGTTTTCAGGTACCAAGCCTGGACGGAGGGGACGCAGAGACGTGCCGCCTCGATGACCCAACAAACCAAAGACACGGCCAGGAAGGCGGCGCCCGCGTCCATCGCCGTACTTGCGGTGTCGCCGCTGCCGCTGTCGCCCAAGTAGGCCGGCTTCAAGACTTGGCGCTTGATCCCCCAATGGTAGCACAGGCAGATGATGCAGCCACCTATCATGTGGAAGGCCTTTCTCTGAAACTCCACGAAAACCTTTTCCACACGGCCACCTGCCTTTTTGGCGGACTTGCCAAACACTAAGTGGGTGATCAGCAAGCTCCCACCGATGAAGAATCCGCCAAAAATCAGTGTTTCTATCTTCCCTGTGTCCAACATCTCGTTTTTGAGCGCGCTGCTCATTGTGAGCAGGTGAGCCCGAGGCTTCTAGTCACACTCTGCTCAAGGAACTACGATAGCTTGGGCCACATCCACCAAGCAGGAGCACGCGGTTGCACACCACAAAAGACACATTCCGCATGTGAACCCCTCCTGCCCCACAAAGCAAAGTAGGTCTGGAGCGGTGCTTTCCCTGAAGAAGTCGGGATGCAAAGGCCGCAAGTTTGCCGACATCTCTTCCTCAAGGACGGACTCTGCAAAGCATGTTGCCATATGTGGCCCAGACAAGGCCAGGCCTTTTGCATCGATGATGTGCCACCATCCCTTCTCATCATGATGGCTCAAAGCTTTGAGCGTCCTTGCAAGCTGCTCTTGGACTGGCTAAACCGAACAAACGAAACGGCAGCTGTCCGGTGAGGCCGGGCATCTTCTGCTACCTGGTCCAGAGAAAGCATCAGGAAAGCTAGCTATTCGATTGCTCCCGACGGCCCGACCCTGGGCATGTTGTAGTCCGGATAGGGCTGCGAAGTCCACTGGTACTCGGCGAACGGGTTGATGACCTCCACAGAGGTCTCTGCCACGCAGTCAAACGAACTCGCAGGCTCAGCAGAACCTTTGCATCGCGGAAGCTCTGCCAGGTCCGAGAGGGATCTGTCCTCTCGACTCGACCGAGCCGGGTTCACCAGACAATCAGAAGGGCCATGGGCCGTACTTGTTGAACAGTTTGACATTGCTCCGTGCAGAGTTAGACGAACATCACCACTATCCATGATCTCCAAGCTAGAAAGGAAGCGCTCTTTCCATTCTGGAGCGGGCGGAATCCGGAGATGTGCGAAGCGTTCGAGTGTTTCACTGCTGTCAGGTGGATCCAGGGGCCAATTGACTCGAACTTGGGCATTTAAATGGTGCAGTTGACGGGATCGAGGACAAGGTGCCTGCCAATGCCTACGCATCCGAAAGCGAGCAGGCCCGGTCACGACAAACCGTCACACAACAGCATGAATTGCCAAACTTTTTCAAAGCTCCTGCGAACTTTCCGTACCCATCGTGCAGCGGAACGGAACATGGAGACATGGAAAGCAGGGAGCAATCGACCCTATCGGATATCGCTGTCAAGCTCTGAGACTCAGATCTGCTGGAAAACTCTCTGCGTTCAGCTGCAAGGTACTTACGGCGGCAGCGCTGGCTGCTAAAATGCGGCGCCCTGAGTACAGAGACAGCACATCGACATTTCAGAGGTGACACGGCAGCCTTGCGTCGCGAATTTTTTGCCGGATGTCGCGGGTGGGCTTCCACGTCAGGGCACCCTTAGCTTGACGCAGGACTTGGGCTAAATGATGCGATTCGCTATTTGTCGTGGCAGGGTTCATCCAGGGTGAACGAGATTTGTAAGAAACAACATCCACCTCAGCTTGAGGAAGTGGATTCGATGCAAACGCACTGTAGCGTCTGGTACACCCAAAGCAATGGTTGAATGTGGTTGAGTACGAGAGTCATCGGAAAGAATCGTTAAGCTTTCTGGCCGCTGCTTATGGAAGTTCAACCATGCTGTGCAGGTGTATGAAGCGATGATTTCAAATCTCGCAGCTAAGCTTTCACGTGGCTTTTGCACGGCACATTCATTCCTAGTGCAGACTGAAACTAGGACTGAGCTGGTGTGTTGGCTTTCCACTTTGCAACTACAGTAGTAGTAAAGTTATGAGTCAAGTCATGAGTATGCTGTATGCTTTGCATTACGCTTGATCTATGGCAGACCGCGTACAGGGATGGCGCTCCATGCGCTCACGCAGCGCCTGCTAGGGACCTGCGGTTTCTGACTCTCTGCATGGCATGGCTGCCCCCCAAGCACTGTCGCAATGAGCTGCGCTGCCGGCCTGGTATGGGCCTGTTGTAGGTGCCTGCGCAAGACACAAAAAGCCGGATGGCTTCTCGGAATGCCCAGCCCATGCGCCTGCTTCACCTTCCCCAATGGGTCTTCTGGCTTTGCCCTGAGGTGGAGCACGCAAGCAAGAAGATGCCTGAATGAAAGGTTTTCGGGATCAGTACAGACCCGTACAGTGTTGGATGCTTGGCTCCTATGATCCTATAAGGACATAAAGAGTCAACTGGTTTTCGCTGAGGATGGTAACATGGATTTGGATGGTGCCCTTTCTGCAAAGAGGGCTATGCTGCTACGTGGGATCACTGTGCTTGGAGTTGCGCGCACTTCGGTGCTTCTCGCCCCGCCCTACCTGGCGACGGCATGCAGCGTAGGACGGGTTGGCCCGTGACAGCGCGTACCAAAGCCCAGAATCTGCGAGTGCTTGACCATCTTGCTACTGTCCGCAAGAGCCTTGTTGCATACCGATGCCTGTAAAGTTTTCTTCTTGTGTGCCTCAGACACACAGAATGCCCAGATTGCTGGAGATGCACAGATTTTCCCCTGTTAAGGGCCTGTCCCTCCCTTTGTGCCTGGTTGGGGGTTTTAGGTTTGTTAAGCCTGCTCCTTCCCTGCTGTCAGCATTCACTCGGAGTTGATCTCCCGATGAGTGTCTTTTCTCAGTGGCAATTCGACTTCGTCAACGGCGTGGTCAGGATTGGTGCTGCAATCAAACCTTTCGTAACATGGATTTGGCATGATCTGGGCAAGCTTCTTCTTGACGCATCTTCGAGCTTGCTGTGCTGCGAACATGAACACCTGCTGCATCTTTCAGACATGTCGATCTGCTTGGAAGCCCTCTGCAAGTCGAGCAGCTTCAGAAAATTAGCTCACCATCCTGACAGCTGGGGGGCCTTTCCATCCGTAGCTTTTCCTCCTTTGTCACCTTTCTCACCTCCAAAGTTCCACAATGTGGAGAACGTGATTGGAACTGGGCAAGCGATCTGCCTCCGTACTGCTGGTTGCCCTTATTGCCTTTGCCATCTTTGCCGCGTTCCCTCACACAGTCATCGGGCCATGTCATACCAAACACATAACCGTCGCAAACAAAGACTGATGCCTTGGCGCGTTAAAGGTCGCACCGCGATCAGGCTTGAAAAAGACAGGACCACCAGCAGCTTCAGCACTCCTATCTCAAGCTGGAGTCTCGAGCGGAATCGAGAGTCAAGAACTGCTTCCACATGTCCTTGTGACCCAGCCCTTGATTCCAGGGATCGGGTCAATGGACTCAATGAACATCCGTGCAATGCCGTTCTTCAGCATCTGCCAAAGTCGCAGCAGACATCTTTACAAAGCACCCGAGGCGCAGAAGCAGAGGCCCGCCTTGTCCTCCCCAACCTGAGCAACCAGGGAATTCCTCATGAGCGTGCCGACGATGTCAGTCTCCGTCTGGCGCAGAGCGTCGCTTGTAGCAAGCAGGCTGTTCTGGTTGTGAGATACTGAGGCACTGACGCCCAGGCCGACTCGCACGATGATGTCCTTATCGTTCACGGCCCGCCATCGAAGCTGCCTGTCCAAGAGTTTGGATCTTCGATCTCCCGGTTTTTGCAACCGCGGCCTGGAGCCCCGATATCTGTCTTTGAGGGCCTGCAACGTGTTCCAGGTCAGTCCCACTCTGCACTCTGCAACGAATGGCTAGCCTCACCGCGTTCATCCTCCTCCTTGTCTTCCGTTCTGTGCCCCTCCGGCTTGTAAGCTTCACCTTTGTAACTGTCACCTGGAACTGCTAGGAGCAGGTGGCTTCAGGTTTCGTACTGAAACCGAAAGTCATCAAGGAAGGCAGCCTTTGCCCGGATGATGGAAGCCCTTCCCATCGTCTCCGAACTTGCCTTTACCTTTGTCCTCCTTTCCCCTGCCTGCTTGCAACGGTGCGCCAGAAGTTGAGCACTGCACATCTCTAAGTCTGTCTCCATCTCTGACTGTGATCGGCCTTTGCGATCACCTTTTCCATCTCCCTTGTGCATGTCGTAAACTCTTCCGTCGAAGCCCTTTCCATCGAAGCCTTTTCCATCAAAGCCTTTTCCATCAAAGCCTTTGCCATCGAATCCTTTGTTTGAATCAAAGCCTTTGCCTCATCACAGGGCCACATCAATGTGTAACATGTCAGAAGGATATTCCTCAGCTGCTTGGGTTGTAAGGTCCGTACCATGACCTGTTGTCCTTCTTCCTGGTCGCACCTGGGACAATGGAGTGCTACAAACTAATCATTATACCGAAAAGCCGTGTTCGACCGTGCACCCTTGGCGGTGCTCAGCATCATCCAGGCGGGTCACTGTTTCGTTCTCCTTGGCCATAGCCACTAACTTGCTACCTGAGGGCGCCGTTAGTCAGCAGAATATCATCTGGAATCTTCCAAATACGCTGGACGGCCCGCCTTGATACACCGGCAAGAAGCCGTCTTTCAGTTGCTGCTCATAGGTAGGACCATCCTGGCTCTGCCAATGGTCATCCCACCATCCGGGCTGATCCTTTCCGAGCGGCAAATTGATCTGCAGCCGCACATATGCTGTGTCCCCAAGGCATGGGCTCTGCGCCGATGCTCCCGGACAGGCTCTCTGATTGGATCTCTAGGATTTTGATCACGATCTTGTCGCTCTTTTTCGCGCCTGGAAGCGGAGACAGATGTAGAGAGAGAGAGAGAGGGGAAGCTGCAGATGCACTTCTGCAACCCTCGATTCAAAAGCTCAGATTCCCACGTTTCGCGATCCCTAGCTTCTCGTTCACGGGCATCTGGCGAGAATGTCACAAAGAAGTGCTCGAGACTTACGCAAACGGTCCCATTAGTAGCCACTCGGCATTCGGAAGTCTTCTGCAGGGACTTTCAGAATGAAGTAGGCAACCTTGACCTCATCGTCTGCCTTGCCACTTAAAGCACTGGAACCTGGACAGTCTCCTTTAATTGAAAACGAGTGTAACGATATGTCAAAGCCAGTGCATTTCTTCGACATGCAGTGGTAATGGCTGCAATGCTGATCTGCCCCAACGAACCGCCTTGTGTCTGAGGAGTGCAAGGTTTAAGGCTAGGAGCAACTGTGCGGATAAACGAGGAGCATTTTCGATGGAAAAGAGTTTAGGATTTCACCTGACGCCACCACAACAGATAACCTGGCTTGAACACAACCGAACTGAGTGTATTCAGAGGTAGAAAAACGAAGAAAAAGGTGAAAGCATTAGGGACGAGGAAAGTCGTCACTTCTTCAGAGGGGCATGAAGTCTACTCTTTGGGCTGACGTGCCGTCGACTGCTGTCCTGTGACACTGTGGTCAAGAAGTATCTTGCGCTGCCTGGCTCAACCTTCGGGGGTAGGCGTGTAGACGCTCTGGGGGTCCCGTGTAGTGTGGGGCATGCCATTCACCCGGACACAGGAACCCTGATAGCAGCCACAGGAAGTCTGCAGCACAGAAAGTGCCGAAGCAGCTGCTGCAAAAAAAAACATCTAAAAATCAAGTGCCAAGCATCTCAGCAGAAAAAGTGGGAAAGCAGAGCTCTAGCTCAGAGCCCCGACCTTCCTCTCTTCGCTTCTCCCTCTCGCGGCGTTCTCTCCTTAAGAGGAAACCAGGATGCACATGGGCAACAAATCACATCGCTTCATGCGAAGGCCACTGCTCTCTCATCTCTCGTTGGGCAGCATTGCGACGACCTCAGTTCCACCAAGCAGCCGTCAGGCCGCAGTCTCTCGAGCATCGCTTGAAGAAACGGGCAACCCTTCCGATTGGGCTTCTGCTTTTGCTGATGGCCCTGATTCGCTTGCCGCCCTGCGCCAGAGAATCAGGCTCGTCCAAAGCTTTCCCAAATAAAGAACAGAAGCAGTTGACGAACAGCTGAACGAACGAAGCCACAAGCCCGGCATTCGGGTCATCTTCCATTTCGTAGCGAGTCTTCTGCACATTGGACTCGTTGATCATTGCTAAAAGCCTGGCACGCAAGACCATCGGACACTCGTGAACTGTGCTTTGTCCACTCAGGCTGAAGCTTATCCTCGGTGGTGGTGGACAGGATGTCCTGGGCTCACAGGTTCTGGCCTCGACAGGCCTCGGCCTAGGGCCTTGCGTCTGCAAGCCACACCAAGCCAAGTGGCCGAATGCAACAGATCAGTCACGTTGACCCATCCGTTGTCGTCAATATTGACATTCACCTGGCACTCGAGACACACTGTTCGAGCAAAACCTCTTCAAAAGGAGCGAGTGTTCCAGGCAGAGCTCTATTTTGTCCCGATTTGTTCAGTCCTTTGCCCGAAACCTGGCCGACACCCCCACCACTTTCCGGATCAAGCTTGTTGAACGAAAGTGAGGTAGGTGAATGTCACATTGCTAGATTAAAGAATCGGAAAGTGCAGAAAGCGCGCACAGCATCTCCAAGATGCTTCAGGCGTGGCTTCGCAGGTTGCGCATGAGCAACTTCAAAAGTCATGTGCTCCTCCGCGCTCCGCCGCAACTTACTAACCAGCCTCCGGCTTGGCCGTGAGAGGCTCACAAACAGTTCACGCATGGAACTTTCTCATGGACGATTGCTGGCTATGCGCTTGGGATAGTGGAGACGAAGGCCGCTGCAGCGCTGAAGACACATCCACACCGTGAGAAGGACGCCTGCACAGTTGCACTGCATGATTGATACACATCCGAAGCCACAAGCAGAAGAAAGCCTATCTCCGGCATGCTCCCGGGTGTAAGCTGTGCTGTGGGTATGAGACAATGGTGACAGCGGTGGACGATGTCCTGAGTGAGCAAGCTGCTCACACGTGGACAAACTGACCGCACTGCTCAAGTCGCACGATTTCCTGCAGCAAAGCGGCCCGAATCCGTCGACACTGTAGACCTGAAAAGCAACCCGCTGTTTATTTGTTGGTGCACAAGGCCCGTAGGCTTTTGGTCACAGTGGCAACCATCCTTAGTGCCAGGCAGTCTCCGTTGGTCAGGTTCTGGTCTCGTCCAAGTTGGATGGTCGGTGGCATGCGCCAATGATTTAGGCGACATCCCAGCACGACCTACACATGGAGGTTCTTGCATGCACGCATCTGCCGTTGCCAGGAGTCGTTGTCCGTCCTTCCTGGCTGCCTGCGCTGCTGGTAGAATTCATTCTGGAGAAAGCTTGATGCAAGTCCTTGGTTTTTGTGATCCATGATCCGCAGGCCACGGGACATGAAACAGAAGCAGGCACAGCACCAAAAAGTCAAGATGCTACATGTCTGCTGTGGGCAATAGTCAATGGTGAAGCAGGTCTTGCTTTGCCAACAACCTTGTTTCACAGGCACAGCGGTGGTTCATGACTATCTTCTCCGCACCCTTCTATCTGTCGCAGAAGTGATACCTCCCGCGCTGCACGCGGTTGGCTTGGGCGCCGCGAGTGGGCAGCCGCGAGGGGGGACAGCGGCTCTTCCATGAAAGACGATGTGTGGCTGCAAGTTGCTCAGCTGCAGGAGGCTAGCACGATAGCCATGACTAAATGCCAAGACTGAACTGCCGCCGCTTTGTCTGCGTAAGAGCCAAGGAAGCTTCGCGAGCTCGGCAAGAAGCAGCGCTGGGAGTGGAGCAGAGAGCGGAAGTTGTGCAAGTGCCCCGGCGGTGCCTTCTTTGCTCCGTGCCGGAGAATCCAAGAAATCTTCTTGGAGATCTCCGTGCGCTCATCGTCCGTCGGTCTCAGCCTGGCTCAGGGCGCGGTGGCGTTGGTGTGAGCGAGATCGAAACATGTCGGCCGCACGACATCTGCTGCTCCAGGCTGCGGGCATTCTTGCCCTGACCAACACGGTAAGCGACGTGACGTGATAGCAGCAACGCGCTCCACCGGAGCCTCGGGGGCGTCTGACGCAGCCGGATGTGCCTGGCAAAAATGAGGATGCAAAGACCGTACAGTTGGAAGATGTCGGTAGCCCCACGTCCCCTGGCCTGGTCCTGGTCGAGGTCCTGGTCCTGGTCCTGGTCCTGGTCGAGTAGATCATGACCGAGGGCCTCAGAGGCTTGCCATTCCTAGAACTGCGCAAACAGCTCCCTTTGGCTAGGAAGCCTCTTCCTCTTCTGCTTGTGTTGCCCCTTGGAGATCCTGAAGAGAACGGCCAGATGTGCGGCTCTGGGAGAGCCCGTGCGCGCGGCCTCCAACACGGCATCTCGCTCGGAGCCCTCCGGTTCGAGGGAGGCATGCAAGCGCGCCTGGCACGGCACAAACGCTTCAATTCGTCAGCACGTCGCATGATTCTCGCTGACACATTCACCGGCTCACCGCGTCCGCATCGTTTGATGGCTCCGGTTCCCGTGCTGGCAGCTTCTCTATGTCTGTAGGGTCCACCTGACAATGGCAAGCATCTTAATTCTTGCAGCTTACGCTCCGCAGTGTTGGTACCCTCGGATTTGGAATGTGGCAGGTCAGGGTTTGGAAACAATTGAAAAGCGACTCCAACGGCTTCAGACAAAACTGGGAGCCTTGATCGACACTTCTGTCGAGAGCTCTGCAACGGAAGCTAGCTGTTCCCCCTGCCAGTCTTGCACCGTGCAAGAGTCACACTGCAAAGCTTTGTTACACAGGTGCCTCATCAGCATTTCCCTTTGAAGGCTGAGAGGATGACCTATTGCAACAATCAGGTGGACTGTCATGCAGAGCATCCAAAACAAGTGTCAACTCGGAGGTGAGAGAACTCTGAGCGTCCTGCGCTGGACAGTCTCGGGGCTCCGCTGAATGCTCTTCTGAGGGCTGCGCTGGCTCTTCCTGACGGCGTGAAGCTCAGTCTCACATCGCAGTCGTGAGTCCGACACCAGAAACTAGCTGCAACTAGCTTCATGCTGCTAAGAGGACACATGATGACAGCCCTCTTTTCTTGAAGTTCATTGCAGTTCATTTCCCACCCTCATCCTTCAGTTCAGTCACGACCCGTGGGATCAGGAAGCAAGTGTTGAGCCCGGTCCTTTGGCGCAGGCTCTTCAGATTCTGCTGCAGCAGAGTGGCTGCCTCCTGAAGCATCCGCTCTCGTCTAAACACTACCAGCTGACACCAACCCATGCCTTAGACTAGACCGCAACAGTCCTACCAAACTGTTTAACTCTGTGTGAGATGCTGTTTCCAACAGAAGGCTGGGGCCCGCGCCCATAACACAAATGGACTTCCACTATTGACCTCGGTCTGCCCGCTTCCCGACACGACACCGGGACCTTCGTCCGCAGATTCCGTCCATGCTCTTCAAGGAACTGCCAAGCTCAGTGCGCAATTGTCCGAATCACTACTGGCTGAAAAAAATGAGCCATGACAGCTGAGCAAAACACAAACGGAAGCTATGGACGTGAGTGCCGCATTTCACACACTCTGTAGTTCAGCCTCGAGGATCACAAGGTACAGTGCAAGCAATGAGCCCGTCTGACTGCCAGAGCTGAGACGCTCAGAACCATTTCAAACACGGCTGAACCCGGTCTTGCAGTCTTCGAGCGAGGCAAGAGTCGTGGTCTCAAGCCCAGCGAAATACTACACATGTTGCACAGGCTCTGCACTCAGAACTCTGCTCAGGTATTATCTTGTCATGAATCTGTAGAATCTGTGCAAACCGATGCGATCTGAAGATGCCGCACGGCACGCTGGAGTGGCACCAACGCCAAAAAAGGACGAGAAACTTACATAATCACGGACAGCTAGCATCCATGCGCACTCATTTCTGCAGGGCCTGTATGCGGCGAAGCTCTTGCTGTCTGAACTTTGCAAATGTCAATGCCCAGAAGGTCAGGAACCACGCATGCAAGCTCCCCTCTCCCGCATGCTTCCTCCCCGACCTCAAATAGCCACCCACAGCCCCCTGATTGCTTTGTTCGTGTCGAAGCTTTGTCGACCAGCGATTCTGACTGCAGAAGCGGTGCACGGGCGCCGTGCATTTCGCAGCCAGTGTCCTTCCATGCTGGAAACGCCCGTTTGGCAACAAACCGAAAACGAGGCTAGCCCCGAGGACCCCCCCCCTGCACACACACACACACACCCACACCCGGCGTCCAGTGTACTGCGCTAATTTGGCACTCTTCGCCTGCAATCGGGCCGAGGCGGACGACCCGAAGCGTTTACAATCAAGTCTTCCTGCAGCACAGTTGGACGGCTTCATGGGTTTGTGACTGTGGTCGCCTTTGCTCAGCAAATCGTTACACTTGTTTACACTTCCTGGGCAGATAGCTTATGCAACTGCTGCAGGCATTCGTGAGACGCACTTCACAAGTCCACGGTCTGTATATGCTCGGCAAGCCCAAGCGCCGCAAGTGCGCGGAAGGCTTCCGCCAGTCACCGGGGGCAGCCGTTCGTATTAGTTTGGCCACAGCACCGAGCCTGCAGCCGCGTTTGTTGCAGCGGCGAGGGGAGCAGTGGTCGCTTCACCGCTGCCCTGGCAGTCAGTCTCTAACCCATGACAGGTGAGCTCAAATACTGCGGCTTCTGGATCTGGGTTGCTGGCCGCACGGCCTTGGCGCTGCGAGGTCACGTAAGCGACTAGCTGCAACTCCTGCCCTATCCGGGGAGTTGACCCATTGTCGCGCCAGCCATTTCCGCCGAACCGGCCTGAACTTGTCAGGACGAGACCGAGGTACTGCAGAATCGGCACAGGTGCTGCACTCGCGGGCCTTGGGCGCTGCTTTCCTCGGATTGGCACCGTCTTCGTCCTTTCCATTATGTCGAGGCGGCTTGACATTTGGGAAAGATGTCGGAACCAGAATGGGCCCCGGAGTGACGACCCTCGACCCTCCATCAGCTAGTAGAACATGTCCAACACTGTCACCCGTACTCTGGTAAGTACTTTCATTTCTCTAGGAAATGACAAAACTGACGTAAACGTTGGTGCTTCGGTATCTGCTGCCTTCGGCTTCTTCTTGGCAGACGGTCTTGGCTTTGCTCCACCCTTTCGAGCGCATGCTTGATGCACGAGCTTCTTCTCTGCGCATCGCGCCTTGGCAACGCTTGCAGGCGGAGGGCCAGGAGGCTTCCCATCCAGAGTGGCCAGATCGCGTGCCTTCATGCTTGCAGCTCACGTCGGAACAGCTACGTCGTGGACATGTCCTGCGTCCTGCCTGAGGCATACCAAACTTGTTCATCTCAACTGTGTAGGTCACCTCCGCGAGGCTTGGAGCAGTGGTCGCTTCCGTTGGCCTCTTGGCCTCCGGACCGGGGCCTCAGTTCCAACTTTGAGGTTGCCAATCTGTGCCTTGTGGAGGAAGACGTCCCTGAGTCAACATGTCCCGTGGCGAAGATCAGTGTCAGGCGAAGGAACACTTCAGCGGTCCTGCCGAAGATTGCGAATGCCTCTGAGTTTTCTATGAAGCCGAATCCTTGCTTCGCATTGAACGACCTCAGAGCCAGAATGTCAAGCTGAGTCAAGCTGCCGAAGCCCCGAGGCCATGCTGTGTCAGAATCATAGGTTCCCAGCTTTATTCTGCCACGGAAGCGGGTGTTGTTCCCTGATGACACAGCTTCGATTCTACGATGAACACGTACCGCAAACATCCGGCTCTCAGCAGTGCCGTGCACGACCATGAGGTCTCGGCCGGCAGCAGCTGAGGCTACCGGTACCAGGTGCAACTGTGCACCAGGAAACGTCTGCATGGGCTGCCTGAGGCAGACTGCATCACTTTCGATTAGCGAACCATCGGTGTTCGTTGCAATGCCACTCCTTACGCTCTAGGTCTTAGTCCTCCGGATGCCCCAAAACCGGCCCGGCCGCAACAGGGACTTGACAAAGGAGCAGACGGCGAAATGCACTATACCATGGCAGCCCAAGCATGTTATGGCGGGATTGCAGAGACTGAGGCTTTTGAGGGCTTAGGGCTTGCGCACGGAACCACGCACACCACCTCACAATCGGCGCAAAGCCAGGGCTTTGTGCTTGGTTCGCCAATCCCCATAAGCTGGAATGCGAGCGCCACAATGCTGCATAATGTGGTGTACTCACTTGCATCACTTATTAAATCTCAGGCCTTCGACCCGGAAAAGAGGGGCCGGAGGTGCACCAGTAAAGTGGCTAAGGCCACCGCAGGATCATCCCTTGTCCCTGGAAGCCAGGGTATGCAAATTGGCCTCCCACAAAGAAAGGATCTGTTGAGCACACGGATGGATGCAGCCCTTCTTGCCAGCAAGGCACCATCAACGGCACAGCCCTGTGCCATGACCTTGCGTGCATTCCGCGTCTATAACATCCTTCAGTCGGCTTCCAGCTCTGGTACTTTGGCGATCACGGACTATGCCGAAATGTTCCGCACTACGCTGAAGCTCCGGCAGCTTCTGTGGAGGCACCAGGCGCACCTGCAACAGCTCAAGAACGCAACCAAACACGCAACCCCACTCCCGCTTGGCACCAACTTGTCACCATCATGCCTTGCACCATACGAGGCATTGTCGACCTGGAGGAGTACACAACCACCACCCCCTCTGCTTTAGTTGCCTTTAGCGCTATATTCCTGGCCACAAGAGTCTGTGGCAGGAGCATTGCCACAACGTTGCCCGGCATGCCACCGGTCTGCATTCCACCTTATCGCTTGGCACAGACCACCCTGACCCTGGCTGCACCGCAAGCACTTGCCGCTGGAATGTCCCTGCAACGAGTTACGGCCAAAAGAAGCGAAGCCACCGGACATGCCGAGGGCTGAGTTTATGGGCCGCATGCCACCACTCCTGACAAGGCGATCGGGCACTTTCACTGCATCCTGTTGCAATATAATACACAGCCTGACACAAACTACATTCCTGTACATGGCCCCAGTTTACTCGGAAGTGTGCAGCTGGGTGCTGCACTCTGAAAACATGCCAATTCTAAAACGTCGCTGGAATCTCAAGAAGAATCAGTGCGGCCAAGGAACATCGGCACTCCGTCTAGTAGCTCTCCTGGCATTCCTCGGCAACCGAAGTCGCACGAAAGCACTGCAGTACATCCTGCGCCCAGCATGTAAACACCGGATTGGAAACAGAATTGTTCTTTCGATTGTCTTCCAAGCGCGACGCCACATGTTTATGCCTTAGGCCGTCGCCCATCACTCCATTCCCCACAGCACCCTCGGCGGACATGCAACATTGGATAATCTCCAAATTTGCGGGTGGGGGACTGGATGAGTTTGCCTCTGGTGACAGAGGACTGATGGAACCGTCACGCCCGACTTGATCCAAATTGATGTCCCTCCCACGACTCCGACTATGGTTTTGCTGAGGCCGTCGGCGCCGTCGACGCCGTTCGCTCCCCAGAATCTGCACCTTCACAAGTTCGCTGCTGCGTGTCCTTCCCTAGCTCACCGTGCCAGCTGCCAAAGAATGACCCTCCCATCTGCGACATGTCGGCCGCAAGATACGGAGACTCCTCGGAAGGCCTCCTCAACCAGGGTCTGCACAAGAGACGCACGAACAGTTTTGAAGCCGCCGACCCACATGCCGCCGCATGTGCAGTCAATCGCATCGGCACCAAATCGCAAAATCTCCAGATGTTTTCAATAATGAGTTCAAACTAAACTAACAGAATCCCTCAAATTGGCTGGCAGGCAAGCTTTTATTGAAGAAACCACCGCGGCATCGACACAGAACAACATAACACACAACACAGGGAGCGTAAAAATCAGACACTCAGACTCTGAGACCCACACTTTTGAAGACTCAGACATCCAAGCCCTAAACGCGACAACCTAAAGCCCTACACCCAAGCCTCGTGCGGCCAAGCCCATCTGTATGAACATGACGGGTGGGGTGCGTACGGGGTGCAGGAACTGCCTATGCCCCCGACACCGAGTGAAGTGAAGTGAAGTGAATGTCTTTTGTGGGACGTTCTGGGTTCCGTGAGAACTCAAGCTGCGGCCCTCATCGTCCACGCGTAGTGCCTCGGAGGAGCCTAGCGAGCCTTGTCCTCGACCGCCGCGGCAACAACACTAGGCGTGAGGTCCGTCGCCCTACCCCTACGCGCGTCCCGTGCGATCGCTCTTGAGGGTGAGTTCGCTGAGATCGTTCCACGATGAAAGGTCGTACTGCGAGTCGCAGTCTGTTACGTGCAGTGCAAGCCGCAGCCCTGTGCGCACCACCGCTCTCCTCGCGGTCGAGTACGAGCACTTGCACCAGGTGAGGACAAGTTCTGCCGTCCACATCGAGCGCCTCTACGAGTTTTTCGGGGCGATCAGATGCTACCTGGAGGGGAACCTGATTAGCTGTCTAGAGCTCCAGAACCGAGAAGGAACCCCGACGCCGCCACAGGAAAAGGCAGCAGCACAGAAAGGGACTGCGCCCACCACCACTGAGCAAGTTTCTCAAGTTGTCGAGGATATCATCTTCGCCCGCATTTGGGGGGAGGATGACATCTGGTTCCACAAGACCAGCAAGCATTTTGCCCGAGTGATCGAAGCTGAGGTGAAACTAGGCCTAATCCAGCTTGCTGTACCTCTTGCACCGTGGCGTTGCCTGGAACTCGGAGTGCTTGCACAAGATTGCCGAAACGTTATAACACCAAAACCGAGTAAAAGGCCGGTAGGGGGGGGCGCCTTAGCAAGTAGTATCGTTTATGTACTGTGACCGGGGCCGACCTTGCCTCATCGTTAAGTTTTTTCCAGTCCGACCAAAACTGAGGAAGGAACGCTGAAGAAGAACTGATAGGGACAGTTCAGGTTTAGCGATCTTGCTAGGGGCAAATCCTCGAAACATGACTGCGCAACCCTCTCTCTCCCTCTCTCGTATTCTTTCTCGCGTTCCACTGTATAGAACACAGAACACGATTACCAAGATACGTGTAAACGAAGCCAGAATGGTCACAACTGACAATGATGCCAGAATCGAGGCCTAGGAAGCCACACTTGCTCAATGTGCTGATCACATCTGAGTCAAGCTGCCCACAGCGCCAGGACAAACGCCGAAACAACCCCTTCACACTTTCGTTTGACCTATGCATATGCTCCCGTTCGCACGTGCGCACTCACCCCTGCCACCGGTTCTGTGCGCATCCCCAGCTGTTGCATCGAGCTGTCCTTGTGCCAATCATTCCAGACTGAAGGTCCCCATACCTCAATTGAAAGGTGGATGGGACTTGCAGGTGAAGTCTTAGGGTCCAGGTGTGGTGCGGGTCGAAGCCTTCAACTTCTCCAACCTGGCATCCATTGCTCTCGCGCTGCGCAGCCGCTGCACACACTTCGGAGCTGCAGGCCTGTGTAGGAGGCCCCGGCGGAGATGACCGTGGCATTCCCTGGAAAGCCTCAGAAACCTGCCAGGCGACACGATCTCGGAACGGAGACCTCTTGCTTCCGCTACCTGTAGCTGTCACATTGGGCAATAGATCCAATAGCCCGTTCACGCGGACCCAGCGAGCGGTTGATTATCCTGCTGGGCGCCCCGCATCGGGCCACACCATCTTCAAAGCGACATGGCGTTCCCAATGAGGCAACCTGCCAAAAGTCGCATAAGCACAGCAGCTGACTACATGTAGCTGCTCCAGAAAATTGTGCCTGATCAGAAGTTCCTCACCATTTGGGAAGAAGCCCTGCAACAAAAGGCTTCAGATTCTGCATGCTGAGCCACGATGTATGATCGAAATAGATTCAAAGCTACAAGGCATGGACCCGAAGGGGGTGCAGAATGAATGCTTGGGCATGCCCAGCCTGCGTGAACCAATCACGCATCGTCGCTTGTGCGAATGGTCCGAATTCCTGGCTGAGCGATCTAACGCTGCTGACCGGACCTGGCAGAGTCTTGGGCGAAGCCTTCTGGACGCTGTCGAGGTAATACCAGGATAGGCCTTCTCAAGTAAACAAACTGAAGTCATTGTCGTTGTTGCCAGGAGCCGGGAGGCAGGCCACCTCCGCTATCAGGAACACTTCCATCCATGGCACTCACCTTCCACAGGGGAGACGTCACGTGCACCACGACAAAGTCCCCAACAGGAGCATGCGCAGGCCTCTCGCACCGTGCAATCCGTAGTCTTGACTTCATCAGCAAGTATTACCAACTCAGCCCTGAATCCTTCTAATAGGGGCATAGTTCCTATGTCCGATGAATCGAGTTTAATAGGCATCGAGCACTGCAAAAGCGGCTCTACAATCGTCTGTATCCACACCCATCCCCGCATGTTTCCGCAAAGCGGCACTAGAGCCACTTCGTCTGCGGTATTGGCAATTATCACAGCTCGCAAAAGCTCTCAGAACGTAGCATGACACTGGAGTAGAGGCACTTCTTCAACTGCAAAGCATGAGCAAAGTTGACGTTCCGTCCTTTTCGCAAGACTTTCAGCATGGATTCCAGTCACATTGCCAGCGCCCTCCTTAGCTTTGATTTTTCCATTTTCTCCACAGCTCGGTCTCCACGTTGTCAAGAAGGAACTCGTGCAAGATCATCTCAAGGTTGTCCTTGCATCAAGCGGGGTCTAGGAGTTTTGAGCGACATGCCTCAAGTTGCACAGCCAAAGACTGGCTTGAGGGAGCCACAGTCTGGGTTTTCTTGCTTTGCAGCAAGAGGGCCGAAAGGGTTTGGATCACTGACTGGCAACAAAACGTAACAAAACACGTCGGCAAATGAAAAGCAGGGTCCTGTTCTGTTTTGTAGACTTTGGCCGGGTCTGGTCCGCCACCTGGCATCATGGGGGCGCCACCCATCGTTCCCATCCTTGCGGGCAACGAACTTTCAATTTCAATCATGGCTGCCGCTTGTCATGGGGATCGGCCAAGTGGCATGGCCATCATCGGATCATCAGCTTCAACGTCTGACTTGGTGAAGAATGACTGCACCAGCCCTATGAGGCTATGACTGCTCATCATTACGAACCTTGGCTGGCGCTCAAGTTCGGTGAAACTACAAAAGATGTCTTTTTGAAGGATCAGGCAAAGAAGCATATACCAGCAGAGCGATGAAACGTAGCCGGGCTCCAAGGCAGTCACCTCGACACCTCTCTGCAGCATTCCCTGGGGCAGAAACAGGGGAAGCTTTTGATCTTGTGGCTCTTAAAGCGAGTTGACCCGGCCTTGAACTGAAAGGTCAATGGAAAAGGGGTTTTCGCAACCAGGAAGCCGGAGAAGAGGTGGGAGACCCAATAAGCTAAGAGTCCCTGAGACACCATGAAGACCATCTGGCCCTTCATCATTCCCATCATCGCCATGGGATCAGAGCCTCCCTGCAAAGCCTCCATTGGGTCCTTCGCTTTGGGCACAGATTTCACCAGGACGCCCACATCTTTTTTGACAAAATAGGCTTTCCGAGACTTGAAAGCCTTCTCGGTGAGAAAATGCGATGCTGCTCTCAGCATTTTGCATCTTCCAAGCATGCTCTGTGTTTTGACCTCCTTCACATCGACTTTTGGCTCGGCCTTCAACAAGATCATTAAGCTCGACCGAATCATGGAGGTCAGAACGACCACAATAAATATCGGAAGCAGGACATTGTTTCGAATTTTTGGATCTAGAAAGATCCCCATCCACGGCTGCGTCACGGAGGTCCAAAATGCCTCCTGACCAAAGGGAGCGGCTGTGCTTGCAGAGCCACAAACGGCCACAGCCACGGTTTGTTCATGTCACACCTCGAAACGGCCTCATCTCTCAATGATACACCCCCCCCTTTCCCACTGACTCCAAACTACCGAAGAACTGAACTACCAGTAGCTGATGACAGCTGATCGGCTCTCTCTTCGAAGAGACAACCAGCCTTTGCGGATGACAGCAAGCCAAGCGCACAATCCAAATGCCTGCTCGGGATGAAATACAAAAAAACACCAAACGACTCTGCCGAAACGGCCGTCGGTGTCAAATTGTCTTCTTGTCCTTCGCTGGGGCCATGAGGGCTCCCAGCAGCCTTGTACCCAAGATAGCATTATCGATCAACCCTTTTCCAGCACGCCAGGCCAGAATGACGAAAGATCAGCAGCTTTGCTGACAGGGAAGCTACATTAGGCCTACCGAATTATTGTCTCTCAAGTGCTTCGCGTCACCACAGAGGACCTTAATCCATTGCAGCACGTCTAGACTCTGTTCCCATCACCTGCAACAAGACCTGCCGCTGGGACACTGCCCTGATTCAAGGTGTGTGCAGCTCGGCGCATGGGCAGGAAGGCCTGAGGGTCCTTCAAGGCGTCAAAGTACAAAGGCTGCTCACCCTTTGGGAGTGTCGTGATCCGTGCCTCGCCATTCTCCCTGAAAGTTGCACCGCTTGTCAAGTTGTCCCTGGTAGCTGCAGCCGGGCTTTCACAACCAGCACAGTTTGTGACAGGGCCTGATCTCAATGAATCGGCGCCCTCCTGCGGGAGCCTTGCCGTGCTCCAAAACAAACATGGTTCGAGCTTCTGGCAAGAATCTATGTCGAGGCTGTCGCTTCAACTTGCGCCTGGCCCAATCCTTTGAAGTTGTCCTGAAAGCAGTCTTCCAGAAAATGCTGGCTAATGCCTGAACTGATCATGATTGTACTACCCCGGTCCTTTCCGGAAGCTATGTACCTCTTTCGAACGTCCTGACAAGAACAGACTGCAGGTCCTCTCACTTGCCTAGTTGCATCGTTGCGACCCCTTCCTCAGGGCTGCGAGTGCGTCGCGCACCTTCAGGCCGAAAGGGGTTCCCGGGGTGCGAAGTCCTTTTTGCTGCTCCGGAGCATCCGGCCTGCAGCATCAGAGATATCAGCAGAGGTCTCCGTTTCCTGGCACAGTGTCAGAGCTGTTGGACCGCAAGGTTACAGGAGGAAGCATGTGCCCGCATGTTTTGCTAGAAGACTGGCGTTTACCGAACCAGACAGCGCTTCCTTCCTACCGCAGGCCCACAGCAGGCGGCCCTATTTGGTTGTCGCATGCGGGAAGGACTAGACGGTTATGGCATCACCTCGACGCCTTGGTTCCCAAACCCGAGCCTACAAAGGATACCAACACCTGCCTATGTAAGAGGATGCCTCTCCCCGGCGATATACTGAACAAGTAGAAAAGCACCATGGAGCCGCGTGCCGAGGTGCGACACACAGAAACCAGACGGCTACAGCTGCAACACGACCGCATTTCGGTACCAGGGAAGTCACTAGTAAACTAAGCGGGGCTCGCCTTGGATCCGAGGCTCTCGTGAACACCTCACGAGATTTGTTCTGGCACGAACGTAAGCCACAGCTGTTGCTTTGTCAACTGCCTAGCTATCAAGCCAATGAGTATGAGCACGAGGGTCTTGTGCGTAGGAGCCCCTGCTGGTGCATGTTTCGTGCTTACATCGACGCTTGCTGCCTGACGTACCTTGATCTTCCCTTTCGCCACACTCTACGGCGATTTGCACTGATGATGGGCGAAAATCCGAACTGCCCCGGTCCTAAACTTCAAATCCTTGCTCAACGAACGTGGACGAGATCTGAATCACCAGAAATCTTCAGCGAGTGCCTGTCTGTCTGGCTGCCTGCCTGTCTGGCTGCCTGGCTGCCTGGCTGCCTGGCTGCCTGGCTGGCTGGCTGGCTGTCTGCCTGGCTGCTGGCTGCCTGGCTGCCTGGCTGGTTGTTTGGCTTGCTTGCTTGCTTGCACTGCATTTCAGGAAGAGGCCCAAGGAACCCTCCCCCCAGCGCGCGAGCCCCACGCCGAGTGTGGCTGTCTGTTGTTTCGAAATGTAGCTTCGTGGAGTCAAATGAGACCTGCCACGAACGGTAGTGTCTATCAACCCAATCTGAGGGCCGTGCCTGGAGACTGGAGGGAGAGGTTTGCACTCCGAATCTCCTCGCAAGGCTCAGCAAAGCGGCCGACAGTATACTCTGGAAAGCTCAACTCAGAGAGCACCTCACTTTGAGGTGCTTGCAAACGGAGCCCAAAGTGCCGCAGCTCTGTAATCCTTAGCAAGACTACACTCACACGGGGAAACCATTCGAGTGCACCTGCTTGCTGAGCACAACGGAGCTCGCCGAACGACAGAACAACCAGACACACACTTTCTCAAGTGGTGTTTCGATAAGTCCCATAAGGAGGGTACGGTAGTGCGGACAGCTTTGACGCAAGAGCTCTGGCTGTCGGGCCCTCCCGCGACAGCGATATACCCTCGGCCATGTGCAACCGACCGGGAGCAAAACGACGCGAACAGAATCTACATTGTTAATGCAGCAAAGTACTTCTTTCTCTGCAGCTTAGTGTGCAACAACACACTTACAAGACAACGTGCCTTCGAGTTGAGTGCGAACACAATCCAGAACATGCCGTTCTTCTCCACAGCCACCTCGTCTTTCCAGACATGGCTCGATCTGTGCTTGAGGCTCGAGAACACTTCACATCCAAGCATGGCGGATGCACTTGATCCCATTTGACAGCATCACCGATCTCGAGATTGTGGCTTGCACATAGCCATTCCTGACAACATGTCATCGGCGAAAGCGACGTAGGCAAAGTCGAGGGCCTTCAAGGAATCTTTCATCTCAGCTTGCGAAGGTATTCTGACCTGCACCAGGCCGCCGTGCCAATTTCACTCTTTGAGAAGGTCTAAGGCCAAGCCTCTGCAGCTTCCATGCTTGCATAGCCCTCCCACGAAGAGGGAGATGGCTGCCTCGGAGGAGACTGGTGCGGCAAAGGGCCAGTCCTGACAGCATAGGAGGCACTGAACCTGCTGTGCTGTGATGTCGTGTCCGAAACCCACCGGCTCCAAAGTCGTTCGTCAGCAGGGGCGCCCTGCTCCTTGAAGAGGTTCAGATTGCCCTGCTGCAGAGCTGCTGGGAAACTCTCCGCGATGCAGCGATGAAGCTGTGCATTTTGGCCGTGCCCTGTGCAGACCTGGTAGGCCGGAAGGTGTCTTCTTCCAGAGCCGTGTCTTCCAGCAAATGGTACAGAGGTGCCTCCGCAGGTCACTTGTGTATCAAAAAGTGCCTCTGTGGGTCTGTCACACACCCGGCACTGCCAACCTGCATCCTGCATGTGTTCCTGGCCAAACACAGCAGGGTCAGTGCAACCAAATACGAGGAAATGCCAGAAACCAGAAATACTATTGAGTTGTCATGGAGCGACCCGATAAACATTGGGTGTGGATGCAGTGGCAGCACTGTGTCGAGCATTTCGGATTCGCTTCCCCCACTTCTTCTGAAACAGAAAGGCAGATTCGTCCCAAATTTACAAGCCGTGCGCAGGGGTCGACATAACCATGTGTGCGCTCGTCAGACACATCGCAATCTTCGGGGCTATTCACAAGCTTAGGATAGCTTACTTTCGGCACTTAGAGATTTCTCGACTGGAGACTATTGGCAGCTGGGAATCCAGTTATTCGGCGTGGCTTGACGAGGGCTGGCGGACCACGGAGCAGCATCGGCTTTCCATCCGCCCTCCAAGGAGCTCGCGACAACATCGCGATTCAATTCTTGCAGATGTTTCAACCGCCTGCGGAGCCTTCTTCTTGGACTGTGTAGAATCCAAAAATCACGTAGTCACTAGATTTCAAACCCACCTACGTGGCATCAAGCATGTTCTCACTCTCACTCCTTCTTTCGCCAGAGCTAGGGGCAGGGGCCCCTGCCCGCACATTCTCACTCTCACTCTCACTCTCACTCTCGCTGTCTCTCTCTCTCTCTCTCTCCCTCTCTCTCTCTTCGTTTCGCTTCGCTTCACGGGGGACGAGTCCGAAGACCCGGGCCAGCCCCCCCCCCTCCCTACCTTGGTGGTGGAAGAGGGGCATTGAGGTCGAGCGCAAGCGGTTTTTCCCCGTGGTAGGTATGACCGGTAAAGTGCGTCTGGCGAAACAACCCCCGACCCTGAACTTTAGCCCGCATCCCGGCCTCATAACCGCGCCCTCTAAGGCAAACTCCTTAGTCCCTTCGCCAGACGCCTCCCCCTTCTTTGTGTTGGTAATTATTCCCCCACTGCATCAAGCAACAACTGAGTACGGAGCAATGCAGGACCACAATACCAGTATGATGCAAGTGGAGTTAGTATGGGCGGCGCTCCCCCTTCGTCTGGCAACCACAAAAGCAAGGACAAATACAAGGTGCAGTAACGACTTCAGGTAGGAGCCCCCCGTTGTAAAAAAGTGCCGGTTTAATTTCCCCCATTGGGGTTGTGTTGGTATCTTACTAGAGTTACTAGAGTACTAGAGCACTGAATTATCGGTAGTGTGCGGATCAGACGCCGCAGAGTGGCGGCGTATATGGCAACGAATTTTCGCAGAGCGGAAAGAAGCCGCCAAGATACAGGAAACGTGCTTCCCCCCGGCAAGGGCTCTTACAGTTGGAGAAATCCCCCACGGTGTGGGGTGAGGCTCAAGCTTTAAAACTAGCGACGGAAAAGAGGAGGGATCCGTTGGAACAGCCCCAAAGCACACTGCACTGAACCCAAACACCGTGCACAGCGAAACACCACTCACTCTCTCTCCTCACTTCGCAGGAAAAATTTTTGCCGCACTCACATTGCTCACTTCGGCTCTTCGACCTCATTGCGCCCATCCACTTGCTGCGTCTTCACTGGCTCCCCCCGAACCTGGTGCGTCTCTGGGCCTCCATATACTCTTGTACCTGACGGACTCCTTGCCACCGCTGGTTGGGTGTGAGGCGAATTGGTTTTCGCCGGGGACTGCGACTGGGCGTTCTTGGTCGCTGCTCCCCCAAAGTTCTCCTTGGTGGCATGTCGGGCGTACATGGTTGTTCCGCCCCCCAGGTTCGTGCGGCTTGGCGGTCTTGGTCGCTGCTCCCCCAAAGTTCTCATTGGTGGCATGTCGGGCGTGCATGCCCCTGGGTTCCTCTGCGGCTCAGAGCACTCCCCACCATCGTCGGCCTGGTTCTGCAGGTTGTGTTCACCGGAGCTTGGGCTCCCCCAGTCGACGTCCTCTTCGAAGTTGGGTGGTGTGGGCGCGGCCGGCGGGCCGCCCTCCCCCACCTCCCAGTTCCACAGGTGTAGGTACACGGTCTTCTTCAGTCGTGCTCGTCTCCCTTCTGGTCGTAGGCTGGGCTCGGCTTGTTGCTTGAGCTCCCCCCTTCTTGACTGCGGCGCTTGGACCTTCTTTCTCTTGACTTTGCATGCGTCCTTCAGAAGCTTCGGGATCTTGTGCGGGAAACGCATGATGTAGGCCCGCGTTTCGTTGGCGATCCGAGGTAAAAACTGGTCGGTGATCCCTACCAGCCCTACCAGCTTGTCTGCTGCCGCCCCCAAGGCTCGCCTTGTACGCAATCTCCCCCGGTAGCTGGCGTAGGCCTCCTTGTCATTCTCCCCCATCGCTTCCCCTTTCTCGTTGTAAAGCTCGTCCGTTGCGTCGTCATACTGCACCTTGCGTCCAATCCACTTGTCCAGTGGACTAGGGTGGAAAAAAAGGTGAAGGCCCCCCTTTGTCTCATGCTGCACCATGAAATCGAGGCTCGGCGCTGCGGGTGCTTCCGACTTCCCCTTAGAGGACGAGCTGGCACTCCCTATTGCCCCTGAAAAAAGCAGCAGGTAACAGCCCCAGGCCAACCGCATGCCTTCCCCCCGTACCAAGGAGGCTAACAGCCCCCGAGGCAAAGGCGCGGACACTTGAGCCAAAATGGCTTCTCTCTCTCTCTCTCTGTCTCTCTGTCTCTCTCTCTGTCTCTCTCTCTGTCTCTCTCTCTCTCTCTCTCTCTCTCTCTTTGCTTTGCTCCGGGGTGTGGCTCGCAAGCAGTCCTTGCGACCCGCGCGTTTGCGCTACTGTACCCCATCCAACATTTTGTCCGGACAGGCTTGGCTTTACACAAAGTGTTGTTGAGCGGGTGCCCATACGGTTCGAAAAAGCATGCCTCGGGTTACAAAAACCTGCTCTAATTTGCCCCACTAGCCTTGTGCTAGCCGCTGTGGCTCACCATTTTGTTGTACGAGGAAAGAAGTAGTCTGGGGTCCCTCGGCACTAATTACAGAGTTCCCAATTGCAGCTGGGCTCTCTTTTTGCCTAACTGAAAAGGTGCTCGGATGGTGTAAGAGAACGGCCTTCCGGCCGTACAGAGTTTACTGCCGAAGTATCGGAGAAAGGGCCGGGGCCCCGTGCTATGTAGTGTGTATGCACTTTGACAAAACTCTCCGAGCCATTAACTACGCGGCGCTTTCGCTCAGTTGTGCTCGCAGTCCTGGTGGTCCATTTTCCTTCACGACCTGTTTGGTCCATCTGAGTTGCCAGCCGAAGCACATGTCGTGCGAGTGCACCGGGTTGCGGTGGGTCCCGAAGCTCCGCAACTCTGGTGCTTCTCGGCACCTGTGTCCCCTTGGTCTGGTTCCCATCCTTGGTGCTCCGGGTCCTTCCCATCCACTCGAACTGTGCAGTGGGGCTGGTGCCCGGTTGCCATGCTGGGTGTACTCTGCGGCGGAGAAGCCTCCCGAAGCTCGTGCTGCTCCAGCCTGGACTGGATTGGTTCTTTGCACCGTCTGGTGTTCCGTAGACCTTTGTGTCTGCTGGGCGGTTCCCCGTTGAGGATGTCGTCGAGTGCCTAGTCCGGCTCAGGGTCCCTGGGTCCCTTCGTCGCATGCCTGTCACACCTGCACTGTGGCTGCATTGTGCGAGTTGGCCCCGAGGATGATGCCGATGGTCGCGGCGCTGTCCTTGGGCTTGTGGGCGGCGCTGTCCTTGGGCTTGTGGACGACGACGAAGACGAGGAAGAGCTGGGTGCCCGCTTTCTCTTCCTCGTTGTGGTGGCGGTGTCGGTACGGACTTGCTTTTGGGCATGCCCTGAAGTTGCCTTTGGGCAGGTGCCCGAAAAGGTGCGAGCCTGTCGTGAGGTAGGCGAGGTGGTTCTGGTAATAGAGCTTGGTTGGTTTCGATGTAGTCCTGGTGGCCCTCGTTGCCGGAAGGCTTGCTGTCCTGGGTGGCCTGGCCTTAGTCTTGGTAGCTGTGGCCACTGGCTTTTCATTCCTGGCACTTTGGGCACGGAAGCGGGTGATGGCCTGATCAGCCCTGGTGTCCTCTGCGGCAGCTTGTTGTAGCTGTTTTCGGGCTGCTCCTCCTTGAAGGTTGGTGCCCTTCTGCACACAGTTGTCCACTTCATGGTTGTGGCTCCAGTGTTTTGCCTCCCTTTTCACCAAACATTGAGGGCAGGTCCTGACTCCATGCACGAGTAGGGTGTCCTGCTAGGTGGCGGCCGTGTTTGCAGGCTTGTGCCGGCTCTGTGGAGGTCTCGGGTCCTCCGATTCGTCGGGTGTACGTATCCTTCTTGGTGTCCCTGCCACAGGCACGTCCGTTCCTGTGAACTTGTCCCCCTCCCAGCGCGGCGGTAGAGCTGTGTCTCTGAGCGGGTGTCCTCGGGAGGGTGCTGCAGGGTCGCCGTCTGGTCTCCCATCTTTACAAGCAGGTACCTCTTCCGTCGGACGCAGCAGCCAACAGCAAGTCCACGGATGCAGCTGGGCGCTCTGCCTCAACACCTGACAGGCTACCTGCAAGTGACGGACGGGAGTGCACATGAGTTGCGGACGGATCTGCATGCGCGGCCGACGAAAGGACGGCACGCAGGCGAACGGCAGCATCAGACGGACCCGCCTCGAAGGGCTCAGTAGGCGGAGAGGTCAAAGAAGAGCGGCCATGATCCTAACAGGACAAAAGAGCAAAACTGCAGATGCAAGTAACCACGAAAGGGGGCAGGCACCAATCGCACACGGACGGATCTTTTTTCTGGAAGATCGCGTCGGGCGGACGTTTAGTGGCCTTTGAGGCAATTGATGCATGTGTGCTCATCGTGCGGCTTGCGCTCGCCGTAGAGCACATTCCAATGCATCGGAACCCGTGAGAATTGGCGGAAAGGCGGTCAAAAGAAAGAAGGCGAGGGATGCTGTGATCACTGAAATCGGGCTGCGACATGAAGGTCATGACGCACCCCAAGCCAAGCAACTGAAGCTGTGAGACGGACAAAGCGGCACACAGGCACACAGTCCTCCAAAGGTCCAGTCGGCGATCGGACCCTCGCTGCGGGCGGAGTGACGATGCCTGAACACGGACAGAAAGAGCACAGTTGGAGAACCCGGGTTCCCACAAGGGTGAGAGACTTGAGCCAAAATGGCTCTTTCTCTCTCTCTCTCTCTCTCGCCAAGGCTATGGTGGAGGGTTGTTGCCCTCCACCGCGTGCTTGTGCGCTCCCGACGGTTGCCGGTGCCAAGAGTTTCGGTCGCGCACACCAACCATTGACACCCGAGCATAGCTCAACGCAACACTGCGGTAATATAAGCTACACGGACTATTCGGCTGTATATCATAGGGTGCCCTGAAAACGTGATCCTCCGTAGTCGGGAGTTTGTTTGCTGGCATCGGTGGATGTCCCGATGTCTTTAGGACTGTTGTAAAAGGAGTGTATGCAAGAGGGGAAAAACATGCATGAAATACCTGCCTTGCAAGTCTTATGCATGCTACTGGCACACCATTCTGAAGCACAAAGAAGAGTTGAGCAGGTGCCCCCTCAACACAAATGGAAGGAAGTTAGATGGCTTCAGAAATCCACGTGTTCTTTCTCTCACCAGCTGCAGTAGGGCGGTGCGCGGATCCGGGGTGTTCCGATGTGTTTGCAGAGGTGTACGATCATGTACTGGTCCAAAACTTGTAGCCATGCCTTCTGGGAGAGGTGGACGGTCAGCGACTTCTTGTGCGTCCTGAGCAGCGAGTACGCGATGTCCTCCTGGTTCATCGGGATCACCTTGGGTTATTAATCGAAATGGCATGCTGACCCTGGGCCACCCTGCGTGCCGCCACCAGGCCTCCAGGTGACTGCCGGAGGCCCCCCAAAGGTGACGGACAGGAAGGGCCAGGGTCAGAGCTCCTTGGAAGGGGCCCACCAGGTCCCCCGGTTGACAGCCGGGTTTCCACAAGGGTGAGAGACTTGAGCCAAATCTCTCTTTCTCTTGCGTAATCTCTCTCTTTCTTTCTCTCTTTCACCAGGGTTATGATGCAGGGGCTTTACCCCCTACATCGCGCGTGCATGTGCGCCCCCGACGGGTGTGGGGCGAGGAAGTTGCATGCAAGCCCACGACTCTGTGTGCTCAAGTTGCACACAACACTCGGCAACTGGACTCCGCACAGCCATCAGCTAGCATACTATTCAAGGTGGTACACACAGGCAATTGGCTGGCGATGTCGTTTCATTACTGCTTGTGTTTGCAGCACTGTATTGTTCATCGTGGGACTTGAATTCTGGGAACATGGCTTTGGCTCAGTCAGGCCAAGGCAGCAGTGTAAGACAAAATACGGAACAAAAAGACTACGCTGCACCATCAAAATTATTGCATCATGTTCCGCGGATCGGACGTCTCCAGAGTTAACATTCGACTTGGATCATTGTTCACCCCGTTGACTTAAGTCATAAGATGGACCAAGGAGCACCACGCTACTGAGCAATACCAGGCAAAAGGAGCACAAGAGGTTCAGCAATCCTAGGAGGGGTTGTTGCCTGCATGGGCTCTGGGCTGTGGCTTGTGACACGGGCAGCAACACCCAACGGAACGAGGAAGACAAACCGTACGGTCAATTTCAATTCCACTTTTACCCATAATGCAGGTGGCAACTTCGAGGCGTTGGGCTCGCTTGCTTGCTTGCTTGCAGGGCGTGTGGGAAGCAGAGCGCGGAACCCTGCCCCCCTGCGCGTGAGCGCTACGCCTGTGTCCGAGTTTGGTGTGAGACGTGAGGTGCAAAGCCAGGTCGGGTGTTGCATCAAAACACTCGTCCCCGATGCTCCCTATGCACGAACCCCTCTAACACCTAGTTTCATGTCCCCGCCTGGCTGAGCAAGTCTGTGTCGGTATAAGAGCCGGTAAGTATTCTACCCTGCTGTCGCACGCCCCCGAGCTGTTTGCGTGTTCTTTGGGACTGCAAAAACACCACTTTAGGTTTAGTGAATGCAAGCCATGGTGCAGCCACTTCAGCTTTGGGCGGCTCCTGTTCGCTACACATGTCTAGTTATGCTGCTGGCTTGGTGGATTTATGTTTCTTGTGGCAGTGCGGGTCCCCGAAAGGAAGCAAGAGGGACCGGGGTAAAGCAATAAGGGAACATCACAAAGCTTGGGCCCCCGCACTGGTGGTGGTGGTGTTGTGGCGGGGCTCCGGTGTTGTCGGGTTAGGAAGCAAAAGGGGGCAGGTTCAGAAAAGCCAAGTAGGGGAACGCCACACACTGCACCGGATGCCCCGTTGGGCTCTCTCTTCGCTTCGCTTCGCTTCACAGGGGTCAGGCTTCAGCTGAAGCCCGCACCTAGGCGCCCCCTTTCCCCCTTTGTTTTGTGGGAAAGAGGCTTTGGGGCCGTTTTGCCAGGGAATTTTCCCCCAGCGGTCGGTGCAAACGGTAGTGTCTGCCTGTCGGTTACCCCCGTCCCTGTACACTAGCGCGCTTCCCGGCCTCATCGCCGCGCTCTCTAAAGCCCGTTCCTTAGACCCTCGACAGGCAGAGACCCCCCTACGGTTTCCTATGGTCGGCGCTCACTTCCCCATTTACAACAACAGCACAACTAAGGTGCCGACTACGTTCTGGGAAGTTGTGGGGATACACTGCGGAACAACAGCTTGTGAAGGACGTTCTTCCCCTGCGCCGTACTTACGTGTTACACCGGCTTTTGTTTCCCCCCGACTGTCAAACAAAGCAGCATTGTAGTTACTATTGGGGAAACAGTAGGGGTGTGCCAAGCAGTACCTTACGTACATGGAAGACGTTTCCCCTGTGCCGGATTTGCTTTTAGTGCTGTACGGTTGTGGCTGTTGGAATCCTGGTGGGCATTTGTTGGAAAAACAGCGGCTAACAACAACCGTGCAGAACATACCACTGTCCCCCTTGTATCAACTTTTGTGCCCCCGGTCCCCTGGCTTGCTGTGAGGACAGGCTGGTAAGCTAAGGTCAGGCAGCAAAACCCACAAACACACCAGGCTTCCTCTTACAGTCAAACAAGCAACGATCTCCCCCTTATACTGGACCATGCCTGTCGTAAAATGCAGCAAGCATTCTTCTACGCCTGTGTCCCTCAGGGCTGGGTTCGGAGTCTTCCTCCCCCTCACTGGGTGCCAGGAGGTTTGCGACCGCCCCCATCGGCTCAGGCGCTGGCGGTGTCCACGGTAGTGTGGCTTGTTGGCTTTCCCCAGTTTCCCCCGGCGCTGGCAGGGTAGGTAGTAGTTCCGCTTGGGCGAGATCGGCCAGGAAGCTGTCTGTCTCGAGGGCGGCCATGTCTTCTTGGTTGACCCCTGGCGATAGCGCGAACCAACGCCGCTTTGTTCCAGCTGCGTGTGGTGCGTTCTGCTCCCCCACGTCGGTTTCTTGTACTGGCTCGGTCTGCGTCTCGTCGTTCACTGCTTGCTTCCCCCCAAATAGGGAATTTTGCCAAGTCTCGATCGCGTGCAGGACTGCCAGGACTGGTGCGAGGTCCCCGTCCCCCATGAATGCGGCAGCTTCTCGCAGTTCGGCCGCTGCTTCCAGTAGCCGCATAATCGCCGACAAGGTAGTGCTTGTTCTGGCAGTCCATTCCTTGTCCCCCTTTTCGAGGGCGATCACGTCGGCTGGGTGCACTTCTGCTCGTTCCCCCTCCTGCTCTGCCAGGAGAGTTGCCGGAGCAAGGCGGTCAAGAAGAGCGTCCCACCATCTGAGGTCGTTCCACTGTCGGTCTCCCCCCATGGTGCGCAAGATGACCGCGTCCAGCATCTCGTAGGCTTTTTGCAGGCGGGCACGGGCTCGTAGTACAGCATGGCTGGCCGAGCTAGCTTCCCCCATTGGAAGGTCATTGATGCCTTGTTCCACCATGCTGCGTAGGATACTCACATCCGTGGCATACTCTTCTGCGGTAAGGCTATCCCCCCGTCTCACACGCATGCTGGGCTCTCTCTCTCTCTCTCTCTCTCTACCGGGCTTGGGGGTTGGGGCTGCGTCCGGGCCCCTCCCCCCGTGCGAAGCGCACGCCCGCTATTCGCGGGCTGTCCTCTGGCATCCTCCGGGACGTTTCATCCCCCGAGGCTCGGCTTTACAGTACGAGGAAGTTTTTCAGGTCTCTCTCTTTCTCTACTTTAAGACGTCGACGTAAAGGCAGCTTCTCTTTCTTTCGCGAGGGTAGAAGCAAGCTCTCTCTCTTTCTCTCTCTCTCGCTCTACTCTTTTTTCTCCGGTCCGCTGCAGACGTTTCATTTGCGGTTTTCTCCTCATACGGTCAGACTTAAACAGCTACAATAGTTTCTCATTCAGGTGCCTGACAACGACGCTCACAGAGGTCCTCGCATCCGATATATCGCCGCCCAGCAGAGGGTGCCTGGGCACCACCATGGGCTGCCTTGCACGGAAAGCTTGCTGCAAGGAATTCAAGGAATCGCAGCTTCTGAAGAAGCACAAGTTGATGTCGGCCTCTAAGGGCTTCATGTGTCCCCGCAAATGCCAAGTTTACGTTTCACTGACCTGCAGAAATTAGTGGGAGCCGCAGTCCCCTAAGACGTGCAGTAATCCAAAGGAACCATTCACCGAGTACTGCGCACTTTTCACTTTTCCAACCCTTCCACTGGTGGGAGTGGTCGCGATAATTAACATGCTGTGAGCCAGTCGACAGCGAGCACCGTCTCACCCCGCGCGGACCTCATCCTGATGCCCTGAGCTTATCTGCGTAGCTTTGCAGACTGGCTTTCATGTTGTCTTCGCTTTATGCCCTGTGATGCCCTCTGTTTTCCGCACCACATGCGCATCCAGTCTGCAGGCCCTGAATGCTCTCGGCTGTCAGGCCCCGCTCTTGTCACCTGAATCAGAACAGTGACGAGACAGGTCAAGAAGTGGTTCGTCAGTTTGAGTCGTATAGTCGTAGTGCCTTCAGGGGGAGCGCAAGCTTCTTGAGGCTTGCCAGCTTGTGCAGGCTCGTCTATTTGCATCTGGGAATCCTCCTTCTGCACTGCATGCCCCACTGCTGCTGCAGGCTGAAGGGATGGTATCTCAGGCGGTGCGACGGGGGGCGCCGGTGGGGCAGCTGGGGGGGGATCCACTGCAAGAGGCGCTGCGGCAGGGGTGGCTGTCGCGGTGGCTGCGGCACCTCCGTTCTGGGTGTCGGTGCCTTCGCTGGCACCACCTTCGCCGCCTTCCTGTGTTTTGCTTGTGGTCTCTTCCTTCGTGGTCTCAACGCTCAGCTTGTGCTGTGCCACGGTGTGGCTCAACCTGACGAAAGGCTTGGCAAAGCTCTTGTAGACTTCTTTCCCGCGTCGACTCCAGCCTAGACAGTCGTTCCTGGAAGTCTTTCACCTTCGCTTGGCAGGGGCTCAGACCCACCTCGTGTGGCAATTTCAGAGACTGCACGAGCATGTTATCCGGCATGTACAGGGCGACGAGGAGTGGAAGGAAAGGCACACGAAAGCTGCAGTTTGCAGTAGTGCACGTGACGGGGACAGATGAAGAGTGGCGTCAGAATGCGGAGCTCTTCGGGCCTGCAGAGTGGTCTTGAGCTCCTGTGAGCCGTGCGGCTACCAGCACTACCAGCAAGTGGAGGCTTCGGGAAGAGGTGAAGCCAAAAAGCAGCGCAAGACTCGCAAGAGACAACAGCTCCGTCCTCGGAACAGCCAGACTCAAGACTGCCCAAGTGCTCTTTGATTGCGGCCAGCTTGCCCTGACAACGTCACATTGCGCGGTGTCTGCAGAACATCTTGGCATCTTCGGTCCTTCGCCGTCTCAAGCAGCGTCTCTGCCTTCTCGGGGCCGGGCTTTGATACGCCACTTTCCTCAGCACGGCCCACGATCGAAAACAGACATGAGATTTTCTTCAGACGCCTCAGAATGTGCTGCGATGCCCTTTGAAGTCAGCCTTCACACAACGCTGCGCAGTGAAACAGACTCAACGACAGACTCCTTCGGAGTGTGTCAGGTAGCCTTTTGCAACCTGCGTGACCTGTCCAAATCCCACAAGAGCAAACGTCAGCTTGTCATCAGCGCTGGGTGATCCGAAGTCGCGCTTTACGATGTAGATGGTCTGTCAAAGCTCGCAGTGTCAATTGGATGCGTGTGAAAGGTGGACCACATCACAAAGCAAACTACGCTCGAGACAAAAACCGTCCGCCTGCCAATGCGATGGACTTGCCCTGCCGCTCGCCAATCACGTTTTCGCTGATACGCCCAGGAATGTAGCCCTGTGCACGAGTTGAAATGGTTTTGAAGCACTGCACGGATTCATGCTCACCCCTGCACCCACAAGCACAGCCTTGTAGCCATGAATTGGCGCTACTCCGTGGTGGAGAACCTGTGAAACGTCTGGCACCTTCATGCCAAAGGCCTGCAAGGGCAAGCAGCATGAAACGAAGAACCACCGCTCTCCCAGCTAGGGCGTACCTTGCCAAGCGACTCCAGTGATGGACAAGAAAAAGTTTCCCAGGTCAAAGTGGGAAGACGGTGGTAATCATGGAACACGCGGTAAAGACAGTTACCAGCAATGAACTGAGCATTACTCAGCCAGGACGGGTGAATGTCGAAATTCTGGGGGCCCGGTACTCCAGCGACCACATCTCACAGCATCTAGCACGGACCCTGCGGATTGACTTCGGCAATTGGCATTCTGCTACATCTTCGAAGTCACAGATGCCGCAGGCGCACATACACACGCAGAAGTCTGGAACCGTGGTCCACTGCAACCAAGATAAACCTGCACCTCGTGTCGGCCAAACGGCGCGTCTGTACCGGCTGGCAGGACATCTTTGCCCGTGACCTTGCACTCGGACCTGCTCGCAACAGCATATCCAGACGACAACTGACTCTTTGTGTCTAGGCCCCGGCCATCCTTTGGCATGGTCCTGGTAGGAAGGATTCCGGATCGGCATCTGGTGACAGGGCTTCAAATCTCGGCATGTTGATGCTGGCGGACTCCGCACCACTGCAAGCTGGGTGGACTGCAGAGTAACTTCAGACTAACTCGAGTCTGGATCCCGTCGCCGGAAAGCCATTGTAGCTTCCCGGAGAAACGCGTCTGGCGGACCCCTCGACTTACGCGGCCTCGGCGATGGTGTCCGATGCAACAGGAGCTAGCGTCGTCCTGCCCTGCGAGGCTCACCAAGATGCTTTGCATGGCCAAAACAACAGCTCATTCTCATAACTACAACTCGTTTGAAATCGACGAATCGTGCTCACCAAAGGCCTTACCTCCGTCATGAGCGTCCACGTCTTCGGAGCAGATGCTCGTGCTGCGAAGTGAGATGCCAGGGACGTCTCCTGCACTGCTGCACTCAAGTCTATCTTCACCCCGACACGCAACAACAAGGGACTCCACGCCTGCGTTTTGGACCAAGTCTCCGCGAAAGCATTTTCCGTAACCTTCGGAAATGGACAACGGTGCTCTTTTCGCTTCGGGGTCGCTTTTCGGCCTTGCCAGGGATGAAGCCCTGGTATCCAGGAATGGCTCGAGCAGCAGCTCCATGGCCTCGGAGCTTCCTGGCATGACACGCACAGAGACGCACGGAAGCAGCCTTTGCAGCCTTCGCAGCCTCATGCAGCCTCTGTTCAAGGAAGCCAGGGGTTCCCAGCGCCGCCGAGGCCGTCGTAAGCAAGAGACCTGACGGGAGTTGGGCTCGCTTGGAATGGCGACGGAACTAGCTGGAGTGGGAGGACCGACTATCACTATCACGTACTGTTGGAGGCAGGACCGGGCTAGCAATGAAAACAGATGCCTCGGACGCGACGAGCCAGAAACCCATCGAAATACACTCCATCATCCCGGCAATCAGGCCGAGGTGACGTCAGTCCCATGCCAGAATGGTAGTGATACTTCTCCTGCGCAATCGGTCCGCGTCGTTGCAGCACAACCATTTTGATCATGCTGGTTCGAGTCCTCGTTGGAATCTGGGATTCGAGAATGAAGTGTGTCGCCAGCTGGTGGGTAGCTGATGCCGCGCTTGTCATACCTACGCATTGGATCACAAATCACGGAAACATGCAGGCCGAGCTGCAGGTGGAGTGGAGTCGGGGGCACTCCGGAGCCCTTGTCGGTGGAACTATAGTCCTCGGCTACCGTCGAAAAAATGTGACAAGCGCTTCACTTGTCCAGGCTCCTGGTCCGTCGGTCTTGCTCTTCGCGCTGCAAGCGCATCGCCTGAAAATCTCAGGGGCGACTTTGCAACCTTGAAGCGGGACGAGGTGGCGAGGCCTGCCTGAATGTCACAAGTCTTCTGGCTGCGCACGCCTTGCGCAATTCTCAGGGAACCTCAGTCCAGCCAGAAAGGAGCCCTGCCGAAATTTCAGTTGACACGCAAGCCAAGGATTTGGCGACCAAAAGTTGAAGCGATGGCCTCGCCCTGTGCGGACACGACAATGCGTCCCACCAACTTGCCAAACACACGCATGCTGAAGGAGAGGATGCGCCTCCAAACGAACACTCGGAACATGACCCGTATAGCCAGGCCTCGAAACGCAGGCACAGAAGGAAAAAGTGCGCTTCTGCCACTGTCTGCCCACCGATACCCGGTATTGTCACTTTCGGTTTTTGCACTGCTGGACCCTGCCAAGGGCACCGAGGCCAATCGAACTGGCCGCGGCATTGCTTCGAGTTTTGCACAGGGTCTCGCTTGTCTGCAGGGGGTTCCGGTCCAAGTGGGAAACCATTCTTTTCCCTCCAGGCCGGAAGCGGCCTTCCACATCGTTGCGCCCTCGTTCTGTTGGACTGGAAACCATAATTTGGGGACCTTGAACTTCTATTATCTGCCTTGTCAAGCATCGCAGCTGGAAGGTATCTCAGCTTGATGCAAAGCGGCGCCGATGTGGTTGCCAATGTTGCTCCTGCAAGCAAGCGTCTTGGCCGCCTTCTGTGAAGCAACAACAAGCGACTTGGCAGCGATCCTTCTCGTGTTTAGCAGCTTCGTATCACTCCATGAGCGCATCATGGTAGGGTTTAAGCTGCCTGTAAGGATTGGTCTTTGGCTTCGCCAGTGTGCTGCCGAGTTCCCTGATTACAGCATGCAAGCTGAAGTGGTCTGAAGAAAAATTGCTGTGAGTTCTAAAGGAAACATGCTCTGGCTGCAAGAATTCACACAAGGCCAACATGGCATGGGACACCATCGACTCCAGAAAAAGCTGTGGGCAGGTCATCTGCCAGCTCCTCCACCAGGAAACCATGTGGCACGCACGTCGCACATTTCAACACTGTGACGAGCTCCATGTCCTTGGCTGCAAGCTCAACCTCCTCGACGATGCCGACGTACTCCTGGCCAGGGGGCCGGGCCCCAAAGAAATCTGCCGTAAGCGAGCCGCCACTGTGAACAAGGAGTCACCCAGCCCGGCCCGCCACCCCGCCTCCACGTACTTCGAGGCGGCCTCGAGCTTGGCCTGCACGGGCTCAGACGGCTCGGACCGCCGATGGCACCGACGGGGCTGCCGGGCTGTCTGTCGGAAATTTTGGGCATCACCACGCCCGGTCGGGTCTTGCACATCTCAGACGTCGGCTGTCATCGTCCTCCAATGGGACCCGAGACAGCGGCTTGGAGCACACAATGGTTGCAGAAGCACTATACCCTCGCAGCGTTCATCATTTTGCCGTTGCTGTGTTGCAGCTCTGGCACACACTTCAAAACAAACTCCCGGCAACTCTTCCGCACAAAGCTGCGAGGACCACAGATTTCTGGCCCATGCATGCGCACCGAGTTTGCATCGATAGTTTGCACGGGCATGGGCCAGCACTATCAGCTTTCTCGGCCTGGGCCTTGGCTTCGCGGCACATATATCACCATCGTGACACATCAGAAGACTCTGAGCTGCCGACGGCCGACGGGGCTTCACTTCTTTGGTGCCACTTCTTAGCCGACAAACACGGTATCTCTCGTGCATGGACTCCCTGACCTGGGGAGCGAACCGGCCATAGACACTTCTCCGGCCAGAGCACCAGCCCGCAACTCCTCCATCACAGATTCCTGGAGGGAGATCTAGAAAGCACTAATCACAGCTCGTGTGACTGAATCTTCGGATGCCACAGTCAATCTTCTTCCCCTTCTGTGCCTTCTGAGGAGTTTGCTCCTCTGACTGGAACGGCCACCACCACCACCACCAGCTAACCTCGACCTCTCCCTTGCCGTCGACCTGAGCTTTATCAGTGTGAAACACACAGCGAATTGAAAACGTGCATCCAGCCTGCCTTGCGCGAGATCTTTGACCTTGCTTCTTGAACAGCTTTCTACAAACACTGCCGGCTGGCTGCAACTTCCAAGGCGCTTGCCGTTCCATCAGCAACGTCTGCTTCAGTGGTGGAGCCGGTGCGAAGGTCGGATCTTCCGTGGACTCTTTTCGGAACGGCGCCGGCGCAAAAATGGACGCATCCAAACCCTTGATCTGCGCAAGCGTCGCAGGAGCGTGCTGTGGAGCTTTGCCGAAAAAAGCTCCCCAGATCTGGCCTCACAGTGCCAGAAACCCTGCCATGCGATGCCATGTGCTTGTCTTTCGTTGTGTTAAAGCCAAGGAGGTTCAAATGCAGACTCGAAGAAACCTGGGAAGGGAAAACTTCTGCTTGTGCCGAATGCGCATATAGGTCCTGCATGCGACACGCTGCCTTGGCATAATGCTACAACATACACGAACGACACGAACATTCAATGCTCCCTCCGTTCTGTCTATGGCATGATAGCATATAGCCTGTTTAGTGTATTCACACAGTGCAGCATGCTTGCAGTCATGCACGAGTCATGGTGTGGCCAGGGCGCTGGGCGATAACCACCACGGCCACCAGGAAAACCATTTTGCTTGTTGAATCTTTTGGGAATCCATTGAAGCAGTGGATGGTGCGGCTGCAGGTGCTGCGGCAGGCGCGGCCGCAGGTGCAGCTGCAACCGATCCAGGGCCCGGTGCAGGCATCCTTGGAGGTGAAAGCACCGGGCCGCTCTTTTTCTTGGTCTCATCCTTCTTGTCCGTCTTCTCCTCTTTCTCCTTCTCCTTCTCCTTCTCCTTCTCCTTCTCCTTCTCCTCCGTCTGCTTCTTGTCCTGCTTCTTCTCGCGATGGGAGGTGTTCTCGGCAAGAGCTCCCTGCACTGTCCGTGTAGTGATGGTTGTTACAACAAGATAGCGGGCCACACAGCCCACGATGCCTCGACGACTTCCTCTTCGCTAAGTTCCTGGCGATTGCGAAACTGTTTTCCCATGGATCCGAAACGAAGAGCTACGAGATTGCCATGAATCCCATGCCTTCGGTTGCAAGCGGCCCACCAAAGCCTTTTTAGTTTCAGGCCGATTCAGGAAGTCCCCGAGTCCCCGGCCCCTGCCCTTGCTTGAGGTGATCTGTGCGGGCCTGCACCTGCGAGGGCTGCGTCTTTGCAGCAAATGCAATCGCCAAGCAGCACCTGGCAAAGGCGGATGCATTTCAACAGGCAGAGCATGAAAGACATCGATGGCAGATGCTAAGATTCTCGCAAGACTGCACAGAGCTTCATTTGACCTGATTGACACATGACGAAGCAAGGCACCTCGATTCTACTGCCAGGAAGGAGGGTTTCGGCTCAATCTTCGCACAAGTCTGCATCCGTAGTGCTATCCAAGCGTTGCCAATGCCCAGCCCAAGCAGCATGTGTGCGAGAGGCATCGAAACATGTTGGATCATCTGGGGGGAGCTTGCCTTTCCGGGTCTTTCCGGCCACAGCTGAGGTGATTTCACTTCTACTTCTCCTAAGCCCGTTAAGACTGGCTACAACATTTGCATCTCGCCCCGGGCAGGTTGTGACTAAGTAGTGCTCCTCGGCCCATCTCATGTCACTCATGGTCATGCCAGCTGCACAGCCCACAACGCCGTAGCTGCAGCCGAAACTTAAGCTCAGCCCTGTACACAACAGCGTTGCAACTCAGTGTAGCCAGCATACTTGTTCAAGCAGCATGGCCCACAATTGCAAATGTGGCAGACTGCGCGGCTTCCTTACGTACATCCCACTAAGGGAGTGAAAGATAAACTTGAAGGTTCTGCGCCAGACATCAGCTGAATCTCCTGCCAGTCAAAACCTGACTCCAACAGCGGTTTGCACATCTGCACAGGAAACGGGACATCAGAAATGGGCATCTTGCTGTCTTGCAGGCACAGCCTTGGGAGCAACCAAAGACCAGCCGTACAAGCCCAAGGACAAGAAGATCGCCGTCACCTGAAAGCTTTTCACGGCGATCGACATGAGAAACTGGTTGACAATGTCATATTCTTCATTCATCAGCGCGAGCACCCGCAAAGCGTACGTTGTCCCGCTTGTCCTGCAGCCACAGGACAAGAATTCATCGAGACTGCCTTGTTTAGCTTGACTGCAACGCAAACTGCCCTGCGCAGGTCCTTGGTGCAAGCGATGAAGCCACGTAGAGCGCAGCAGCTGCATGAACGGCACAGTCAGCACCGAAGACCCGCGCCTGTACCAGGAGATCAATCAGTTACTCAGCACGTGCCATTCCGCTGCATGGCTAGGCGCGGGTGCCTCTGATGCGGTCATGGTCGTTCCTTCAGCCTGCATACACACAACAGCGCCTGACAGCCAACAGCAGCGTTCGCTATCGCTCTCTGGCCTCTGCTGGCGTAGCCTCGCGCGGGTGCCAAGATGATTGATGGAAGGCTGTCCGAGTCGCATTTGCAGCGGGCCTCGCTACCTGCCTCCGCTTCAATCAAGCTACGTGGGCGCGTCTCGGCCTGAAGCAGTCCGTCCAGACTTCCCCTCTGAGGCACATAACCCTGGCGCTTCAGGCAAGCACTTGCTGCCCAGCCGTGTCCTGAGACTGCCGCAAATATTGCATCATAAGAGAAGCCTTCTTATAGCTGCAGTTACTGGTGCACATGAAGTGCTCCTCCGTGCTTGATCCCCAGCCGCCCATGCCCGCGGTGGTTGACAGCAGAGAAAAGGCGCAGAGCACAAGGCCAGCCTGGGCACTCTCCAGAAATAGCGAGGAAAAGCAAAAGCACGCATCTCTAACCTTGTGTCAATGTGCCTACTTTTGCTTCGGGTCCTCAACATGCACCATGCCTGCTCATTACAAGGCTTAAACAACTTAAAAACATGCTTCAACATGTTCTGTATTCCATGGAGGTAATCCGCACAACTTCCCATGAGCTGCTGTCCAATTTGTAAAGTGAAGGGTCCACCACGACCATTTTCTTCCTCTCCACCCACATCTCTCGATTGCTGCGAACGGTTTGCAGCGATATGCACAGCAAGCTCAAAACTGTGGATGCAGAGGCCCTGCGTGCCACCTTTCCGGATGGCCGCAATTAGCGCTAAAACTCTGCGAAGGCTGGCGCGCAAACACGCGTGAGTTCGCAATTCGGCCATCTGCATGTTCCTGCCTCTGCTCACCCTGGAACTGTTGATTAGACCCCCTCGCCGTTTACTCCATCCAGTCTTCACTTTACTTCTGGCAGCCCATCATCAGGGCTTCACAAGCTACCCCAACATCCTCACCCGGCCGTGCAATCTGTTGGTAACGACCACACAAGCTACCCCTTTAGCCCCGAGCATGTAAGCCGATCGCTCAGAAAGTTCAAGGACGCAAGGAAAGCAGTCTTACGCCTCCCCGAGGGTTTGCTCACGAAGCCGCCGCACACGGCAACATGCAGTCCGACGAGGCAAGGTCTCGTTGAACGTCAAATGCTCGACACCTCACTGCCCTGTCTGAGGGCCATTTGTCATGTGTGGGGCTTGTGGCGGGGACGGATAGAACTTTTGTCATGCCCCTTGCCGGGGAACGGGGAACGATGATTTTCGGGCAAAGGGCCCTGTCCTCATGCAGGCTTTTCCGGTAGCACGCCTGCCCGATCGTGGCTCGCTGTTTCTTCGGCCACACAGGGCATTTGCTAGTGTTAAATTCAAGTGGAGGGGAATCTGCACCCTAGCCAAGGCTGGCAGCATGCAGCCACTGGCTCACCCACCCACTCACTCCGCACCACATAATACTTTCCGTGGAGCTTTCGGATTCGAGCCTTCAAGGCCTAAAACCGCTTTAGGAGAGAACACCGGGCTCGGCCGACGCGTTGAAAGTGTTGTTGTTGTGTTGAATGTGCGAAATGCCAATTTCGGCTCCGCCGATTCTTGGCCTCTGCCTGGAGCGGTTAGGGCCTCCCGCGCCTTTAGGCACGTGGCCTTACAGAACTTCAGAAATCGAAAATGTCTAAAGCCCATCAAGGCCTTTTCGAGCCTTCATGTCCACTCAAAACGCATGCTGTGTATGAGAAGCCCACTGATTTTTGGAGACTATGTGCACTGTGCGTGCGGATATCCTGCATGCATCACAAGACCTGACAAACCTGCAGCCTCGAAGCGAGCAGCGAGTGGCAGGGGAGTGTGTTTGACTTCACTGGATGAGCCAAGGCCCCTTACCCAGGACGGCAGCTGCAGTGGAGATCCAGTTGGCCTTCGTCAAACAGACCGTGCTGCTTGCAGCAGCGTCTAAGTTTAGCGTGAGGGCTTCCTGCGAGCAAGCAACAGAACAGCGAGAGACTCGCACAGAAGCCACACAGTGTACCTGCAAGAAGACCGAAGACGCTTGCTGAGACTTGTCCACTGCAATTCATTCGCTCACGCCATGATGACAGCCGAAGTAAGCAGGGCACCTGTTCCGAGAAACACATGCGGGCAGACAGCACTGCTCTTTCTGTTTTCAGTTCTCATGTAAGGCAGAAGCCATGTTCACACCAATCGGTAATGCTGACCACAGCCAGCGACATGGACCTCAACTTCGATTGTGGATCCAGACGAGAGCAAAACCGAAGAGCTTGTCAAAATGGGCGCTGGCAAGATCATAGCAGATGCATTGACGGCCCTGCTGCTAGCATCCTGCAGGGTTTGTCACTCAGCAACACTGATCAGCATGCTCTGCATGCTCTGATCGATCCTTGAACGTGCAGAACAGGTAAATTGAACCAATGATCGCACCTGACGCAAAAAATGTTGCTGAACTCGACTACACAAGCCGCACCACTGCCAATCAGCCTAGAACCAAGGCTGCTGACCTCTGCTGAAGTCACGTCTCGTGTTGGCAAAAGTGGACTCTGTCGCACCATCTGAGTTTGTAGCGAGAGCAACATGGCCCCAACCCAAAGCCTCTCCAATGTCAATGCAGCAGCGGATAAGCGAGGTGCCCCAACAAAGCAAGCCCAACCTGTAGCCTTTGGCGCCAATCTCTCGTCGTCTCGCCTGTCTAAAAGGCCAGCCGGCTGTGCACAGCAAAACGAAGCTTCACACGCCAGAGGCCTCGAGGGCATTGGCATACCAGGTCTCCTCAGCACATGCGTTTGCTGCGAAGGTGGTCCATGGCTACTCGGGCTGACTAAGGGCTGCACATTCCAAGTGTAGCCGAAATCGATCAGCAAAATAGACTGAAGACATAGAAGCGAGGCCATCGTATTAGTCATGATCTGTGTCTCTGCAACATGCACATCCTCGAAAGACGGCCTGCGCCACCAGGAAGATGGCAGACAGTGCTGTCGCAGCACTTCCAAAACCAACCCAGACCTGAGAAGTGTTTGTTGGACTTCGCCCGAACGAGTCAGAAAAGCTTTGGCACCGCGCTTGATTTGGCAGGAAGAGTGTGATAAAGATGATGCAAGCCTTGGCAACTCGTGCCAGCCATCCAGCTCGATGGCGCCCCCTCTTGCACGAATGACTAAAGTTTCGAGTCCCGCTCCACTGCCATGAACTTGGCGACGGAGTAGGCCCTGCAAGAAGATGATCAGAGGAGTGGTCGGCCTCCCTTCACTTTTCCTCTATTCGTTTTCGAGCTTGCCACTCATCGTCTGGGGTTTGCCGGCCTACTGATTTCCGTTTCCACGACTACGACTGGCACACTCCTTTCTGAAATTTAGGAGTCACACCGCATGGTCCGCACAGGGTTCTGGATTCAAGGGGGCCAGGGTGCAGGGGAAAAAGTTTCATAAGACTGGCTTCAGGGTTTACGGAACACAGTTTCGGGTTTAGGGTTTGGGGTTCGATTCGGGCATAAGGCCTTCACGGCTTAAGGATACACAAGGCTGAGACTGTTTCGGGTTTAGGGTTTAGGGCTTACGGTTCAGGGTTGGGGCTTCTGCTTCACTTTGACCTTGGGTCTTTTGTGATTCAGAGGTGACGGATTTGGTGTTCAGGGGGTTTGGGTTTGAGGATACACTAAGACAGGATAATGCAGGGATCTTCACGATGGATAATATGAAGAAGCAACTTCATGCTCAGAATCCGGACCTCCTGGTCCTTCAGTCCTCCCAGAAAGCGAACTGAAGATTCTGCGCAAACACAATCAAAGCACGCCGCGGCCAACCCCGCACATGAATACGATCTAGATGGTCTGCAGATGATGCTGCTGCAGGCCGATCTCTTCCCCTACAGTCGGCTGTTGGATCTCAACGCTGTGCAGTTTGGCTGTTATAGTGAGTAGAAGCCGAACACCCTAAACGCTCTTCCTGCGAGTTCCCAAACTATTGCACTGCAGAACTCACTTCAAACCCCGAGAGTCTTGGAGATGAATCCCTTTTGCGCTACTTATCTCCAGGCCACCTGGTGTCTTTCGAGTTCTGACTCCACACCGCAAGCTGGTGCCTTGCGGCCCCCTCCGCGCATCCACTGACGGACATCAATAGCAGGCCAAGAAAGACCACCGTCCCGGAGGCCTAAGCGCAAAGGCTGCTCATCGCTGCATTGTGCACATGCGACCCTTCGCGAGGCCTCGGTCCTGTAGATCAGCTGGTCGGACCTCGAGAGGGGAAGAAGACGTGTGGCCCTGTGGCCCGGTGTGGCGCAGCCATGTGAACAACTGTGAGCTCGACCAGCACTGCCCTTCGGCAGTCCGGCACTCGCACACACCGAGATCACCTAGACCTCCAGAGATCATCATCTCGAGCGATGCAGGCAGATGCCGAAACGGAGCGGATGTCACAACTCGCCGGTGGTACCGACCAGGTCAAGCTTCGAGCAAGTCCACGGAAGCCATCTCTCCTGCATAGCAGGTTGAACCATGCGAGAGCAGAAACACAAGCGCACTGGGGAGCTGGCAGCGGTCTCGGAGAGCAAGAAAGCCAAAGCTGCAGTGAAGATCTGCAAGGAAGCAGCATGGGACCCGACTTCAACCTCCTGCGAAGGTTTGAGAATCTAGTGTGGCCTGCAGCCAAATCAACACAAATCTCGATGCCCTGACAGAATTGACCTCGTTGGTGACTGCATCTTGTGCAAAAACTCTACACTTATCACTACGCTCGTCTGCTGTTCGGTCTGAGGCTAAGGCTGTACCACTGCCCGCCAACTTGCCTCCGCATGCGAGTTGCAAGGGTGGGTCATGTGGAAGCCTTCTAAGTGCAATGTGTGTCAAGCCGTGTCTAAGCATCCAGCAACAGCCAGTCGCAAGGCAGCTGCCAAAGCAGCCGCCAAGACAGGTGCCGGCCTCGACCCAACGCTGAATTTCGCCCTCGTGCCAGGCTCGGCGAGACAGCAGCTGTGTTCCCAGCACCAGAAAGCGGGGCGGAGATCAAGGCTCCCATTGTGCCTGCGGCTTGGCGGCTTCTGGCGTGACCCCGAAGCAACAAAGCTGCAGCAGCGGGCCTGTGTTGCAAAGTCGCAGAGTCCACAGGGACACCGCTGAGCCAAAATAGCATGCACATGTGGAGGGAGTTACAAGCAGCTCACATTGCCAACTTGCTGTTTCTTGCCGAGGCTCTCCTAAACTGCTGTGCGTGCGAGCATAAGGGGCTGGCTGTTGACTGCCACCCAACCCTGAACCATCAGATCAACAAAAACTCAAGCCGTTGCACAAGCACAACCAAGTACAACCACAAGAGTAGGCTCCTGGCGGCAGCAGATGGGGCAACCCAGGCTCTATCGGCTGCCACTACGCTGCTCCATGTGGAGCTTGAACAGCACTACGCAATTTACAGATAAGAAGGATGGGAACGCGAAATCTGCAGTCCGCATGACATGAGTGGCGAAACCTGGCCCCATCCGGAATCACAACAACAGGAAGCCGTAATGTAATCTAATCTTGTCCTCCTGCTGCTTGCTCTTGTGGTGTGCAGACAGGATAAGCAGGATTACAGATCCTGCGACCTGCCAACCTGAGCAGGTGCAGATCAGCGATCTGGCCGTGATGCCAAAGGCTGAGAAGAGCACTGGCCGAGCATCATTAATTTGCAGCAGCCAATCCAAGACCTGGCAGCAGCCCGTCATTCTGCGACGTTCTGCATCACATCATATCACATCACTCTGCCTCTTCAGCAATCTCGGCCACCCCAAACTCATGCTGTGCCCAGGCTCGATTCAACAACTCCTTCGCAGCAGGGCACGTTGTGCCCATGAGGACAAGAACAAATGCAGCATAATAATGATAGTACTGCAAGGGTGTAGTGCACATTGCCTTGCAGCCACTTTCCATGCCCCATGTTCATGGATGGTAGATAGCCGCAACTGAACGGGCTTTCTGAACCCTCCTCCACACATCTTCGCCCATGCTCTGCCGATACGTCGCTTCGCATCTCCTTCCAGGTTGTAGGCTACGCCGGCAAAAACAAGCTCTGAAAGTATGTGATTCTTCTGACATCATCCATCACCCAGTGGTGTGACCGTACAAAATGTGGCTCTAGATTTCATCCCTTACTCCTGTTCCGACAGGCTCAACATGCAGAAGCCTTCATCAACTCAACGATTCGAAACACCACCACGAGACAAGTCGAATCGCACTCGAAACCCAGGATAACAAACCACCGAAAGCGAGCAGCTTCACAACCACGATAGCTCCAACGCTCCCGCAATGCCACCAGTGTTCGCTGCCACGGGAACCGCCTGGGATCGGCGACTACCTTCGTCACAAGTGTGAAGCAGAAAAAGCCACCTGCGTCTGCAGCAACATCCCCCATCCCCAAATATCGCTACGCCTCTTCTGCCTCGACCAGGCCCAGATCGGTCAGCGCCTCGCAAATAGATCTCGCGTCTGCTGCCAGATACGACGTTGCAACGGACATATCCATGGCAATGCCACGGTGGTTCGGGCCACGTCTTGGACGGGTTCGGGGGCTCACATTCCCGAAAAAGCTGAACGTCCAGCAACCTCCTCGGTATCAAAGAAATGACGTGAAATTACACTGCCGGAGGTGGCTGATCGGCAGCTACTGTTGTGTCCCGTGCTTGTCAGGCAGCAGGGTTGTCTGGACCTAGGGACCTAGGGCCTGGGCGTTTCAGGTTCTACAGTCCTGCAGAGCCCCTGGGGTCTCCCCAAGTCCAACTCGCCTCGATGAACCTGGACACGGATGCTTCCTTCAGGGGCAGTGCTATAAAACCTGTCCATATCCTGAGAATTCTCGCTCCTGAACATCTAAACCAGCGACATTCAGCGAGCGCAGGAAGTCCGAAGTTGTCAACTTCCGGGGCCCAACAGGCCATGCCTTCAGAACCACGAGGGCAAAGTGCCAAATCTTCAGATGAACGATGAGCTGAGTTTATCGGCCTTGGCCGCAACATTCAGCCTCTTCAGGCTAAGAAGCAGCTGAGCCACCGCCGCCTGCAGCTCCATGCAGACACAGCAATGTCACATTCGAGGCAGGAAGCAGGAAGTGACCTCTGATGCGAAAGACACATCTCGCGGCATGTAGATGATCCCCTGTCGTGCATGGCGGAACTTTTCAACGGCCACTTGACAATCTACCAAGCTACAAGACAACTCGTGCACGCGAGCAAGCACACCGTAGTAAGCACTGCTCCGTGACAAGCTGAAGTGCAAGTGAACAGCATCCCTATCAAGCATAGGCTGTACTTACTCTTCTCCAGGCTTATGATCCTCACATTCGTGGCACACAGACGTGGACCAGCCAGGATGCAACTCTGCGCAAGCTGTTCTCATGAAGACTCAATGAATTTCGTCATTGCATATAGCTGCTGGTTGCAGAACTTGCACCTCCGAACCCCTACGCGACGGATTCATGTAGACTTTTGGTTGGTCTTGGCTCTCTGGTGCGTTCGATCATGGAGTCATTTGGAGGTGCGAAGGCGTGTCCAAAGTGTCGAATCTGTTCGTTACTTTGCTCATCTTTGCTCTGTTGAATTTGCTTCCGAATCTTCGAGACTGCTAGCTTCACGGCTCGGGCCGGCCTGGCGAAGCCAATCTGCTCGTCGATATGAAACTGTCCCGGAAGTGCTACAAGGAGACTTGTCCTAAAGACCTTTCCAGACTCTGGAAGATGAGACAAGCCACATCCAAACATCCGAAGGCTGGAAGAACAGAGTTATTCCGGCCTTGGCTACCACAAAGTAAACCTATTCAGAAAAAATCGAACCTTGTACGACTCAATTCTTAGATTCATACGTATACACTGCCGCCGGAGAGCTGCCAGGTTCGGATTGGAGCCCGGCGAGTTTGTTCAGCAGAAACAATCAGGGACAATGGAAGCGTAGAATACACAGGAAAAGAGCCACAAACGAACTCCTCGACGAAGGCTTTGGAAGTGGAATGTTTGGCGGCCGATCTGTCTGAGTTCGAAAGGAATGCGAAGCAAAGCCAAGGAGCCCCAGTCAGATGACTTGATCGCTGTGTTTGATTGCGATTGTCGACTTTGGACCCCGAAAGGTTGGACAAAGGAAGTCCCAAGTCCCAGCAAATCCTCGGCTCGGCTGGCAACACCGACAAGTTTGCCTGGAAGCCGTAAGGAAACTCGCTGGCACACCAGAAATTCCACCGGGGAAATAAGCCGATCTCCCCAGGAAGCTGATGGGATGATCGAAACGAAAACAGCAAAGCTGGGAAGACTGCCTCACACACAATCAGTGCAAGGAGTTGGCCATAAGGGTGGTGTAGAAATGGTCCTGCTTCGGGCGCCCATCGTGTTGATTCTTGAAACTGAAGCTGAAGCTTGTTCGTTGGTATTCATGGCAAGATGTTGAAATTTTCGCCAACCGTTTCCATGCCTGCCTGTGCTGTTTTGTATTTGCATGCATAGGCACTGCGCAGATTCCTGCCTCGTGTCACTGTCGCTATTCAGCATGGGGGCCTTTCTAACACTGGCGGCCTTTGACTGGCTCAGCACGACAGGCTCTGAAGCAAAAGACCAAGCAAAGCGTAAAGCCAAGCCGGGCAGACAGTTGCTGGAAAATCGCTGCGAGGATGACCCACAAGCATGGAATTCCTGTGTTGTCGAACTGACAAACCGTGGCTACTTCGCCTCTGGTGGCCTGATGAAGCTGGTTGGAGAGACCACCGAAAGAAAAGCCACCACCTGGCAACGCACGTCTCCAAAGGCCCGATTCCTGTGCCCCGGTTTCATTCTCAAGGCCAACGCGCCTGGCCCAACCGCCGCCATGAATCAAGGTGAACGTTCAACAAAGTTGACCTCATCTTATCAACACATGTCTGCAATTGTCTGCACACACGCCCCCACCCACACTCATACACTCTCACTCCCCCACACACACACAGACAACACACACACACAACCAACACACACACACACACGTAAACCTTTCGATGCTAAATAATGTTCGTGAACATCTCAAGAGGCTCCCACATTCCCGAACCAAGACGCCGAAGGGGCATACTCACTTGCATGCACCTATGGCATCACTAAGACAATCAAGATCAATAATCGCTAGCCTCGATGATGCAACGGCGTACAATTACAATGTAGAAAAGAGCACACTACGGACGACACGCGATGTCACCAGCACATCTAGCTACATCGGCCCGGTGCCCCCAAATCACTATCCAAATCAAAGTCTTTTCATTGTGCAGTCACCCTGACAAAAACACTCTGTTGGCAACCTTCGCTGAATACAGGTCCTGATGTAAGAGGGGCGACGACGGAACCCCGGAGTAACAGCACTGACGAGGTAGGGGCCCATCAGTATGATCGTCAATTGGCTGCCATAGAGCCCAGGACCCAGACTGCATGTGGACGCCGCAAGGACGGCACCTTGCCCTTATTTTCAAGTTTTCAAGTCAGTGTCACGGCGCAGTTCGAGGGACCGGGCGTCAGGAAGTGGCGTTCATGGCCGGGCCGTAAACACGCTGATACTAGTCGCTGTGCGCGTTGCCGGGTTTCTGAACTCGTTTGCTACGGGCTGTCACCATTGGTGTGGAGGTCATCGGAGTCCGAAGCCGTGAGGATGGCAAAGCGGGAGGCGCTCTTGTTGGGCTCCTTTTCGGACTGGTGCGCATGCTGAAGGCGGCCTTCAGCCTGTTTTGCCACGACTGAGCATAGAAGACGACGGGTAGTGTCGCCCGGGTTTGAAGAACGTGCCGTGCCATGGGAGGTGGCTAGAACGAGCCTCGCCGGGCGCCTCCACTGAGACCGTGGAGGGTTGGCGTCCCACGATACAACAGGTGTACCTGAAGATGCAGATGCCGGCTTGGCGGTCGCCTTCGTCAGAGTGCTGCGGATCAACCCCAGCCGAACCATCCTTCGCTGAATCCCGCACCTGCTGCCAGCATGGAGAGATCTGGAATTGTCGTGGAGAACCCTGTGCCAACGTCTCTCAGTAGTCACGGCGCTGCTCAGCCCGCTTGCGCCGGGTGATCGGGGCGTCCCGTCTTGTGATCGGACCCTTCGCTATGGCTCCTGGGGACCGGTATCGGAACAACCGGTTCAAAGTCACTGCTGGAGTCGTTGTCATCCTCGGCGTCATGCCTGTCGGGAGCCCGTGCCTCATCCACAGCAGGCTGCATGTCTGTTGCAGCGTGAGTCAATCTTGGCCGCTTGGCTGGGGGGATGACAACGGGCTGGGGAGTCTGCATGAGACCGGATGCGCAGGCAGCTTGGGCTCGAGGTCGTGTGGGTGGCCGCGTCGCGCATGCCCCAGCCGCAGAGTGAGCTTGCGAGCGGGTGAGTGGACCAGCAAAAAATGTTCGTGGCAAAGACAGCGGGTTGTAAACGTCAAGCACTAAAGAAGGAGACATCGGCTGGCAAACCGGACAAACCTAGCTTTGGTTGGCAAACCTCAAACCTGAAAAGACGATCGCCGGCGGCAAACCCCAAACCCTAAAGTTAAAGGACCAAAAAGTTGCTTGACAAACCCTGAGATCTAGACGGCGGCTGGTTGGCAAACCGTAGACGTTGTTGGCAAAACCCCCCACATCCCCAAAATCGTTCCACAGCCCCGAACAATCCCGAACAGATGTTGGTTGGCCAATCCAAAATCTTACAAGGACATGTTGGTCGGCGAAGCCCAAAACCCGAAAACGAGATTGTGAGAGGCAAACCCGAAACCCTAAAAGAAAAACCCTGTAGCAACCAAACCCGGCGATGTTGGTTTGGCAAAGCCCAAACAAGACCCTACAAAACACTCGTGGGTGGCAAACCCGAAACCCCAAAACAAAAAGGAATTGGCTGGCAAACCCTAAAATCTAAACGGAGATGCTGGTTGGCAAACCCCACCTGTCAACTCCAACCCTACACGAAGATGCTGGCTGGCAAACAAAGCCCAAACTTCAAAGGGCGATGTTGCCTCGCAAACCCCAAACCTCGATGGCAAATCCGAAACCTTAAAGACAAAACCTGAATTCAAAAGATTATGATTGGCCAGGACAAAGTCCTGCATAGACGATAGTGGTTGCTAAGCCCCAAAAATGTTGGTTGGCAAACCCAAAACCCTTAAAGAGGTTGGTCGGAGATTCCGGCAAACCATAAACCCTAAAAGGGTAGCGCGGGTGGCGAACCCCAAACCTTGCAGGGAGATGTTGGTGCGGAAGAAGTCCCCAAACCCTAACGAAGAACATGGCAAACCGTAAATTTCGTCCGCACGCCCCAAAACTCAAAAAAATGGTTGCCACCTCCGGAACACTGACATGATTGGTTCGCAAACCCGAAAGCTTTCAAGGACATGTTGGTCGGCGAAGCCCAAAACCCGAAAACGAGATTGCGAGTGGCAAACCCGTAACCCTAAAAGAAAACCCCTGTGGCAACCAAACCCGGCGATGTTGGTTTGGCAAAGCCCAAACAAGACCCTACAAAACACTCGTGGGTGGCAAACCCGAAACCCCAAAACAAAAAGGAGTTGGCTGGCAAACCCTAAAATCTAAACGAAGATCTTGCCCCAAAACCACAGAACAGTACACTGCCCATCAACGCCATCCTGCACGGAGATATTGGTTGGCAAAGCCAAAAAAGGGAAATGATGGTTCGCAAACGCTAAACCTCAACAGACGATTGCCAGTGGCAAACCCGAAACCTTAAGGACAAAACCCGGCATGCAAAACCTCTAAGAAAGCTATTGCTGCCAAACCCCAAACCCTAAAACCGAGGGCTCGTGAATCCGAAACCTTTACTCGGCGAACCCGACGAACCACAACCCCAAAAAGTGCCAACTGAATAGCAGACTCTCAACCCTGACGAAGAACATGTTGCTTGGCAAACCGTAAACGTGGATGGCAAGTCCCAAAACCCTAAAAATTCTTGCCACAACCCCGAACCCAAACCCGAAAACGAAATCGCAAGTGGCAAATCCTAAACCCTAAAGGAAAACGCCAATGTCAGCAAACCTTGAACCAGGAATAGCGTTGTTGGTTTGTTTTGGCGAACCCCCCAACCAGACCCTACAAGAAAATCGAGGGTGGCAATCTCCAAACCCAACAAAAAGGAATTGGTTGGCAAACCTTCGAGTCTAGAAGGAGATGAAGCCTAGACGGAGATGCTGGCTGGCAAAACCCAACCTGACAAGGAGATGTTCATTCGCATACCCCAAACCTCAACAGACAATTGTGCGTGGCAAACCCGAACCCTTCAAGACAAAACCTGAACTTCAACAGATGTTGATTGGACATACCCCACACCCCTCCAAAAAATTGGGAAGCCAAGCCCCAAACCCCCTAAACAAGGAACGATGTTGGGCGGCGAACCCGGCGAACCCCAAACCCTAAAGGTGGCGAAGCGCAAATCCTAAAAACACACTTACTTTCAAACTCTAAACCTGAACACAACGATGGTCAGATTTCAAACCTTCACAGAATTGGTGATGGAAACCCCCGACCCAAACCATAGAATAAGAGGACAGTGTGTGGCAAGCCTCAAAAGTTCAAAGGAGCCGAGAGGAACATCGCAGATGGCAAAACAAGATGTGGTGTTGCTTCGCATCTCCCAAATACCTACAGTAGCAGGAGTGGCAGGAACCAGATCCGGCGTTATTTTGTGCAACGGTCCTTGGCGCTGTCCGAACCCGCTGTTTGACTCGGCTTGATGTGTTGCTCAACCGGGCGGCCTGGTTTCTCTGGGGCACTGTTTACAAAATCCCCCATTCCCTCCACGAGCGAGTCACTAACACACATCAACATGATCGAAAACAAGAAACCTGCTCTCGGTCACACGCAACCATGTGTCCAAGGGATGTAATAAATGTGCTCGCTCAACGTGAAAGAAGCTGAAGAATGACGCATCTTCAGGTACAGCCGAAGCGAAACAGAATTCACGAAACAGCACCCATGTGAAAATTGCTGGTGCCAGCGTCATCCAGCATCTCCAGCGACGTCACAACATCCAAGACAGATGAATGAATCCCGCGTTGCAGCCGCTTCACTGTTGCCGAATGGCAAAATCATCAGTCGAACATCCGCTGTGGGAGGAGATGTTCAGAACCTTCGATGCAATCGGAATGGATCAATGTGTAAGTCCGGCATATTTTGCACCACGCACTTAACGAGATGGGCCAGTAACGGACAAGCTGGACACAATGGCCGTGATGTTTTAACCCAACTACCCACAGCCAATATGTGCACAACATGAACTGTGGTCGGTGAATTGATTAGCGGTCCCGAAGCAAAACAAGGAGGAACATAGCCCTAGCAACGTACTCCAGGGCCAGCGTACGCCGCAGGCTTAGTGTTTATGAGATGGCATGTGCCTACAGGGAAACACACAGGCTGCTAAACCAAAGCTCAAAGCATCGTAACGACCAAATGTTCAAACAATCTGGCGTGATACATGGTGTGCTCAGTTTCGAGATTCAAGTTTCTTGCAGCGGGCAAGGATACGGACGATCGGAGTGCCGGCAGTTCACTCCAATTACAAGCCGCCGACTGGCCGGCTCGCAAGTGTGCGCATAAGTCGCGGACCCGTCAATACCTCTTACTTTGGCCTCACAAAGCATACTCCTCTATTCCGTAGCGCTCCGGCATATTCACGAACCAAGCCTTCGAAGAGGTGCGCACATTGTGGCAGGATCTTGCAGGCACTCACAGCGCCACTGATGGAATCAGTAGCCGAAAGTCACCGTGATGGAACAATGCACAATCAGAACCAGGGCACACCAAGAAAAATGCAACATCTATAAGCTGCTCCGTCGGTTCAGCATCCCAGACAGATATTAGAGCCTCCTCATTGGGCAATCATTCCGACAAGAGAACTGCCACTCTGCTTCACATAAACAAGTGGAACACAGACCGAGGGCACTAGTCACTAGTTTAACAAGTCTACAGTCCAGCTTCGCACGCACATGCACACAGTCAAACGCAAACACACGCAAGCATCTCCTAGTGGCACGCGACACAGCATGCGATAGGCTGAGCATCGAGCGCGAAAGTTCCTCCAGAAGAAGCCCCGACAAAGATGAGGTCCAGCGCAATGGTTGTCTTGGATTGAAAAATACGACGAGCTCCATTCAGAATCGCTGCAGCGACGTCCTCGAAGTCACCGCCGTCTGAGTTGGGCCAGCAAAAGCTTCCGTCATGCACCGGATTCGTGAAAGCCACAATGGCCGCGCTTCGCGCCAAGACGGCTCGAAGAAAGATCACTTCTTCAGGCTTTTGGAACCAGTCGCTTCCTCCGTTGTTGCACCCATGAAAGAGGACGAACACGGTGTTTGCTGAAGCCGGCCAGTTTGAAAAGGCTTGTAATCCCGCAATCTCATGCATATCAGCGTAAACAGGCCACTCCTTCGCGCAGCAGCGCCAGAGAAGTGCGACTATCCAGACGAGTGACATTTCAAGCCCTTGCCAAGCCACGTCCCCGGTGTTCGCCTTTCAAGGACAGGCTCTACAACCTGCCATCAGATTTCACAGCGTGGCCTGCCAAGGAGGGCTTGAGCCAGAAACCCAGACACACCACTGCAGCCGGTCAACAGTTGGCCGCAGCGTCGAGAATTGTGCCTCAAGTGCCTCCTTTTCCGCTTCCAGATCTTTTCGACGCTTCTCAGCCTTGCTCTCAAGCATCTTGACTGACAGACATGAAGGCTCAATGAAGGCACTGGTGCCTCCACCCGCCTCCTTTTGACAGCTGCCTGACAAAACGAAAACGTTGTAGTCCGCTACAAAGGTGATGCCTGTGAGACCTCTTCCCTCGCCACTCCGACTGCTTGTCGGACTCGAGCAAGGTTCTGCTTTTCAACACCTGCAAGTTTCGTGAACATTACGGTTTGATTGTCTACATCGGGGTGAGCCTTTTTTGTCATCTCCACCGCCGACAAGCCTGAAACTCTCACAGCTGCAGTTTCGAATCCAACATTTCTTCTGAGGCTGAAGCCAATGCCTGCTCCACAGAGAGAGAGAGAGACGGGTAAAAAATAACACAACAGACGACACCCAGCCCCAACTTCTATTTGGGAGACCCCCCCTAGCAGGAATCCGTGCCTCAGCATAAGAGTTCGGGACGGTCTGGTTTTGGTAAGGTTGCTCAAGTTTCCGAGGTTGGCGGTGGCGGTGGTGGTTATGTTATTCATGCCCCGTGTTCGACATTGAAGTTAAGATGAATGCACTTGGGAGAACCGGCATCAGTAGTAGGAGGACAAGGAGAGTAGAAGCAGCAGAAGTAGGAAGAGGAGGAACCCTGCCAGTTGTCCTGGTTCGAGACTTCCCTGTAGATTCTACTCTATGGAGCGCCACGTACCCCGGAGATGCAAGGGCCCAGGGAACTGTACTGCGGGGGTGGTTCCCACGATACATTCAGACTTCGGTTGCCACGGCTAGGAGCACCTCGGACATCCCACGGTTGGGAGTAATATGACTCACTGTACGACTGGAGGGAGGTCTTTGCTGAGAGTAGAACGACTCCAGAGGTAACATTAAACAGTGCATGTAACCAATCATCTCAATCCTACACTTAGTCTATCATGCATCCACAGGTCGATTTCCCCAAGTTTTTTTTCTTGCATTCAAGTTACCCAAGAGCATATCCAAATGCACATATCAGCCGATATCCGCTAAGATCGACCCCCTCCGCAAGTACAGCACTGAATTGTGGACTGACAGACAAACAAACTTGAGGTGCACGGGTGGGCTTCCGGGGCCGGCGAAGCTCGGATGTCCGCCCCCACGGGAGCGACCGCCGGCCCCAGACACGTCGGATGTTGGGGAAAAAGCTGGCACAAAACATTAGCAAACCGCAAACTCAGACTAGGAGCTTGTCGATGACGCTTTGCGGAACCTGAAAGGAATATTCCCCTTGCGCATAGGCAGCGATCTCCTGCCAGGTTTCTTGCAGTAAGCATGGGCCTTCACAGCTTGAAGGAGCACCTGTGCGTTCAGCATGCCATCATTGTCCACATCATACTTCCGAAACAACTCCTGCCAGCAACGGGCCGGGTCCAATCTACAACAACATTGTTGCAGCATCCGGGGCGAACCTCCCTCTTCTCCATGTATTTCAATGCCTCGCAACAGACTTGAAAAGTCTATCACGTTCAACAGGTGCTTGACCATTCTTGAACGTGTGCCACCTTCTCCTTTCGATGCGCGCCGTCGATCTTGGCCTCTGTGACAAGAACTCACGTGAGCAGAGCACTGGGACGACATGGAGGGCCCAGCTGCGACGGGACAGAATGCAGAACGCGGCTGTCGCGCCCCACCGAAAACGCTCTGGCGGCGTCTTGGAACGGTTCTAATCCACAGTGCCAGCGGGCTGCCACCGTCCGGGTCTCACAATGGCGAGGCTAAAGACAAGCTTTAGGGCGCAGGCGATGCAGTTCCTCATTGTAGTTATACACGGCGCAACTGACGTCAGCCCAACTTAAGCATCGACCTTTTCGGTCGACGTGTATTCGTTCACAGCGCGATCGGCCACAAGCTGGTGCTCCGTGTTGCATGTGTCGTTGTCCATGCACAGTACAAGGCCGCCAACCACAACATCACAACACCGGTGTGGGAGGCTGGGACTGATCGCGGCAGCACACTGCATGAGTAGGCCACACGCCGAAGGGGGTGTCCACAGATGTTCCTGGTTGCCTGCGCCATCGCCTCCACCGTCGGTCACGCTCGCTGTTCTTGGATAATCTGCCTATTAACAGCTGCCTGAAGGAGGGGAATGCGAGACGAACACCGTCGATGGGAACTCCAGCCAGGATTGGCGACAGCATCTGTAGCTTCGCGGTGGGCCTTGGCACCGCAGGGAGAGAGGGCGGCGCCGCGGCTACAGGAACACGGAGCACCGCGACAAGGCAGCAGAGGCGAACGCAAAACCGTCGCAGTCAGGTGAGATGCAAAAGCTGCGTGAGGAGCTGGAGACTCAAAAGAACAGATTCAGTCCGCTGTTGGACTGCCAGTGCAACAAAAGTAGAATTTTCTATGGCCTCTTGACACGTTCTATTCTGTGGAGCGCGTTGCTATCACAATGATTACTCCACACTGATGCTTGCAACAGCGAACATGATCAACGACATTACTAACATCTGGAAACTGCAGCACAGCAGTATGTTGCGCTGCATCTGATGATGCGGCAAAATGCGACAAAGCTACTCAGAACAAGAACGACACCAAGACTGTACTGTTCTGAAGGTTCTGAATGTCCGTGATCCTGTGAAACAACCGCTAATAATTAAGCAAGCGAGTCAAGTACGAGTCGGACGCTGTCGCGCCTCTAGGCCGTTCACGCATGTGGCCATATTCACGAAGGCACCGTGGATCTTTCGCTGCAACTGGCGCACGAGGAAGGAACATGTCATGCCCATGAAGAGAGAACAGCCGATCGATTGCTGAACCTGCACAAGCTGTTCCCGAGTCTCCGCTACCACAGACCTGGCCTGGCAGGAATACAACACGAACAAACAAAACGACTTGGAAGTTGAGAAGCCTCTTCCATTGCAAACCTCTTGCTGAGGAGGAAATCAGAACAGGCTCGGCAGCTCGCCTTGTCGCATCTGCATGTGCAAGGTCTTCACAATGGCTGCTGAAGATTCCGAGCGTCGGACTTTGGCCTTGCCCCGTACCTGCCCAGATGTGAAAAAGTCCCTGCCGGCGTCCTCCGCAACACACGTCAGGTGTACCTCGTCAAAGCCAGCACTGGACTTGTCGAGCTCCGACAGGTCCTGGAGCTGCGAGATGCCAATTCGATAACACCGAGCGCCGACAGAGCGCCGTGCCAGGCTGGTGTCCATGATCGGCTGCACCTTCTCCTCGCGGTGGCGATGTGTGATGCGAGTGATGCGACTGCCCCGGTGCCCCTGCCCATCTACCATCTGAATCTCCCTTTCTGCGACGCTTTGCGACGCGACCGGCCTTGAGTTCGGAGACGCTGCCCTGGCGCGCGACGTTTCTCTGAAGTGCGACGCTGTTTGCACTGCGTTGCATCGCAACACACAACCGCCATCTCACAGCGACACAGCAAGTACACCATTACACAGAAGGCTGCATCGCCTCTATGCATCTTTGCAAAAGCAGGTGCTACGACCAACGTGCCCAACAGCCTCAGCTGCGACGACCAGCTGGGACAACTCCTGAAAGAATTCCAGATCAAGTGGACCATTCGATTGAATATGGTTCTCAACCATGTGAAAGCATTACACATCTTCAATGCCCCTACACGCGATTGAAAAAAACGTTTCAAGTCGTGTTGTGTTGTCATTGCAGTATAGCTTGGCGTCGCTTCGGCTCAGCGGCATTCCTCACAGCGGGGCTAGAACGTTCCCCTGCAAACCCTCGCACTCCAGCATACCACTGTCAAAAGGTCAGGCCCCCAGAATCCTACCAGCGCCACATGGGCTGCATCGATTCTCGGATCCGAAACAACCCCAGCCTGACGCCAACTGAAGGAGGGACGGGTGGCAGAATCTGGGTCCCGAAACGAGCGTGGCTAACAAAAGACGATCCTTTCATGGGTTGCGGACAGCAAAACTGATGAGCAGCAAGCCTCAAATCCTGAATCATCGGTCAGGAACCCCCATGTTCGGAGCTGTGGATCCAACCCGTCAGGGCTGATGAGCAGCGGACCGATCGCACTGAAGGATTGGGGCCACTCTCAACCCCCTGTGGGTCGCACGTTGCCGGGGTGAGCAAAAACATGAAAACCCAAAGCAGGCTGATCCAAATCCCGATCCCAAAAAAATCAAGAAGCCTACAATGGGTTGAGCACAAAGTTGGAAGTGGAGAGTAGTGATGGATATCCGGTTTCGCGGCCTGTGGGATTGAGTGCATGCAAGCTGGCGTGCTTGCCTGACCAACGCTCTGGAAAACTCATTGAGACAGAGTCTCCTGCAGAAGTTGGGCAGTGACGGCTTCGCGCTCTTTCATGCGCTTCTCCTGCAATGCACGCGTCGGCTTGTGGCCAAGGCAGAGCCACATAGACACCAGTTGTAACTGTTTGCAAGCGTCCGACAAACTCGTCGACGCCTCTTCTTCCCGTTGCTGGCGATATGTCTCTTTGCGCTCAGCAGCCATCTGCGTGGCCTCCATGACACTGTGCTAAGCATGCTAAGCAGGACGAGACCCTGTCACAACAAGCCGGTGCAACTCGGTCCACAACACTGGCTGGAAAGGCCTGGTAAACTTCCTGCTGCAACCGTTGCCCCATGTTGCCGCACTCACTGCCGATTTTGTTGAACACCTTGGCAGCTGTTCACGGTGCGTGCCCCTAGATGAAAGCAGCGACAGCCTACAGCAAGCTGTAATCAAGCCATGGACATCTTGCATCTCTGCACAAGCTTGATCCAAGGCTTCTGGAGACGTAGTGCGAACTCTGTGAATGGCCTAGGTCACCCGCACTGACTGCGGACGATTGACGATGAAAGACCTTGAGAGCAGTTGCCTGCCGCACCATCTGGACAGCATTCTGCTCCTGTGGGTTGACGAGAAATACAACATGGGACTTCTCACTTCTCACAGGTTGCTTCTGCGGTGGCTGCCGCGTTTCTGAGCTATTCCTATTGCACTGCTGGATGCTGATCCTCCTGCTGTCGGCGCTGTGCTTCTTGCCTGTGAAACATTCTCTGCAAGCGAATGAATGTGTGATGTCCGTATCCTCTTTTGAATCTGCATCCAAGTGTCCATTCCTGATGACCCATGTTCTGTTGGTAGCCTGCCTGCATGCACACGCACGCACACCCACACAAAAACATCGAGTGTCTGTCAAACTCCACCTTGCAGACATATGTTCTTCATGCCTTCAGAACTTGCTCGCTGAGTAGCATTAGGTTGATTTGCCAACCAAAACACTGCTGTCCCAATTGCCGTAGAAGGCACGCTGTCATCAAGTGTTTATGGCGCCACGGGCACCAAGACTACAGTAGTCCAGCATGTCCATTCACACCCTTTCCAGCTCGACCCTCCTAAATACTTGTTTGCGGTGACGCCAAGGAATCTGACAATCCGACACGACGAAAGACGAGTTGTTTGGAACTATGTAAACATTATCGTGCCTCGAGGTTCCTGCAGTTCCCATCAAACACAGACCCAGGAGAGCCCCCAACGATGCATTGCAACTCTGATTATGCACATGCAGAAACAAAATCAACAAAAGTATGTGTGCATGTATGCATACATATATATATATATATATATACAAACGTATATAGATAGATAGATAGATAGGTATGCATATATATATGTATACATATGCATACACAGACATACATACATATGTATGACATAATGCTCTCTGTTACCCTCGACTCAGGAGGTGCTAAAATTGTCTTCTGGCATATGCTCTGTACATTTCAGCAAGTTATGGCACCGTTCTGCAGTTGTCCGTGCTCCACAAGAATTCTGTTCATTTGGATTCTGATGTTACTGCAATCCCTGTGTACACGATGTTCATTACGCGTGTAGCTCTTTTCGTTCACGGAGGGCCAAACCACATATGCCAATCTACAATGTCCCGCGAGCAGCTTTGCTGGGAAAGGCACCGGTAACCGCACTGCACTTACAATGCGGCACTGCCACCTTCAGCCCAAGGCAATACAGAAGTCACTCCACCGTGATACAAGCTTTCGAAGCGGATTTGCAATCCACGAGTGACAAAACTGGAACGGAGGATCTGCCTGTCACAAGAAACGGCGTGCCGAACCCAAATGCCGCCGATGGATGGAACTCCAGCCACAGCCAGGGCTCATCAGCTCACAGGGCTGACGCAGAATTCTAACCAGCATTTTTTTAAACGGCTTGCATTCCACAAATGTTTGCAACGTTTGGCTGGCTGGGACACCTCAACTTTGAAGCTGCGAACACCGCGTGCTCAAAATCTGAAGGAAGAACAAGACGCCCCCCGATGCCTCTCGGCACTTGTTTTTTGGAAAGCAGAAGTGCTCCGTGGTCCGTGCCGTAAGAGCTCCCAAACGGCCAGCGATTGCATTCCTCTTGTCTTGCAGGGGTACCACCCTGCAAAGCCGTCATCAGCCGTGGCCTCAACCGCACCGAGCTGAATCCTTCTGCACGGTCTTGACGAGAGAGTCGCGCAAGGTCGGTCATGCACAAGCTTTGTTCGTCACGGCTACAAACTAAACATTCATGGCCTTGCAGCTTTTCAGGAGATGCATCCTAATGCGGTAGGATGATGTATCACGCAAACAGGACAATGCAAACAACTGTGTCACACGAGCTCACTCCGAAACTATATGCTTTAAGCCTTGCATGGCCCTCGTTGTGCTTTCCATAAGCAACACGTCCTTCTGTGTCCCAACTTGGTTGCTCCAACGAGTTGCTCCAACTGGGTTGTTTTCACTTGGATTTGTGTTCCGGGCCACCCTCGCTGTTCTTCAGTGCAGACTTCAGCTTTTCGGTCTTGAAAGGTGGAATCCCGAAGGCACGCTACCGGCACCTAAGACTGGACTGGCAAGGAATGGGGGGAGTGAAAACAGTGCATCCTATCGGTCACGTTTCATCCGCACCTGTGAATTTACAAGACGACCTGCCTGCCCACAGGGGCGGCAGGGCCCGCAGCCCTGTGCGTAGCCTTGCTGCGCTTGTTGGTACCTGCGCCACGGGCCAGGGCCGCCAGGGTGCTTGGGCCGTGCACGTGGCATCATCCACATACGGGGAGGAAGTCTGGGTCCCACACTGCTGATTTTGCTGGGCCATCCTGAAACCGACACTGTGGACGCTGATTGGAACCGCAAATCCAACACTTCCACAAAAGACTGTAATCCAAGTAGCTGCTGGTAGGCTTGCTGCTCCTGCGCCAGGCATGCAATCTTGACTCCGAATGCGGTTCGAGGGTTCAGAAACAGCACACCCACTCCTGCGAACCAACGACTTGTACACTGAAGCTTGCATCAACAGGACCATCGTACGGAACCTGCAGACTTGATGCAAGGGCATACCACATGAGGCCTTTACAGTGAAAAGGACCCTCCATTGCGAAGATGGTGGCACCATAGACTTGTCAGGGCTGTAAGCCCATACCTGGCGAGAGCCGAAGCACCTTGACGAAGACACTACCAGCAGTCAGATGCTTGTTACAAAGCCTGATCCCCTCCAACTGCAGGACCGAACCACCTCATGATGCTCGTCGGAAGCGGGAAGTCACGCCACACCAGAGCTCAACAGTCAAGGCCGACACCATCCAGAGAAGCTAGCGCCGTCTCTGTCGTCCCAGAAATAGATCAGAACATCCATGTTGTTGGACTGCCAGCAAACTGGAATAATACAGTTAATACCTCGTCTATGCAAGCATGTTTCACCCAGACGCACCTGTTCGGTGCGACGGAAGACCGGGCGTCCGTGATTTTCGGACGTTGCCACGTACCTTACCCACGTGCAGAAGCTGCCGCTGCAACCGCAGTCGCCAAACGTCATGAAGGAGCAACCCTGCCAGAGGTCACTCACCACGAACGATTCCAGCAACGGTTTCGTTCTGGCATCCTGGCAAACACTTCGAGGACTTTACATTACTTCGACGCATGAATCTGCAGCAGCAAGTGTTCCAGATATCAACGTCATTTAAAGACTTCGTTGATGATCGATTTTCGCGCTGTGCTTGGATCTGCAAACTTTCATGGAACCGTGAAGCAATACTGAACTGCTCGTGGCACGCCTACTGAAACTTAGACCGGAAGCATTCAATCAACACTCGGGGTTTACGTATCAAGATGTAACAAACGTTCAATCCGGGCCAGTGCACCCGAAACGATGAGCTTGGAAGCTGCTTGCTGGATCGCTTGAGTTTGCCTGATGCACGTGAACCACACGGCACGCAGTTGAAGCCAGCAAGCGAGTGGCTTAGCAAATCCCATCACGGACGAGCTGCAGCTGCTCCGCTGCGTGGGCCTGCAAAGATCCATCTTATCTTGAGGTGAAGTGTGACCAAGCTTACCGCGGCCTGTCTCGATCTAGACGACGAGGTCACGTGAAGTGAAGGGCTATGCTAGACAATGGTCCAAGCCTGCTGCGACTGCATCTGAGCATAGCCTGCTGGCAGGCAGGCGAGGCCGAAGCATCCGCCCACAAAAACCGTTTCTTGCAAAGTGTACAACAAAGTGCTTTACGGATCCTTTGATTTCTCCTCTTCGCTTGCACGAGGATCCCTGGGCTCTATCTCCGTCCGAGCCGCGCCGGCCTGTCCAAGCAAGATACGTGCTGCAGCTTCTGGAACCCACCGATGCGCTGAGGCCGCAAGCTTGGACATCTCCAAGGTCCGTGACTGTTGAACTCAGACCATTCCCACAGACCCGCAGGAGGACCGCAAACAGTTGCTACTTCGCCATCAAAGGAAGCATACATCCTGAAACCTACAAGCTGAAAAACATGCCACACGATGAAGCACCATAAGACAGCAAGACGGCGCCTCAATCATCTGCGCTACGGAGTGCAGCGCAGCAGCGGAGTCCTCAAGGGAGCACATGAAGAGTCAACACCTTGGGCGAGAAATTTACATGTTCATGCGGGCCTCCACCTGCCCTGCCAGCAGAGCCTTTAACTCGCACTCGAGTTCCGAGATTGCCCTGAGGGTGCCAGTCATAGCATCGCCCAGATTCGAAAGCTGACAAGGCCTGCACCATGGAGCCGACCTGAGTTCCTCCGTCAGAGTCTTGATGTTCAGGGATTGCACCTTCGAGTCTCCGACGCTTCAAAGGGGTCCGGGGCTCGCCGCAGGGCCTGCAGGCCTGCCAGAGCGACTGCGAGTCGGCTTGGAACATCTCAGCGCGCTCCAGCCGCTCCTCTCTTCGAGAGAAAGAGAGTGGTCGGCTTACCCGAGGCCCGAGGTCCTCGAGTCGACGCACATGTCCTTCACCTGCGCCGACAGCCGACAGCTTCAGCTTTTCCAGGGCCCAGCAACACCTGAACCCAACCCACGCCTGGACCTTCGAAGGCCTCCAGCTTCGAAGGCGAAACGCCTGGGCCAACCTTAAGCACGATGCGAGTGCCATACGACTTGGCACCGTTTGCCGGCCCCGCCCCGGCCTGTTGCTTTGATGCCTTGGCCGCCACGTCCTGCGAAGACATTGCGATCGCAGGGCCTTTTCGGGCTACAACCTATGACCTAAAGCACGCTTGCACTGAGCGAAGCCTGAATGTTCTGTGAAAGTCGCTGCCTGAGCACTCTCACGGCTTCCCATCAAAACGACCAAACGTCTACGTCAAGTATCACATCATCGAAGACCATGCTCAGAAGAATCTTGCACCGGTTAGATTAGAGGGAGCGTATGTCGTACCACATGACAAGAAGTATTGCGACAACCAGCCGAATCCGAGAATCGCACAGAGTCTCTCGCTGCTTGCTTCCAGCCTGACACCAACCAGCTTGCCACAAGTCGGGGTGAAATCTTTGCCTTTGGGAAGCTGTTGGGCTAGCGGGCCGCTGTCACAAAAGCAGTCGCCCAGTTTCAGTGTTTGTGAGAAGCTTTCAAAGCTGTTTCCAAGAATGGGATCAGCTGCAAGCAAGGGAAGCATCGATGCGCAAATGGTGTGTTGTCAAAAGCACTACTACCAACCATCCATCAGCAACAGCATGCCCCATGTCTGCAGGAATCAGAGGGCCTTCAGTAAGGACGACGCCATTTATCACAGCAGGCTGTTGAGAAGTGCAAAGCAACAATGTCAACCCTCGCCGGCTTTCCCCCGACGGGATCAGGCCGACACCCCATCTTAAGGCCGCTGTCAGCAATGAACAACACGGAGCGCTGCATTCCCTCCGATAAGATAGTGACAGACCGCGCTAAGTTTATAAGCGTCGTGCCTCTGCAGATTCCCGAGCACGAAGTTCCAGGCTGTGTATCTGTTCTTGAGCCTCAGACAGAGAGAGTTTACGCGAGACTACGATTCGCAAGTAGTAATCGGCATTCTAAGGACCGCGCCAACGAGATACGCATGTCGAGACCAGCCCGGATGTCGTCCAAGTGGGCACGCTCTGCTTGTATGGACCCAGGCCAAGAGGTGCGGAATTCCTCCAGTCGTCGCCTCAAGTCCTGAACCTCTACTTGTGTGGGCATCTCAGGCCCCTTTTCCGCCGCCGGGAGCGGGCCTGCTGCCAGCACTTCCCTATTCCGGTTTAAAGGTGCTTCGGTGATATCGGCAAACTTCAACTCCACTTGGCCGATTTGCTGACGCAGCATGTCTTCTAGCTTCTGATTTCGCCGTTCTAAGTCAGGCGCAATGGAGAATACCTCCTCCTGCAAAAGCTGCAGGCGCTGCTTGATAAGGCATATCTCCATCTGAAACTCATCTCGGTGGTCCTGCAGCTGCTGTGTTCGCAAGCGGCAGCTTTGTAGTTGCTCTTTGGAGAACGATGTCTCCTCCTCAATGAGCTGCAGTTTCTTCTGCAAGCTTTCAGACTGGCTCCTCACTTCTTCAAGAGCTTGGGCACACGTGCTGGATGATTCCTTGAGATGGAGACATTCGTCAGAGACGGAACTCTCTATTTGCTCCAAACGCTCTTGCATATTGATTGCAAGCTTGGAGATGCTTGTTCGGTTCTCTGCTGTCGCCGCTTCGACGGATGCCAGTTGTTGAAGCAATTCAGCTCGAACTTCCCGCACCCTCGTGTCCAATAAACGTTCTGCATCACTTAAATGCTGTTCCAATGCTGTCGTTAACTCATGTTGGAATTCATTCATCTTGTGCTCGGACTTTTGCAAGACGAGAGCACTCTCCTCATGCATCTGTGACATTATATCCGTCTCGAGAGTTTCCAGCTTCTTGGATGTCTTTGAAATCGAATCCTCGACCAGATTGACGAACGAATCTGCAGTCCTGTCGTGACCGTCACTTCGCTCAACCAGGTCGCGCGTGTGTTCAATCTGCTCAAGCGCCATATCCATGGCCCGAAGTTTAATCGTCAAGTCTGCTTTCAGCTTCGTGGAATTGGACGTCTTCTGCACTGCACCGTAACTCGGGTCCTGACATCGACGAAACGCTTGCGTAGATGCATCATCTAGATGCGTCGCCATGCCGCCACGACAGTGGTACTGGTTACTTCCTTACTAGCTGAAACTGGTGATAGCCTGTCCGGTCGTCGGATGGGTGCAAGTATAAAGCACGATATCACAAAAGCGCATCTCTTCTCACACCACAGCTTTGCAAAGGCTGAACTTGAGCCTGTGGCAACGAGCAAGTCACAGAAGCAAAAGCAGCATCACAGTAAACCGAATGCAGGGCTTCACGCACCCCGCTGCAAAAACCTACCCGGCCTGGAGTGGCTTGCATCTGCATCTGCTGTTGCAGTTGCTGCTGTTGCAGCTGGATCTGCTGCTGTTGCAGCATCTGCTGCTGAAGCATCTGCTGCTGCGCATACTGCTGCAGCTGTGCCTTGCTGACAGAAAGAAGCATTGAATTCATGATGCCCGACTGCAAAGCTTCGATGAACAACGGAAGTCCTGTTTCCAGTGGCTTTTTAACCGAGGGCTCGCAGAGCAAGCTGTGAGAATACCCCGCCGGATCCAACGGCAAATTTTGGAAATCATGACCGTCCATATTCGAGGCTGTTACTCCTTGTCGCTGCGCTCCTCTTTTCCCTGCACCAGCCCATAGAGATGCTTGCCTCAGCTGAAGATATGGGGCAAAGAACGGACACCTATGAAGGGTTTGCACAAGCTGTGTCATGCAAAGGAAGAAAATCCTTAACGTCTGCTTGAACTTGTGCCGCCAGGTTTCAACTCTTTGCCCTGAAATAAAAGTTGATGTTTGAAATGCGACTAGTCTAGAGAGTCTAGGGCCCTCTTGGATCGCATTTACAGGATTTTGGTTGCCAGGATGTCCAGCACGGCAAAGATCATGGCTGCTCGCACAGCCCCTCGCAACCACATAGCACAACAGGCTGCTGTGGCCCGAAATAGTTTTCGTTTGGATTAGGAACGGTCTTGGGTCCAAGTCACAGAAGTCTTGCGAGTTGAAATGCTGCGGATCGTACTCCTTCCTTGGATGCGTGGACGATGCAAGTTGAATTAGCTTTGCAACTGCATGACAAGAACATTGTCTTTACCAAGTAACTTCTCGATGCCTTGTAGATGGCTAATCAACATTTCCAACGGCAAAGGGCTTGAAGGCACTTTGACACAGAGGCATTCTTTGGAAAGGCCGCCCTGCCTGACGCGAAGGGTGTCTTCATTCAACCAGGGTAGATGGGCAACAACGTACACGCACAGACACACATTACAGCTGCACAGAGTGCAAGTCCAAGGCGCATGAAGCCTAGACCTTCAGGTTTCCAGTCCAGCCGCAAAGGTTTTAGACCGGAAGAGCCGACGGAGATGTTGTAGACAATTGCAAGACGGCCATCCGATGGCTCCGAAGAGAGCTGAGGCACAAGGTCTGGTGCTGGAGAGCTGTCGCGAATCAGCCACACCTCCTCAATCTTAGCTCCTTCATGCTCCCACTTCAAGAGTTGCACATTCAAGTGTGGATTCAAGCATCGGGCAGCAGCTCTGCGCTGCACACAACAGGTTGCCCGCGAAAAACCATCAGTCAAGCCGCTGCTAACGGTCCCCATAAGTCACATTGCAGCGGGTACCAAGCATGACAAAAGTAAAACGTGTTTGCAACTTGTCACAATGCGCATCCTTGGTGCTTATGCTGCAAGGCAAAGCCCTAGCAGAGAAAAATGACAGATGCCCGAATACCCAACCAAACTCGAGCCGATACACAGACATACATACAAATATGTATGTATGTACAATTACATGTATACAGATAGATATATGTGTAAACTTATATATATATATATAAACAATTATAGATCGCTCAAGGCTGAAGCTGCCGGTGGCACTTTTTCCAAAACACCCAATGCATTTGCAACATGCAACTGCAACACAGGCAATTGCCTGCTGAAGCAAGATCAACTTGAGACTCAACGCTCCCAAGACTTCTCCCAAGCTCAGGGCATTTGCATCCACTGCGGCATTGGCATAGCCTGGATACCCCGCCACCTGAGTTCGAGAAGCCATGTCGCGCTTTCAACCACGACAATCGGCAATCACATGCACAACAGAATTGATTTCACACCAAAAACTCTTGCGAAGCCTGCTGGGCAGTGTAATATGCCATGTCACCGGAGCAATCTTAATTAGTGTGGATGGTCATGCATGCTGATCAGACCACAAACCTTTTTGTGCCGCCTGCTTTGAGTACAGTTACGGCATGAATGTCACAACTTGCACAGTGTTTCAAGTGTTGCCCGACGCTGCTTTGAGCCACTGGAAAATCGCACACAAAACTACACATGTTAATGTCGCTTGTTTGACGCCAACAAGGTTTTTTGTGTAAATATCTGCATGGATGCATCACACAAAACATCAAACACCGACAGCCTAAAGTCACAAAACAATCACGACTCGCCAAATCCTGTTGCAAGCCCAACTTCTTTCGTGACAAAACCGACAACATACCATCGTCACAAACTGTCGTCAAATATGGTGACCAAAAACATGACCGCCGTCTGAAGGACTACATGTTTAGTAGTTGCTGTACTCTACATCGTTTGCATCAATATGTGGGCTCGTCGGTCCGTCGACACTGCCTGAAGTCGGCTCCACAACAGACTTCAGCTTTAAGGGTGGGAAACAAAGAAAAAAAGGTCTCACGCTCAAAGGAAGACATTCCGAAAACTGCCGTCACCAAACTGCAGTGAAAGAAAATCTGGCCAGTTTGGCCTCTTTCAAGTTTTCCAATTGCAAATCCAGACGTTCAGGACAGTAGTACACCACGCAACACCAAAAGGCTACTTGCGAGGCTCTTCATGCGAAAGTGGGGTGTTCAGTATCACGCAAAGCAAGGCAAGGTTACACAACAGTCGTTCACTCGGACGTTCACTCCTTTTCGGGTTGCCGGTGCAGCGACTGCTCAAAGCTTCGACATGTCCCGTGTACGTATTTGACTTTCCGGGGTTTAAAGCTGGAGCTGCGGAGCAGTCGCAAAAGCTCCGGGTCTGAAACTGCCAATCCGAAACCTCGCAAGACGCTCTGAAAAGCCCGATTTGAAAAAGTGAGGTGAGGTATGTTGCAAAAGCGATGCTACTTTCGATTGGTGGAACCTCTAGTCGTCGGTCCCAGCATTTGTGGGGCCGGTGGTTGCCACTTCAGGAAAGTGTCTGCGGGAAATAATGAAACTTGAAAGCTAACATGCCAAAACTCCGAAAGCGAGATGTCGATGCGGTTCATGGGCTCAAACTTCTCAGGTAAGCTGGATGAACCATCCCACCGAGAAATCAGATCTGCATCGTCGTTCCTTTGACCAGCGATGTGGTTGGAGTCGAGCACAACGCCGGTGGTGGAGCTCCACATAGAAAGCTTACGCACAAAGAGGTGTCTTGAAACAAAAGTGTGCCCAAGACTTGAGGCACAATGCTGCACAAGTGCTGCAATCTTCTTCAAGTCAATTCAAGAAAACTTGTGTGAAAACAAACACATGAAAATTACAAAATAGAAAATGGTTCGTGAAATGAAAACTACAAACTAGAGAAGCGCTTCGTGAACAAGACAGGACCGTCAACAAGTTGAGGTTATTCTTAGCAGCACTTATAAAGTGTAAACAAATGCATAGGCTCGAAGACCAAGCAGCAATGTACTTTGAGGAAATTCAACGGATTCGGTCATTGCAAAGAACAGTTTGACAGTTGCTGGAAACAGTTCCAAGCTGCGTACCCTGGAAATCCTGAATCTCTCGGTCCAACGTACAAGTTGGATGATCTGGTGGAGATTTACAGAGAGACATCAACAAAGATAAGCACTATTCGCACACACAAAGCGATTTACAGGAATCAATCAGCCACCAAACGCTGTCTTCTTTTTTTTGGTTGTGGACCAGGCACTCGGTCCCAGCAAGAACTGCAAGAAAAGAATTCTGACGGATGAAACAAACTGCTGTAGATTCAGCCAGCAGAGATCGTTCAGTCTGTTTCTCTCAGTGTCTTTTTTCCTGAAAGAGAACCAGTACGTCTTTCAGCGGATGCGTAGCTTCTGCAGTCTGCAGCACAGACTGTGAGTTTCGCAATGTGGTTTCATAAGGGCGATGTAGTGCGGTCACAATGGACATGAGCTCTTCTTAGCACATCAGTTACACCAGATGGCAGCCTTCCCCTTGCTTGCCCTTCTGTCTCTGCATCAGCAACCCACGCCAACCTACAGGCGGGAGTAAAGGTCGGCATTCGTGACTTGCTAGCTCCTCCTCCGCACCCTTCCAGGCGCATGCCCACGCGCTCCGAGTCCAAACTGTGCATGGTCCAATCTTGGCCATCGCTAAAGAGAGTCAAGCTTGACTCTCGACTTTTCAACCTGGAGTCTCGAATCGCAAGCGACAGCTGCGTTGTTAAGGATCTTTGTAAATCTCCGAGGATGCTGCGTGAACTATCAGGAAGCAAAATACTCATTTGGATGGGTCGACTCTCCAAATTTGCTGCAATTGCTCCAAGGGACAAAGCGACGACATCTTGTACCCCTTGAACACCACGTTGCCGGACAACAGTGAACCAAATTCGTTGAATTTTCAGTGCTGACACTGCCTTGGAATTTAGTGAACAAGAGCACACAATTCACAGTGCCAGGGGTTGGATTGGACTTGGTTAGATTTGCGGGATAAATTGTGTGAAATCTGGTTGGGGTGGGTGAGCTGGGTAGGTTGGATTAGGTTTCATCTGCTCCTACCTTGCTGCTTACTGTTTTTTTTGCTCTTCTGCTCTGCTCAAATCTTTGCAAATTTTCCGTGCAGTATGGAAAGCCGCATCGTACGTGCACCAAAGACAAGCCGTATCCGTTACAATTTGTGCGGAAGTGGAGATCGGCTCGAACTTGGGCGGAGTTGAACCCAGATTCAAATCCAGATT